GCTCCAATCACCGTCCGGCGCATCGCTCAAGTTTCGTGATGCTCGCCGGCTGTTGGACGAGTTCTGTATTGGATAATGTGATGGCCAATCCAGTTCACCATCACCGTTTGGATATCAAACTGTCTGCCTACTCGTCTTATCCGTTTGTTGCGTGCGCGTCGCAATCACATCTCTCTTCCCTTCATCAGCCTGTGACTCACTCATGGGAAATTATCGGTGATGCGGTGGATGCGAAAAAGAAGGTTTCCGTCGGTCGCAGACTTACTCTGCATCTTGCACACCGCGATTTCCCTTCCTCATGCACACTCATGCAAGCCAAACGCAGATTTCTTGATTATCGCTGCATGCGCCGGCACCCTCTCAGGGCTTCACCTCTCTTTCTATGTACCTACCACCCCCGGTCTGCTGCCCGCTTTCCCATGTCCCGCTGCATCAAATCCGATAGCGGGCCGCCATGAGCGCCGTAATGCACACACCACAACCCACTGCTGCCCCCATCCCGCTCTTCCGCGTTAGGGTTGCAGGAAGGTCATCCAGATACATGTACATCGCCTTACGTGCGCTACCGGCTACGCAGGCATGGGGAATCCGAAATAAGGTATGCGGTGTGTCTCTGCCGTATAGGTGTGGTGTAACCCGTACCGCCGTGACACCATGACAGACGTCCAGTGCCAACCTACCCAAGCTGAAGGTTGAGGGGCGGGTGGTGTTTGGGTGCCTCCCCGATTCGCCCGCGATCGTGCAGCTTGCATCCCAAAGGGAAAAGAAACGATGGGGCAAAGAGAATCAAAGGAAAAGCAAAAGCAAACGCCCAGAAGCATCGCAAGCTGGAACCGCATCCCTTTAGAAAGAAACTAAACACCCCTGTCGAATTCAGGCTTGGGTTCTGCCACCCCTCTATCCATCGATGCTTACCTCTTCAACTCAGCTGCATACGGCACCCGTGTTCACCGCTCTCGATATAATCACAAAATAATTTTGAGAACAAATGACAGTATTACGAATGGAAATACCAGAAAATGACCGATGCGTCTCATCCTGCGTATATGTCTGAGGATCCTTGGCATCGGAGAATGAACTGTCTTTCGGGCTTTCCACCAGCTGTCTCATTACCCACATCCGTCAGGGAGCAGAATAAACACCCAAGACAACCTGACCTAGAATCCTAGACAACAAAAGCAAGGCGAGAACAAGACAGCTCCATTCCAAACGATCTCAAAGTCTAGACATTTTGGGCCCTTAGGGTCCTGTTTGCGACAATAGACCCCTGTCACGGCCGCCAACTGGCAGACGCACCACTGCGTTGTCTCCGATCGAGTACGCCAGATCGTCAGGGGAACGGAACCCCTCGTCAGGCTGGCTTGCTCTTTGCTTCTCTTTTTGTTATCCGCTCTTTGTGCTACGATGAGTGACGTGTTGTCTACGAAGTATGGGGATAGGTATGGGGCGCCGTTGAGGGCGTTACGCATCGACCACACTCAAAGTCGTTTGCTTTTGGGACGAACGTTGGCATGATGCAGGAGGAGCCACCGCCTTTTCTTCTGTCCACCGCCTAGAAAGAAAACCCTCGCCTTGATGAGGATTGGCCTTCGGCGTCCGATGTTTCTCGCAACTGATGACAGTCTTCGTGTTACTTTGAGGTCCCATCATGAGGCTGTACCTGAGCGTGCCGTAAGTTTGATACGAATGGCGCTCTGAGGTATGTATGGCGGTCAGGCACAATATCCGCAAACGCCATTTACCCCTGAGCTGAAAGTGAAGCCGGAATCCAGAGACTCCTGTGAACAGCCCTTAAGGGGCATACATGCCAACCATCGAGATCTTCTCATCCGTTCATCACCGTATCCGTTAAAAGCAACAACACGCATACTCAATACTGAGAAACCTAACGGTGCTGCTTGATCCGCACACGGACAGTCCCCAACCCTGGCTTCCCTCTCGCGTGGGACCTCTCCCCCGGCATCCGCGGCGGTTGTCAAACCTACATGAACCGCACGCAGCTCACCGCTGATCACTTATACAGCCCTCCCTGTAGACCGCTTCGTCGGGCCGCGTCAATGTTCCCACTTATCAACCCCGGAGGAAGACGTTGCGTTCTGCATCTGGCCCCGGCGTGGGTATCCACTTCACCGGCCCCGTGCTGGTCCGTGTGTTCGGCGCCGGGTGGCCCGCGACTTGCCTATTCGGGATTTGGGAAGTCGGGGGACTGGGTCACTTTGGATGATCTGCAAACGGTCCGTTAGTATAAAACTGAGTCAATTCACCACAAGTTGTGGTATACAATGGGCGGTTTTTGTATGTCTTGCTGTTCCATGGCCGACTTCAAGAACGAGAATGGGCAGCTTTTTCTCACTTTTTCGTATCATGTTGGAGACGAGATCGGTCAAAAGTTCTCTATTATGTCCATTCTGAGTCCATTCTGAAATGTTGCGAAACAAAGACACCTGAACGATGCCAATCTCTATAATAGCCGCAAAGGCCCATCAATGAGAGACAAGAAGATGAAGTACTTGGAACTGTGCCGAGCGTCCTGGACCACCCAGGATTTTCCACAGTCATTATTTTCGGGAATCATACCATCCTCCCATTCTCAAACCAGAGAACACCCAACCTTTCATGCTGCTGCTTCTATCTTACAGAGGCAGAGTCTCCTGCGCCGCGGAGACGGAACCATTGTTAACGGCAGCGCGGTGTCCGCGGGCAATGTATCCGTAGGCGGGGTAGTAGGTGTCGAGCCAGGAGAAGAGCTCGAGGGCGCCGGGGGTGTTGCGCCAGTCGCGCATGAGGTCGAGGGAGATGGAGAAGAGGGAGACGACCTGGACGCCGGCGGCGGCCATGCGGTCGTTGGAGACGTCGCGGATGAGCTCGGTGGTGGTGCCCGAGGCCTCGACGTTGGCCCAGACGGAGTAGCCCTCGGCGCGGAGCGACAAGGCGAGGAAGGTGGTGCAGACGTCCGTGGTGATGCCCGCGAGGATGATTTGCGACTTGTTGGCGGCGCGGACGGCGTCGCGGAAGTCGGCGTTGTCCCAGGCGTCGACCTCGCCGTTGCGCTTGATTAGGGGCGCGGTGGGGTGCATGTCGAGGATCTCCTGGGGGAGGGGGCCGTTGGGACCTGGTTTTGTTTGTCAGAGGGCGAGAGGCTTCGGAGAGCTGTTGGGATTCTTACCGGTCTCGGCGGAGGTGGTCAGGACGACGGGGAGGTCAAAGACCTTGGCCAGGGAGGAGTGAGCGAGCATCGAGTTGCGGTAGAGTGTGGGATCGAAGTCGCGGGCGAGGTTGAAGAGACCCTCCTGCATGTCGACGACGAGCAGCATCGAGTCGTTCTTGTTGAGCCTCTCCCAGGGGACGGCTTTGGCTCGTGTCAGTAAAGTTGTGCTGCATCGAGGAAGACTTGAGATGAAGTCATTGGGTGGGAATCTTACCATCAGCGTTGGCAACGGCGGAGAAGAGCGCCGAGACGGCAACAGTCACGGAGAACTTCATCTTGAGAGAGGATGTTTTGAGGGATGGACCTTTGGGGAGTTGTTCGAGTCTTTGAGATGAAGGAGACTGTTCTGGATTTGTCTGCTGGATGAGGATGGAAGAAAAAGCGATGATTAGAGGCAAGACCCTTCTCTCTTCTTATACAGAATTCTAACGATATACAGCGGAAGCAAAAACGCCCTCCAGTGACAGTAACATCAGTAACCTCAGTAGCCAAAGTCCCTCATTTCGGAGTAGACTCCGTTCAGCTAGCATCGTGGACGAATGCGTGGCTGTTAATGACCAAGCCAAGCACGTTATCGACATGTGGGGTTTCCAATAGAACCGAATCCCATAAGCTTAGGGAGCGCTTCCGAATAGTCGATATGCAAGATGCAGGGCATCGCCAAAGCCTTGTCTGTCCCTCCTTGATGGGAAATTTCCCCATTAGGAAACATGCTGAAGTCGACGATGGAGAAAAGTCGCATGGCTTTTGGCAAGCATTCGGTAACCAGACCGTTGGACGTTAGTAAGCTCCCCTGGTTCATCCAATGCCACAGCGAAACCCTCAAGCCTCTTCGGTAGTTTGCGATGTTTGTCATTGGGTGGTTCACGCTTACCGAGCGGCGCTGCGTTGCTTTGAGGTGGAACTCCGCTCGGTGCGACCCACCACGCATATTGAGATTGCGGAGAAATGTTACCAGTGCCGCTCTTCTCTGTAAATCCGGTCTCCATCATGAAATTGGTCTTTCTTCCGAGATCTCGTTGCTGAGAGATTGTCGCCCTCGATGCGTGGGTTTGACTAAGCTCGACAAATTCGATGTGACCGAGAAGAATCTACCTTACCTAACGCAGAGCAGGCAGGGTTAGCAAAGCATTGAGTAAGATAGGCGAGTTGCAGCATCTCATTTCCCCAGCCCCGCCGACGCAAAGATGCAAAATATGACGTCCTGCCTACTTGGCGATGGGAAGACGGGGCAGACGTTGGCGGCTTAGCTAAGTACCATGTCGGTATTTGATAAGGCGATGGCTTTGCTTGGTGAGATGCGTCCCGCTCCGTTGTGGAGACCTTCGGGGACCGATGCCGCCATGTCAGAGTGGAGGCGCCGATTCCTAAGCTGAGATTGCGAGTGTGTCAGCACCCATCTGTTCACGTGGGAGCTATGTCTGGTGCAAGAAAGCATCACTGGTGTTCCTTGGCACCTCTCATATCAGTTTTCCAAGCTCTTCTCAATATCAGCATTAACCGTACTTACCTCGATTTGGACATACCAGGTACTGAGGTACTGAGGTCCCGGGCTACGCGACATAATTCAAACGTCACTTACCTTAGGTATTGAACAGGCTCAGATGATACCTAGGGGTTGCAAACTATGACAACAGGGAGAATTGGTTGGGAAAAGAAATTGTTACTGTAAGAATTGAGTTTCCTCATGAGAATACCGAATCGACAGCTTGGAAACTTGATGATGGCTTGAACAATCCACCCAGAAGATAGAGTAGAAAAAAGTCGATAATAGCACTTCTCAGGTATCTATCTACACATCGGTATGCTCGGCATCAACGCCCCTGTATTCGAAGAACTTGTTCCACTCAGGGTCCTCGATGAGCGCCTGAGCCAGTTCCTTCTCATACATGATGGCAATCTCTGGACCCTCATCTGACTCAGGCGTCGGATCCCGAGGCGGGTAGACAAGAACACCACCCTCAGAGATTCGGCCCATCAGGTATCGATAAGTCGCCGGCTTCCCGAAGCCAAAGTCTGCCGATGGAATGTTGGCGTCACGGTGGTCTACCACAATGGTCGACATGGGCGGGTGCGAATCGATTCTCGAGTTGAGACTCGACTTCACGCGGATCGTCGCCACCATCTTGAGTGTTTCGTCGAGACTTTCTTGCGTCACACTGTCCGTCATCTGGCGTACGTACCGAGCCACCCTCCAAAACGGCCAGTCTGAGATAAGCTCTGATACCGTGGGTTGTTCCACGGGTGCGGTCGTCGACATGGCCACGTACATGACGTTTTGCTGGGTGCGAGCGGGCACCTTTGGGCTGTGTAGACGTCGACGCATATCGATGGTTTCGCACCAGAAGAGCTTTGAGTCTGGCGGAGTCTTGAACACCGGGGCTCGAAGACGAGTCATGTGCCGCCACATGAAGGCGGAAAAGGCGTCGTAAGTCGAGATCCATGTGCCATCCGCGGGCTTTGCAAGCTTTTTCAGTTGAGCGGCTTTACTCTTTGATAGATGAAAGAGAAGGCAGATTCCGACTTTGTGGTCAGGATGTCTATCAGGCGGCGGTGGTCCGTCAACCTTCTCTTCCTCTGGAGGCTCGGGCTTGAGAAAGCGGGAGACATCATTACAGGCCGGGTCCCACGAAGGGTAGGGAGTGTGATTGCTATACGCAGAACAATTCTTGGCCAGCTGTTGGATGAAGCCGGCCCAGGCCATGACATCTTGGGAGTAATGATGGTGGTGCGTGCTGAAGACGAGCCCGCCGCGGACGAAGTTTGCCTTGAAGCCCGCCGTGACAGGACTCCGCTCCGGAGTCGCCTCGGGCCTCTCGCCGTAGGTCATCCGCGGCACGGCCCAGAGCTTGAGGTCGCCAAGTGACACGGCGCTAAAGTTGGCTTTCTCGATGTTATCGAAAGACGGATACTTGTCGGCATCCTCTGGGGCATCAAGCCATTGAATGACGAAGCGGACGGTCGAGTCCTTTCTTTTGGTGAAGGAGTAGTTGCCCCAAGGGTCTTTCTCGATTCTGCCATTCAACTGGCGGACCTGAGCCAGCGTTCTCTCAAGACCTGCTTTCAGAACTTCAATCACTCTTGGTTTGGCGGCATCGTCTAGGCGGAAGAAGACGGCGTAGTGGTTGTATGTTTGGCACGTCAAATAATCTAGGGTAGAGACTCTAAATCTCTCCACTTCTGGGTCGTTCTCCCAACCGTGAGGATGAAGATCGTAGACTTCTTCTTTTGGCATAATTGAGTAGCTCTGCATCGAAATGATTTGGAGGGAGCTGCAGGTTTTCGGACTCGAATATCGCAAAATGGCAAAAGACATAGAACCTAGTGGACGGGGTCGTCTTGTGCCGCATCAGATTGAACTGCGGCCGTATCGGAAAAGACTACCTCACCCTGGCACCTTCTCCAGGCCCCTCAAAACATTCTTCGATATGTTCATCGCTGATTGGAGGATGCAACGAGCAGTATTCCCGATTCGGTGGGTTAAGTCGTGAACCAACGGCTCGCCAAGGACTCTGTTATGTTGGTCGGGTGTGAAGAACCCCATCAGAGCCATAGCCAACATCTACATGCCTGCAAACCCCATTGGCCGTGACTTTTGCTTCAAGCATGAGGTTTTCCATATCATGTGTACAATTATTAGGCAGGTAGGTGGCTGCCAGTAACTGCCGGTCGAAATGCACGAGTTAATCCTTATACCAAAAGGAATGTGACAGCTTGCGGACATGAATCCAGGACTGTTATGCTCCAAATCCTGATTAAATGTACAAATCTAACCACCTGAGCATTTGGAAAGAGTGAGGATCTCTTGAGTTTATCTGTACTCAACCAATATCACGATCTTCGTGGTTGCCATAGCTGTACCCAGGAGAACCATGGCAACCGGTAGCTGCTGAAATCGAATGCCATCTCGTCACATAGCCCTAGGATAATACCAATCTTAGGCGTTCGGGAAGAAACGATTTTCAGACATGTCATCAACGTGTAGGTATGTGAACAGAGTCAAACGTCTAGATGTCAAGTCCGCAACGTTGAATGGCCCTTGATAACCTAGCGACATACACAATTGCCTGGGCCTCATACTCACTTGAGAACTGTGATGATTTGCCTACCATGTTTTAAAGGCCTCTATCAGAATCGAGGTCAAATGCACATATTGGTCCTTATTGCTAGGTAAGTATGAAAGACCGGAACCACCGTCGACCGCCTCGCTGCCTGATCAACCCATACTTCCTTCCATCTGCCTAGTTCCTTCCGTTTCTTGACTGCAGCACGAAACTCTTTTTCCTCTTTCCTTTCCGATTCACTCGTCCTCCCGACAGAAAATAGTCCACACGCAAGTGAGCCTCAAAACATCTTCATCCCCCACAACCACGCGCCCATAACCACAAAATACCTGCTTCTGCAACACTCACCAAGTCACCAAGATAAGAGTAAGTCTTTCTTCAACTAACAATGTTGTTAAAATCAAAATACTGATGAAATTTAGCCAAAATATCTCGGCCGCACATCAAAAACCTTTACCACACTAAGAACTTACCACAGTATGCTCTATCCGATCATTACTTCCAAAGTGAACTTATCAAACTGACAAAAAATCTTTCAGAAGAACATCATGGCTGACCAGAACCTTCCCGAGATGTCCGCATCCGATGTCAACTTCATGTGTCATGTCTTCATGCACATGACAGAAAAGCCTGTCATTGACTGGGACAGCTTCGCGGTTGCCGCTGGCTTCAAGAGTGGAGGTGTCGCTCGTGTACGTTCGCGTTCCACTTGACAAAGTACTTAGGCAGTCAACATGTGCTAACTCTGTGATTTTCAGACTCGCTGGGGCCAAATCAAGCGCAAGTTCGCCCCGGCTGACCAGGCCACCCCCAAGAAGAAGGCCTCGCAGGCTTCTGCCAGCACCCCGACTTCTGCCTCCAAGGTCAAGAAGACCACCGGACGAGTCGGCGCCAAGGCCGCCAAGGGCAAGAAGATCGTCAAGGACGAGGAGGAGGAGGAAGAGGCCGATGATGACAAGGATGTCATCAAGACCAAGGAAGAGGTGTTCGACATCTAAGAAGACTTCTCGACTACCAGATTTGCCGAGAATGAGTGGATGTTCAGGAACGGAGATCTTTGGAGAGATGGCTCCAAGACGTGCCCTATGCGATATGCCTACGGCGTCAGGAGAGTCTGGGAAGAGCCCAGCTAAGAACTCAATACGATCTCGAGCTTACAAAAAACATCGTTTCCCTTCTCATCGTGACTTCTGAGAATGTTCAAGTCCATACGCCACTCGAGTAACATCTGTCAATGTGTGGTATTACGCTTAATGTCTTGCCTGATACCTAGGATGAGCAAGTCTGCGACACCCAGAAGCCACTATCCGTCACCATTGAGTCTGACCCGAGCTCTTCAGGCCTCGACACGTCAGTAAGGAAAACCTAGGTACAACAAAACAACCTTGAAGTCACTTGCAATGAGGTTCTTCAGTTGTTTGTCTTTCTCTCCATCAGAACTGTCAGTTTTCTTTGCTCTTCTTGCCTCTCCTCGCCTCCATTGTTATTTAACCTCCACACTTCTTTGCGTTTCCAGTATCGCCAGCATCCCTCGGTAGCCTAACTCGACGGACCGTTGACTGATCTGCTCCCGCCCGGCTCGGGCATAGCAACCTCACAAGGCGGGTACTCTGAGTGAGGGCACCTTCTCGACTGATGGACCGGTGCCTATGGGGGACTTAAAACCCCTTCTACTGAAGCTGAAGCCGAAAATTTCTTTCTTCCTTCTTTACACACTTTTCTCAGGTCACTCAGCAGACACACAGGCAACTTGCAAAATCCAACATTACTCTGAACATCGATATCCATATATCACCAGACGCCATCGTAAGTTAATTTTCTCTCAAACATCTCATACTTGAGAAACCTTCACTGAAGATATTTGCTGACTCGAGCTAGCATAATGCCTCCTAAGAAGTCCACTGCTACCGAGGGCGAGTCCGCCGTCCCCATGCTCACGGAAACCGAGGTCAAGTTCGTCAAGGCTGTCTTTGACAGCATGAACACGCGCCCTGACATCGACTACGAGAACGTCGCCGGTATCATGGGTTTGGCCAATGGCAAGAGTGCCAGGGACCGCCTTCGTACCATTTCCAAGAAGCATGGCTGGTCCGCCACTGATGGCTCCAGCGGTGGCAGCCCTGCCAAGAAGCCTGTCGGAGTGAAGAAGACGCCCGTCAAGAAGAAGGGCATTGCCCAGCGCAAGAAGAAGGTGAGTGGCCTGCTAAGATTTTGCAATTCATCCCTCGGAATGTTTTATCTATCATGAATGCTGACCAGTCGATAGACCACCAAGAAGACCGAGTCCTCTGGTTCCGACGTCGACGAGGACATCTCGGGCAAGCTCGAGTCTGACACCGATGGCGAGGCTGCTGCCAAGGCTGAGCTTAACAACCCCGATAGCGACTCCGACTAAACGACTCCGCTATGACTGAACTCTGTGTTCCAGTCAGTGCTCGGCAGGAAAGGGATACGAAGTCGGGAATTCTCTGCATATGGTCTTAGAATGGGGAATATCTGGATTGGGGTTGGGTGATAGCAGGTTATGCTAGTTTGAGCAACTCAATTCTAACTCGTCTCATAAGCCGTATCTTTTTCGAAACCATAATGTCATCGTGAAGCCAACCTACTTGCCCTCCATGTTCTGATTTCCTGGAGCTCAGCCTGATTATCCTGGGTCTAGACATTGTCTTTAGGTCGAGGAATAGTCCATCAATCAGGGTCTGGTCTGTATAGCTATTTCTTGGAATGATCCCAAGATCTAGATTGTTCTTTCCCGTTCTTTTTGTGGCTCTCGCCTTGTCTGAATAACGTCTGATCGTTGTGTTGTCGTCTGGTCTTCTTTTCGTCCACATTTCGCTCGCCATTTGTTTGGATTCCTTTGACCGACTGCCTTGTTTCTTGTCACCTTTTGAACCGCATAGTCCTGCTTCTTGTCTAAATAGAGAACCCTCGTTATTTCGTCTAGTCATCATCATTCCGTCTGGTTTTCTTTCCGATGAGAACGCCCCCTTCATTATTGATCAGACCCTTCAACCACTTGACCGATCTGGCTCATTCATGTTTTGAACCACTTGTGAGTGCCTCTTGTCTCAGGTAGATAGCTCTCACCACATGGTTCAACTTTCAGGTGTGTATCCAAAGTGCTCCCGCTAGGACAGTGAAATTCCTTCAGCCAGCTGCCTGGTCTGCCAAATTCTGAAATAGGTGTCCCTGCCTCTCGTCTAGGTAGCTCTCGCCTTATCACCTGATCATTGTGCTGTCGTCTAGTATCGTGCCTTTCGTCCAGACTGTTCCCGCCTTTCGTCCAAACAGCCGTCGTCTTTCGTCTCGACTATCCAGTTCCTGTCCGGACTGCTCCCGCTGTATTGATAAGAGCCTTCAAGCACCTGCCTGGCCTGTCCACATCTTGAACCACTTGTACCCGCCTCATCTTCTGGGCTCTTGCCAATCCAGTTCATCAGAGGTCAAGCTAGACTATTTGAGCCAGCCTCTCACCAAAACTTGTCACCAACCCAACTCTTCTTCACAACAACCTCTCACCCTTCCAGCTCTTGAGCCTTGCTTTCAGACTTTGTCTTCATATAAGACTACTCATACTTAACTTCCTCCAACAATACCCATACTCAACCTCTTCCACTCGACTCAAGATGGCTTCTGTCGGAACTGATGCTGAGGGCCAGGTGACCTTCCTTGTTCACTGCATCAAGCATTCTTCCAGCGGAAAGGTAAGTGCCATATTACTTGGTTGCATCTAGAGACTCAAATTATCTAACAAGAACAGATTGACTTTCAAGCTGTTGCTACTGATTGCAACATCGCGTCCAAGGCCGCTGCGTAAGTCAAACTTCCTACCATGATACACATCACGGCTCTAGAGGGAAAAGCTAACTTGGCATGTCTTACAGTGCCAAGCGATTCGAGCGCATCCTCAAGCCTTTCGGAATGAAGACTAGTGACCTATCCAAGGCTGGCCCCATTGGCAGTGCTGCTTCTCCTGGTGGCAGCAACGCCAGCCCCAAGACCCCGGGCAAGGCTACGCCCAAGTCCAAGGGCAAGCGCGCTCCCACCGAGACTCCCACCAAGGAGACGAAGCGCGTCAAGCTGGCCAATCACCCAGCTGTCTCGTCCTACAATGACGAGGATGATGCCGAGGATGTGCCTCAGTTCAAGGTCAAGGATGACCCCGAGGCCTCTGGCGCTGACTCGACCAACGGTTCGTACCACGATATCCCCCGAAGCCGCGATGACGATGACGACGACTTGCAACTTCTCTACGTTGTGGAGAAGACGAGCGATTGCCCGATTCACGATTGCGGCGAATCTCGAAGTCCTCCTTCCACGTCCGTTTCGAGCGATACTAATACCGAGGGTTCAATGCAGATGGTGCCAAGGCCGACGAGCATGCCGAGATTTAGCGACATGCCAGCTTGCTATCACGGCTGGGGATTCCTGCCGGAAATGCCAGTCTACGCATGGCCAGATACGTGCGCGATACATGGGGAGCTAGAAGCAGCACAGTTAGTCGGGATATGTGAGTATTTCTTGCGCAGTTCTTCCGAGACTTTGTTAACAAATTCTAAATAGGACCGGAGATTGGCTCTCTACAGGGACGATGTTGCCGTCATGGCTCACCAACATGCTGGCAGGGATGGCTCACCAACATGCTGGCAGGGATGGCTCATACATAGGAGTGATGATGATTAGGGTCAATTAGAGACTCAAGAAATAGAACGAGTGGTTTTCTCTTCTTTCGCAACGCAATGATCACCATACAAGCTTTGTGAGACCCGAGCATGGTGCGCGCCGTTGAAGGTTCCGCTGTGGCGCTGCCTGATTGGGCAAGTGGGACTGTCTTGGCAAGGGTCATCCCACTTCTTCCGGAGCATTTGGGGCTCAATTTCGACGACACCCTTAGTTCGTGTGTAAGAACAGCCTCCTCGTAGCCTTTCGTGCCTGCCATTCATCACAACGCTTGTTTGCCGTATCTTGCGCCAAATGGCCTATATCATGAGTCTGTCACGAGGGTCCATTATGTTATCCAAAATGCTTCACCGCATGCCTGGTTTGCCGTCCCAGATCTTCTGGCCTTCAGGCGGTGCTGCTCCTGCGTGCGAGGCGAACATCTTGCGAGTGATTAATATGGAGAATCTCATGTGACAAGTTAAAGTAGTATCAATAATTCCAATCTCGTGGCTTCTGCTCATTTACGTCCAGATGTTTTCGTTTACCTCCAGGGCATCTACTATCTTCAACGGATACCAGCCAGCTTCGCCTCACATGGTCTGTAAGGTATCCTAGATCCGAGAGCACATGGACAACTCGTATTGCCAATTGAATCTTCTGGACGCAAGCCATGCATAGCATCACAATGAGCCACCAAGAGATCCGAGCATGTTGACTTCCAGCATCTTCGAGTGGTCACAAAAGCAACACAGTTAAGTAGAAACACATAAGGCAGGTGCACTTCCCTCAACACCCCCTCCTTCCTTCCCAGTTCCATTTCCAGAAAACACCTCTCACCCCCTCGAAGAAACCTGAGGCCAACCGGAGCATCTCATGCTCACTTGCACCCGTGGACGTTCTGCCTAACCTCCCAAATCGGAGACGCTGCAGCCAACCAGAGTGCTCCATCCACACTTCACCTTCTCATCGCACCTTCCTCCCATCTCCTTCTCACCCAACTTCCTTCCCTCACCTCACCAAGGCAAACTTTTTTCGGCCAACTCAGCCGAGAGCACACAAACAGCTGCCCCCAAAAATTTCCGGCTTTCCTCTGGGTGGGCCATACACGCAAATCTGATTTCTTCCCCCCTCCCACAACCCAGCGAAGTTGTTTTTCTTCTTCCCTTCTTCATCGCGGCAACCGTCCCCTCTACCAGACGAGCGATTGACGGAATCAATTTTCGTTCAATCCATCAAACGACAAGCAAAGCATCTCGCGGTCATTGAAGAATAAGTATTTCTTCCCTTTTACATCTCCAGCTTCTGGACCAACCGGTAAGTATTTTATCGGCCGCGGCCTCTTTCGCCTCATTTTTTTCCTTTCCATCTCAGATCGCGAGGTGTGGACAAACAACTGATCGCCCCGACAGACGGAGTCATCAAACTCTTCCTCCTCCATCGCGCGATTGCAATTACGACATCAATCCACCGCGACGCAATGTCTGCCTCTCCGCTCTCACCTGGTGCCGACATGGGCACTCATTGGGAGCTCTCGTCTGGCGCCTCGTCGCCCCGTTCCGACACTTCAAGCAACACCAACAGCCTGTTCTCTTCGCTTGATTCTCCCACCGAGACGGAGCTTTCTTTCCCAAGCCATGGACCCAATGATGCCAAGGAGTCTTTGGCGCTTGGTCGCACCGACGTTACCGTCATGCCCAGTCTTGTCAACCATGTCCTCGTCGGACAGACTGCTTATACTCCAGGATACATTCAACAACTGTCCAAGCAGCTCCAGCATGCACGCAAGACTGGCGAATTCCCCAATACAACATCTGCGATGGAAGATCCCCAGACAATCGTTGAAGACTACCATCTTCTTCAGCGTCTCCGAGATGCACGGGGCGACCCTGCTATTCACCCTCCTCCCCAGCAGTACAACGTCATCAAGGTCGACATCGCTCGTCGCATCAAGGCTCGTGATGAAGCCTATGAAGCCCCTGCCAACTATCAAGAGGTGGATCACCGAGTTCAAAACTGGATGAACTCAATCAACAAGGAAGCTCGCATGTTGGAGATTACACAGGCGGCACTTCAGCGCAAGGGCATCAATAACCCCACCCAAGACGACTTGGACACCATCGCCGAGGAGTTCATGCAGATCGCGGAGCGCACTCTTCTTGACGTCGCCAATCCTCTGCGCATGAATGCTACTCGCATGGAGGGCAACATGAGTCGTTTCGATAGCCAGCTCAGTGGCTTCGATGGCGCCATGACTGCTCAGCTTGACACGCTCAACACTGTTGTGACCAACCTCAACAGATCCATGAATACCTCTATGAGCTCACAGCTCGGCACTCTCAACACCATGCTTGAATCTCAGAGCAACAGCTTCAGCGGATCCGTTGGCATGATCAACACAGCCCTCAACACCGTCACCACCGATCTGCATCAGATCACCTCCAGTCTCCCCGCAATGATTGCCGCGGCAGTTCAAGCTGCAGTCAAAGAGCAACTCTCTGCCAGCCCTCACCAGGTTTTCCACAGCAAGCAACACCAATCCAACTACGATCAGCCCCCCGGATATGCTACAGCTACACGGATGCAGCAATACCAAGCCGCTGGCGGAGAGCTCTTTGGTGGTGGCGCACGAGCTGTCGCTTCTGCAGTCCAAGTATCAGGACAAGAACCTGGACAGGCCTTGCACATGACCATGCAGCCCACCAAGTCGAGATTCAGAAGATTCTTGCGGGTCATCACTGGAAGAGGACAATCGAAAAAGGAGACGGGTTCCAAGTAATGAAGCTCATGACGAGGCTTCAACATTCAGCTGTCCGACTTTGTGGCCAGCACTCCCCCCTCTGAGACGTACACAACACATCCGATCACCAAGCTTTGGAAAGATGGAAGGCATGATGGGAGGAAATTGGTTTTGTAGATCACTGATAGTTTGACTCGTACGTACTACGAGATTAATAATTCGTTTCACATTGAGCATTTTGTTCCCTCGTGAGATCAACATTGTGTTGGATTTGTCGCCTTGTTGCGCAAATCTACCGATATCATTCATACGCAACAGTCTCACAACGAGTCAACCCTTCAACTCAAGGCAACAGGGAATATTAAAGTAGCTCGTGTCTCCTCGCCCGCTAGAGTAGCTGTCGTATCTTAAAGGTACCATGAGAAGAACATGGTGTTTATCACTGTAACATTCGTGGGCCGTATTGAAGACATCATCATCGTCCTTCGAAGGCGACGTCATGACATAGAAAAAGAAGTACTGTGCCGCACAAGAATCGGCAGAAGCGATAGAGTCACTGGCAAAGCCTGAGGGTATTCCTATATCTTTTGCAACTGCCTGAGTTCCGGGTTGCCTGGCAGGCCAGGACTGCGTCTCCCACACGCGTATGCCTCCCTCAGCTTCGACAACCCAAACAATCCCAACGCGTCTCCTACTTCTGTTAGAGGCAGCCGCTCTCATACCTACCGGACGAGCCGCCTCAAGTGGGGTCAATACCGACGTGCCTACCCACGGGCCTCAACCGCCCTTCGCGGTCAATAGTATCGCGACCCTGAGCTGCTCCCAGTTTACTCTTCTTTCTTTCACCTACACCCACTCAAAAGTCGCCTATTCTGACTTCCCTACATTTCCGCGTCTATTTCCGCGTCCATCTTTCATTGCCTACCACAAGACACCACACGCTGTAGATCCCTCCGGTATCTATCTCGATCACGATCACCGCGAAAAGTGCTCCTTGACAACTCGTGGATACATTCGAAAGATTCCGACTTACGCATCGCCCATCAAAATCTCTTCATTCGTCGACCTGATATCACAGTGGTAAGTCATGCCCCATCCCTCCTTTGGTCTAATTCTCTTTACACGCTGCTTCTTTCCCTCGCCTTCTGTCACCCAAGAATTGCTTCTTCTTTGCGACAAAGGGATTCCCACTTTGTATTTTGTGCATCTTTTTTACTTTACTCATCAGTCCCCTTGTCTTCCGATATCGCCAATGACTTCTTTTGTTGCCTGCAAACCGGCGTTCTGTCCTATTCACCCGACTCATTGGTTGCATTCGGTACTAATCAAACTTGCTTTCAGCTGCCAAAATGGCGCCTTCCAAGAAGTCGATGGGCAAGCTCCCTGATATCCCGAAGGCAAAGCAGGATGCCAAAGTCCGAAAGAACATGACGGCGAGGAAGAACCCCTCTGCCAAAGAACAAAAAGTCCCCAAGAAGGGTGTCAAGGTCACCACTCGCCCAAAAAGCCGGGCCCTGATTCAGTGGAGGAGTAAGTAGAATCCGTTCCATTAAAATCATTTTTACGGCGATTGACTGTAGGCACAGGGGAAGAACCCTTACTTGTGACGCTCCTTTGGGTGCAGTATACCTGTGCCAAAGAGCACGGCAAGATGCCCTGGGATGATATCATTCCTCAGTGCTTCACCGGAGTGACATCAACGGCATTCACTCAATTCCTTGCCCGAGAGCGCAAGCGACTCCTCAAGATGGGCTACTGTGTTCCACCTCTCCCCAGCCAGGCCAAGAGCCTGGAGAGGGACCAGAACATCCGCGGTTATATCAATGCGCCGACCGCCGACAACGAGAATGCTATCAGGCCCGTCAGCCTTGATGAGCCGTTTCTCCAGCCCTGCCAGCAAGGCGACAACTAGCAGTTGATGGCCAACGCAGCAGGCGAGGGAGAGCTGGAAGATGGCGAGGCTGATGATGCCATGGTGGAGGAACTCGATGACGACGGTTCCTTAAATGACAGCGAGGCTCCCAAATATGCAAGTTTGAACCGACTCTTCCTCTGCAATCACTGACATTGAATAGAATGGAGAGTCACCTCAGCTTCCGTTTGGCCAGGACCCTTGCCAGGCTCATGCTCAGTCGGGCCATCTTGTGAACAACGACGAAGCGCAGCCGAGTCACCGGGTTCACGACATTCCCAACCCTCAACAGCAGGCCGGAGAATTGCTGTTCCACCACGTTCAACAGTTCAGTCTGGCCCAACACGATGCCCAGAACGATGCCAAGATCCAGCAGCAGCCATCCCACTCGGCGCAGTATTCGAGCCAGCATAATCAGATAGAACAAGCCAATCAGGAGTGGCAAGCTCAGCATCTCAATGAGGGCAACGACATGCAACTATATAGGCAAGCGATCGAAGCCTGGAAGCACGACGAACCCCCAAACGAAGCACGGATTTATGTCGAGGGTCTCCCTCCCATGGCATACTATCTTTTCAAGGTGCCTGCGAGCGTCAGTGGTGGCGTTTCCTTGATATCCGGCACCGAGATCATGTACCCGATGCGAACCGAGAATGGCTATACGACATATGCCATTCCGATCCCGGTCAACTTGGGCAACTATCTCGACGACCCCAATGGTCAGGATTTTGGTGCCCCAACCCCCTTTGGCAACTCGCCGACGACGAATCTAGCCCCGGGCTCTTCGTCACTCAATGAGCCAGCTTTTCAGGCTTTGAGCGATGGCTCCAGTGATGTCAATCGTGGTGGATTCAACGGTGGTTTTCAGGGTGAACATCACTTGCATGAAGATGCCAATCACCTTGCCATGGCGACGGGCTCCGCCCACGTGGGCGACGATCAGGGATTCGGCTTCAACGATTTCGACGCGAACTTGTTCGACTTCAGTCAATTCCACTGAATCGTTGGGCGCGCCATAGAATAACACAATACACGACCTTCAGCACATTAGACTTGATAAGGAGTCCTTGAGTTTCGTTGGGGTATTACGAATATTGGCGTTGGAGACAGCCTAAGGATAGGAGGAAGATGCCGTCGTGTGTGCCTTTGTTGTTTGCTCTGCTTTTCTTCTTCTCATTTCCTTCTTTCACCACACCTCTTTTAGCATCTTACCTCGACCCCTTCTGAGGGTGAAGAGTGTCTACGGTGTGATAGTCATAGCAACAGACGGCGCAATGATTGCTGCTGATGAGATTGTGCAGTAGAAAAAAAAGTTTTGCTCTACACGGGAGTTTTGCCTTTTCCATTTTCCGTTTCATGCTTCCCTCAGTTTGTATCAATTGTTAGTAGCGCCTGAGGCGTACTTATCATTAGCATTAGATACAATAGACCAATGCATTGAGATTGTCATCTTGAGCGTTTGAGTTCAAGTTTCCGCAACCGACTTCCGCCGGATCTCACGTTTGACCCACGATAACCGATTATGACAGGCCTCAAAGATAAATGGAAGCATGGAATTTCACGAAAAACGCTGCGATATCTTTGACTTTGAACGTTATATTTAACAAAAGACCAGGCTAATTTGCTTCTTGCGGTCTTTTGATGTATGTACAGTCGAATGAACCAAAGAGTTCAATGCCGTTTGATGAAGTTTGTACACGAATCTGTAAAATGTAGAATCCCTCTCTCCTTACATACCATCAGCAATCATGGCGTTGATGATCTTTACGTGACGGTTCGCGTTTGTCTCGCTCCATTCAGTATCGTAATTAAGACCGTACGGCCAGAAGTGCGAGCCGCCACAGCTGATCTTGGCACTGGAGCCATCCCAGGAGCGAAGCAGGGGCAATGCCGTAGCCCAGTCGCCAGACGCGCATTTGGAGTTGAAAGCGGCAGTCTGTCCAACGCCAAGTGTGTGTGAGATCTCGTGGAGCGCAGTACGCTCGTTCATGTAAGATCGGTTCGATCCGAAGCGGAGATCACCGTTGTAGTTGGCCTCGGCAGTGGGAACGCCGGGCGTATAGTAGACACGGATCGTCTTGCTGGCCTTGCCCTGACTTGCGTGTCTTGCGACGGCCAGCTTCATGGCGGCTTCGATCTTGGTGTATGCGTCGCTTTGGTCGGCTGTGGGGTTGGCGGCCTTCTCAAGAGTCCAGGTGATGGCACCTTGAGCGGCAGAGGCGGAGGCCACGATAACGGCAAGGAGTGACAACTTCATGTTTGCAGAGAGAGTGGATGTGTATTTGAGAGATTAGAGTATTGGATGCTGGTGATGATCTTGCAATATCTTCCGTTTCTTCGTCTTCCGACTCCCTTCTTATACTCCAGGAACACTACCATCTAGGAGGTAACTCCGGCCCCTTGCCCAAGCGAGTTGGAAATTAAGGATATATGTTGCAAGAAGATCGTGCCTATTTCAACTCGGTCTCGCGCATTAGGCCCTCTAACTCCCTTGTAGTAGCATTCTCATCCTTGCGATAGCGCGGCCAAGAGGTTAGGGGTTGCATCACGGCGCCACGGCGCCGTCGCTCCGTTTCTTGATGTTTCAAGTACAGTGAGCTTCTGCAATAAAGTCGAGGCATGCGCACCTATGAAAAGACTAAGAAAAGAAGCTTGTTTGAAACGTTGCACCGTTGAATCTAGGTGTAACTCGCATGCGGCTAACGCATTGCTCGGATGGCAGTTCTCGTGACTTGCTTAAAGTGCCATCCAATGTTTGCTGATCTGCTACAACGTCGGGGTTCATGCTATGTGTCCAATACTTCGTATTGCTTGGTAAGTCGGTGCAGTTGCTCAGGAGAAACCCCATAGTCGATCGTCCGCCGATGTTCTCCGATGGTCGAACCCATGTCAATATTCGGCAATGGTCACTAGGGGATACCATGTGCGGATGCTGAGAATGGAGACAGATGCCATTGGAAGACGGTAGAAATGCACCCACAATCGCGCTAATCCCTTTTGGTACTGGCGCCTCAGAAGGGACCTCGTTTAGCCGAACGTCCGAGATAAATTTTTGGAGCCGGTGACAGGAAGCTTCTCCAATTCTATCACTCACTGCAACTTTTTACTTCATCTCCTTGGAGCGACACGTGTGATTCAAACCCGGCGACACCTTCAATCCTTAGTTGTGTATTTCTTCTTTCTTACCTAGATACCCTCATAATAAGATTCAAGATGCAGCGCGCTCTTTCTTCCCGCGCGAGAGCTTCCGTCCTCTCTGCTGCTCCCAGCAAGTTCCGTGCCGGTGCCGGCCTGGGACAGCAGCTTCGCTTCGCCCACAAGGTTCGTCAACACGTCGCGAAGCATTGGCAATGCCATCAGCTTCAGGATGCTAACTCAGTCTACAGGAGCTGAAGTTCGGTGTTGAGGGCCGTGCTGCCCTGCTCGCTGGTGCCGATACTCTGGCTAAGGCCGTCGCGACAACACTTGGCCCCAAGGGTCGCAACGTCCTCATTGAGTCAAGCTATGGCTCCCCCAAGATCACAAAGGGTATGGAAACACGCAATTGAGTTTGATTTCATCAATAAGCTGACTGGTTCTTAGATGGTGTAACTGTCGCGAAGGCAATTACCCTCAAGGACAAGTTCGAGAACCTCGGCGCCCGCCTCATCCAGGACGTCGCCTCCAAGACCAACGAGACCGCCGGTGACGGTACCACCACCGCCACCGTCCTCGCCCGTTCCATCTTCTCCGAGACCGTCAAGAACGTCGCCGCTGGCTGCAACCCCATGGACCTGCGCCGTGGTATCCAGGCTGCTGTCGATGAGGTTGTCGCTTTCCTCCAGAAGAACAAGAGAGATATTTCCACCAGCGAGGAGGTCGCCCAGGTCGCCACCATCTCCGCCAACGGTGACCAGGAGGTCGGCAACCTGATTGCCAAGGCCATGGAGAAGGTCGGCAAGGAGGGTGTCATCACCGTCAAGGAGGGCAAGACTCTGGTCGACGAGCTCGAGGTTACCGAGGGTATGCGCTTCGACCGCGGCTTCGTCTCCCCCTACTTCATCACCGACGCCAAGTCCCAGAAGGTCGAGTTCGAGAAGCCCCTGATCCTCCTCTCCGAGAAGAAGATCTCTGCCGTCCAGGACATCATTCCCGCTCTTGAGGCCTCCACCCAGCTGAGACGTCCTCTCGTCATCATTGCCGAGGACATTGAGGGTGAGGCTCTCGCCGTCTGCATTCTCAACAAGCTCCGTGGCCAGCTCCAGGTCGCCGCCGTCAAGGCTCCCGGCTTCGGTGACAACCGCAAGTCCATCCTCGGTGACTTGGCTGTCCTCACCAACGGTACCGTCTTCAGCGAGGAGCTTGACATCAAGCTTGAGAAGGCTACCCCCGACATGCTCGGCTCCACCGGCTCCATCACCATCACCAAGGAGGACACCATCTTCCTGAACGGTGAGGGCGCCAAGGACTCCATCTCCCAGCGCTGCGAGCAGATCCGTGGTGTCATGAACGACCCCACTACTTCCGAGTACGAGAAGGAGAAGCTCCAGGAGCGTCTGGCCAAGCTCTCTGGTGGTGTCGCCGTCATCAAGGTCGGTGGCTCCTCCGAGGTTGAGGTCGGTGAGAAGAAGGACCGCTTCGTCGATGCCCTGAACGCCACCCGCGCCGCCGTTGAGGAGGGTATCCTGCCCGGTGGTGGTACTGCCCTTATTAAGGCCTCTGCCCTTGCTCTTAAGGACGTCAAGACCGCCAACTTCGACCAGCAGCTTGGTGTCACCATCGTCAAGAACGCCATCACCCGCCCTGCTCGTGCCATCGTCGAGAACGCTGGCCTCGAGGGCTCCGTTATCGTCGGCAAGCTCACTGATGAGTTCGCCAGCGAGTTCAACAAGGGTTTCGACTCCTCCAAGGGCGAGTACGTCGACATGATTGCCGCCGGTATCCTTGACCCCTTCAAGGTCGTCCGCACCGGTCTGGTTGATGCCAGCGGTGTCGCTTCCCTGCTCGGTACCACCGAGGTCGCCATTGTTGAGGCTCCCGAAGAGAAGGGACCTCCTCCTATGGGCGGCATGGGTGGTATGGGCGGAATGGGAGGCATGGGTGGTATGATGTAAAAACATGATCCATGATCAAAATGTCTTCTTGTATTAAAAAAAAGTCAACTGGGCGAGGGGCATGGGCACTGGTGTTACTATTAAAAAGGATGTATAACTGCGGCCATTTGTACTAATCTCCCCTCTTTCCCCCTTTTACGCAGCAGTATCCCTGAGGGGACTTGAGAGCTCTGTATTGTACAATAGCACTAGCAAGTTATGTAAGATGAAGGAAGAAAGCAAAATGAGTTAAAGAACAACAAGACAAAGAGCAAATGCATGCATTGACTAGACTGGAGCTGTGCACGGTGGATTGACGTCGGTCGGTAGCTACTTAGTTAACAGCTCAGTGACAGCTTGAAGAATTGGCCAGTGTGTCGGCCGCTACTTTTTAGTGGTAGAGTTCCTTGGCTTCTTCATGCTGACAAGTAAGGTAGGCAACCGTTAAGGGCAGCCCGGTCCACGTCACGTAAACAGGCACCCATCATGTGTTTTTGGTGATGACTTCTTGTGTTTATTTTAACCAAGCAACAGGAGCTTGTCACCCCTTGCAATGGGCTGTCCCCCCAACAAGAGATTCCAAGTTCAGGCCCTGTCTGTTGACTGCCGCCTGGGGTGGGATTCGTCAACCTCCTGTGGCTGACGCAGATAGTCACGTGCTCCAATCTCACCTGGACAACAACCCCACCATGCGGGTGTTTTTCTCGCCCGCTTCCCCTCCACTGTGACCCAACTCCTCCGTTCCTGTCCAAGATACCTCATCACCCGAAAGCAAGCTGTTGCCTCTTTTTCTGCCACCACCCTCCGTGCAGCAAATCTCCCGGCCGAACCACTCGATCTCGAAGTAGGCACCCCCATTTCTCACTTTGCTTTGCACGGCAAACAGTTTTAAATCATTCAATTTCCCTTTGGTTTTCTAGTTGCTAATCTGCTCTCAGCCCACTTTCCCGCCTCTTCTCCTAGCCACACCCCCGCCATAAACCAGCATCATGGTGAGTAACTAAAAGCTTCCAAGGATCAGCCGTCTACCAAAACACCATGCTAATCTCAATCGCAGTCTCAATCCGGGTTCGTAATTCCCCCTTCCGAAGAGCCTCATACCTCTGCGCCGACGAACCATCTAATGGGCGACTCTACCGCTCGTTCGATGACGATCCCGGCGGAGCAGGACAAGCTGGCTCCATCTGCCACCTAACCTCAGCAAGGCGGCGCATGCTAACCCGATTTTCCCCACCAGAGCGCAAGTCTCTCAGGAGTGCATAACGGCCTACAATGAGCTCAAGCTCTCCAAGAAGTACAAGTACATCATCTACAAGCTTTCGGACGACAACAAGGAGATCGTCGTCGAGGAGGCCTCGGCCGATAAGGACTACGACAACTTCCGCGAGAAGCTGATCAACGCCCAGACCAAGTCCAAGAGCGTATGTTTCTCTGCTTTCCCGCGACACAATGCCGCAGTTTAAAGACAATGCTAACAATGCTAACAATGCATCAGGGTGCTGTTGGCAAGGGCCCCCGCTACGCCGTCTACGACTTCGAGTACAGCCTTGCCTCTGGCGAGGGTGAGCGGTACGTTGCCCCGCATTCACCCAACCTGGAACCTGCAGCTAATACCCCAACAGCAACAAGATCACCTTCCTCGCCTGGTCCCCCGATGATGCCGGTGTCATGGTCAGTACTAGCTACTCTCGCAAAGCTCAATTGAATTTGTCGCTAACCTGTCCCAAAGGCCAAGATGGTTTACGCCTCCTCCAAGGAGGCCCTGAAGCGCTCGCTCACTGGTATTGCGACCGAGCTCCAGGCCAACGATGCCGACGACATCGAGTACGACTCCATTCTCAAGACCGTCAGCAAGGGCATGGCTGGTTAAATGTCTCTTTCCCCTCTCAAACACACCCATACCCTTCCTTACGCGGTGAGACGGAGCATACACTTTGGCGGCTGCAGTCTTCCGGGACGATTGACGACGATCATGGAGAGTTTACGATGAATATGGAGGGCCACTTTCTCCCCCTTTGGCGATTTCGGGACCCAGACCTTTTTCCCACTCCGAGTTTCTTTTTGGGGCGTGACAAGTAAATTTCCAGATTTGAACTGCCCGCCTGGTTATATCAACCCAGTGCCATAGGAAAACATCTCATGCCGGAATGCAGAGCATTCTTGTTGTTGCCCAAATAACGACGACGAAATCACTTCTTTATTAGACCATTACCTATGCTCAAGTCTTGTGCTTCGTGAATTTCTACGTTATGACTTCTTCTGGGCCTGCCAGGTTGAGCGCCACAGCCCTGATAGCTCCTCCGCCTTTTGCTCGTGCTTAAGCCTCTGCAGCAAGAAGCCCTTGAGATCGCTCCAGAATTCGTCCGTGTCCAGTGCCGCCTCTCCAATGTCCTCCTCTGTAGAGTTGGGCGCAACCGCAGCGCTAGGCTCAGGCTTGACTGCAGCAGCTCCTCCAATGACCATAACGGAGAACTCAAGCGACGCCTGACCATCCGTGAGCAAGTCCTTCAGCACCTTGCTGTCTGGCACCGGCTTCTTGTTGAACAGCAGCTTCATCTTGTCCACAGGTATCCGTGACTCCGCCTCGACCGCCGTCTTGATGTCGAGGATAGAGGTGTTGAGCGACTGGGAGGACAGCTTGATATCCAGGGGAGGGTTACGCAGGGACTTGAGGGTGACGTTGACGCTGCGCTCCTGGCCTGGCGCAAGGTTCGAGGGCTTGCTCATGGCCTTGGGCATCTTGGGCAGGATGTACTGCATGATGTTAGCTATCCATAGCTACAAACGCTTCATTGGTAGGGATGAGGCTTACAGGCGGGCGGGCCGGGAAGTTCTTGGAGTCCTCGACATGGTCGGCGGACAGCTTCGCCGGGCGCGACTCCAAGGTCGCCAGGAACTGTCTTGCGAATACGACTTCAGCCATGGTTGCGATATGTTAAGCTATGTGGCGCGCTTTCGGTAAGTTTGCCTGGTCGGGGTTGCTCGAGTCGTTGCTTTGAGTTCAGGAAGCTATAGGTTGGGTGAGATATAGAAGAGGGCCGTCGGGAAGGCTTAATTACTAGATGATCGGCTGGAGGGTAAGGCGTTGGAAATGACTTCGTCCGGTGTTCTGGTGTACTGCCCGCTCTGCTCAGGTAGAGTTGACACACTGAAGAGGGATGGCGGGGCGGACTGAGCTGGAGTGTGGAGCTTCGACCGCTCGTCTGGGCGGCGTGGCTTTATCGGCCAATCTTATCGGTGCTGGTCAGTGCGCGATAGGAAAAAGTTTCGGTGGGGGGACCGCTTCTAACCCAAGTGAAGGAACTTTTTTTTTCTTCTGAGCAGTGTAGCGGCGACCGACTTTGAACCAGGCGGTACCGTATATCTCGAATTTTCTACTTCTTCGATACCCTTTTTTCCCCACCCCGAATACCCAAGTCTCGATACGAATTGATCGATCAAAATGGGTGTCGGAAACCGTATGAAGAAGCAGGGTGCGCCCGAACCCTTGTCCGAGGCGCATTTCGCAAAGTTGAAGCGCAAGGCCGGTCTGCCAGTCGAACCCGTCGAGGCCCCCGAGGTCAAGAGGAGGAGAAGAGGAGCGGCGCCCAAGGCCAATGCCGCCGCAGCGAAGAAGCAGGATGCGAAGAAGAGCAACGGCGCCAAGGCTGGAAAGCCTGCGCCCAAGGCCGCCAACGGCAGAGGAAAGAAGGCCCCCCAGCCTGTCGACTCGGACGAAGAAATGTCAGACGACGACGATGCCGGCGACTTTGCTGGTGCCCCTTCCGACATGAGCGACGATGACGACGAGGTTGACGAGTTCTCCGACCTGGAGGCCGCAGAGAAGCTGGGAGACGATTTCATAGATGGTTCCGACGACGACTCCGTCTACGATTCAGAAGAGGAGCGCGGCGGCGGTGGAAAGCACATGTTCTCAGAGGACGAAGACGACTCGGACGGCGAGGAGATGCTCACAAAGGCCAACATTGAGGGTCTCGCACGGAGACTCGACCAGAAGCAGGCCGAGGAGGACGCCGACGCGCAGGCCGAACTCGAGGAGATGGGCATCCAGACCAACATTGACGGCGACAAGCCGCACATCCTCGAAGACGACTCGGACGACGAGCTCGCCGCCAAGACCAAGACGCTCCTCGCGCCCGACCTGCAGCTCCTGAGAACGAGGATCACGGAAAACATTAGAGTGCTCGACGACTTTGCGAAGCTCCACGAGGAGGGCCGCTCCCGCACAGAGTACGTCAACCAGCTCATCAAGGACATCTGCGCCTACTACGGCTACTCCGAGTACCTCGCCGAGAAGCTCTTCTCCCTCTTCTCGCCCCGCGAGGCGTTCGCCTTCTTCGAGGCCAACGAGTCGGCCCGACCCGTCGTCATCCGCACAAACACCCTCCGCACCCACCGCAGAGACCTCGCCCAGGCCCTCATCGGCCGCGGCGTCACCCTCGAGCCCGTCGGCAAGTGGTCCAAGGTCGGCCTCCAGATCTTTGAGAGCAACGTGCCCCTCGGTGCCACGCCCGAGTACCTGGCCGGCTACTACATCCTCCAGGCCGCCTCCTCCTTCTTGCCCGTCATGGCCCTCGAGCCCCAGGAGAACGAGCGCGTGCTGGATATGGCCGCCGCTCCCGGTGGTAAGACGACGCACATGGCCGCCATGATGAAGAACACCGGTGTCATCGTCGCCAACGATCCCAGCAAGCAGCGTGCCAAGGGTCTCATTGGTAACATCCACCGCCTCGGCGCCCGCAACGTCGTCGTCTCAAACTACGACGCCAGAGAGTTCCCCAAGCCCATGGGCGGCTTCGACCGTGTCCTGCTCGATGCCCCTTGCTCCGGTACCGGTGTCATTGCAAAGGATGCCAGCGTCAAGACCAACAAGACGGAGAGGGATTTCATGCTGCTGCCGCACATGCAGAAGCAGCTTATCCTCGCCGCCATTGACTCTGTCAACCACCATAGCAAGACGGGTGGTTACATTGTCTACTCTACCTGTTCCGTCACAGTCGAGGAGAAGTAAGCATATCCACCTCCATTTGATGATTCTTTCAGTTATACTAACAACCCCACAGCGAGTCCGTCGTAGCATACGCCCTCTCCCGCCGCCCCAACGTCAAGCTTGTCGACACCAACCTCCCCTTCGGCCGCGAGGGCTTCACCTCCTACATGGGCAAGAAATTCGACCCCTCCCTCAAGCTCACCCGCCGCTACTACCCGCACACCTACAACGTCGACGGTTTCTTCGTCGCCAAATTCCAAAAGATCGGTCCCACCCCCGCAAAGGCCGAGCGCGACCGCTCCTCTGCCTCCGTCGGCGAGGTCGTCGACAAGACTCCCATCACCACCGACGACGAGTCCAACGCCGGCGGCAAGACCGACGACGACTTTGGCGGCTTCGACGACGACGAGGACGAGGAGTACGTCCTCAAGGCCAAGCGCAACGCCATGCGCAGACGCGGTCTCGACCCCAACGCTTTGTCTGCGAAGGCGAAGAAGGCTGCCTCCAACGCCAAGAAGGAGTCTACCGCTTCTGCCTCCGAGGCTGAGGTTGAGAGCGCCCCTGAGTCTGAGAAGCCCGCAGAGAAGACGCCCGAGAAGAAGGATAAGAGCAAGCAAAAGGCCGTCGCGGCCGACAAGGAGAAGAAGGCCGAGAGGAATCCGGCGCAGAAGAAGGTGACGTCCACCGTGGCCGCGCCGGATAAGAGCCCGAAGAGCAAGAGCCCCAAGCAAAAGAAGGAGAAGAAGTCTGCGAAATAAAAGGACGAAGAAACGTAAAACAAAAGGAATGAATTAGAACGAGGGTTGGGATCTTTTCGAAGTGTATCTTGTGTAGTAGACAAAGAAGCATCTTGTCAGGGATCGAGGTCGAAACGAACCCTGCGTCGTTGTTGTTGTTGATGTTGTTGCATTATAATTACCTATTACTACTAAATGGAGTCGGAGCTCAAAAAGGTTTTCGGGAAATAAAAAAAAGTATCGAACGAAAATATTGAACAGTGAAGAGTTTGTTGACATGATCGTCGCTGTCGCCGTTCATCTGTTGTGACCGTCATTTGCCGTCGCCGCTTAAGAAAAAAAGCCTTTCACGTCCACGTCAAGAAGGAATTATCCAGCCAGCTGGCCACGAAGAGAATTGAGAAAAGAAGATTGGGTTATTGCTAATCCAATACGCCGAAGCCAAAAAAATGAATCTAAGCAGAGCTTTTCATCAACGTGTCTCTCATCATCAAAGAGATAAATGACAGACACACCAACCAATCCTTGACCACCTCCACAGGCAAAGAAAGGCTAACTACCCCCAACCTCCTCCAAACAGCATCGTAAAGATAAAAAGCATTGTACAAAAATGCAAACGTCAAAGCAATCCTTTTTCCTCCACTATGATTATAAACCCTCTTATCCAGCTCGGGTCTGGATGGTATCGAGTCCCAAATCCCAAATCATCTGTTTGTTGTCATAAAGTCGGCGTGCCATTTCCTCTGCCGGACCTCTTTTCATCGTTAAAGCCGTGTGTCATGAATCCTATTCAAGACCTTTTGTAGGAGTATGTTGTACACAAAGAAGAGTCCAGAAAGTCGTCACTGGAATCGTCATAAATGTTGTTCGTCGTAATCCTTCTTCCAAAACGCCTCGTTCGTAGCTCGCCCTGTCGTTCGCCATGACGCCAGGGGTATTAAAATAATTATGTATGAAGAAAAAAGCATGGTATGCCGCCCGAAGTAGAATGCTGTTGGTGTGGTGAGGTCTACTGGGCAGCCCTTTGATGAAGTAGGATGTCGCGAATCGCCCATCTGGCAGCTTCGCGGTCTCGGTCTCCGACACCGAGCCACTTCTCGCATTTCTTTCGCCACCGGTCTTCTTCTTCGCGCTGTCTCCGAACGAATTCGGGACCAACGTCGAATTCTTCCCCTACGAGCCACTCGTCCTTAACTTCGCTAACGCGACCGGGTTCTTTGGAGTCGCCTTGGTTGTCGTCGAGATCGGGAATGTCCTTGAAGACGTCCTCATCGTCGTCTAAAGCATTGAAGCCGTCCATGGGGTCGGGTATCTCAGACTTGGTGTTCGTCTGTGGGCCGAGCTTGAGCCAGCACATGTTTTGTGGATCAAAGACCATGCCGCCCACAACCTGCACGCCCTTCGTGTGGCTGATGTTCGTGATCAGAGCCGGCCGAGGCGTTGAAGAAGCTTCCTTATCTCGTACCACATGCGGCGGCATTGATGTTGGCGATGGGGACGATGCGGGTGGGTCGAACGCGTTCAAGACATTTTCGTTGCCTTCCCAACGGTAGGTGTCGGGGTTGTAGAACATACCCTGAAGATCTACAGGGTGGTCAGTATAACGATGTGCAATCCATTGGGCTAGTGCACTTACGTTGCGGAGTCTTGTCCTTATTCATGTTGGAAATTAGATGAGGCTTCAATTGAGGAAGGTTCCTCTTCTTTTTCGACCGCACCGTCGCCTGTGGTAGTCCGGGATTGAAATTGTTCCTGGACGACAGCTGGGAAACGCGCGACGAGGTGAGAGGCGCCAGTGGGCCTGATGGAGCTCGTTGAGCAAGCGAGGTCTCCCGAGCAATTCGGCTAGCCTGGGTATCGCGGGCGAAATGGGGCGTGTAATCACCCTTCGCAGGGGAGTAAGGAGCCGGGGAGGGCGTGGTAGTCCGATCAGGTAGCACATTTTGGTAAAGCTTGTTGCGGAGCGGTGCCTTGACAGGTTGTCGGACAAATTTTGCCTCTGAATGGGCCGAAGTAGGCAAGTCGTCGAATCCGTCCAACTCGTGCCCATCACCAAAGTTCCGAGTTCGGTTTGGCTTGGTGAGAGTGCGGAACGACAAACCGTCGCGGGTGATATGGTCCGAATGACGATTTGTTCTCTTCGGACTCGGCGACCGCATTGTCGACCTGGAAAATGCCCTCGAGGTCGGCCGCAGGTCTAGAGCGTTCTCAGAATCGTGGCGGCGGAAGCTGCGAGAAGTTTTTGCAGTCACGTGCTGCGACTGGGATTGTGACGCCCCAGCAGGGAGAAAGGGGCGTCGTTGCTGGGCAGCGAAGCTTTCCACAGCGGGTCGAGATCTCTCAGTAGGAGTCTTGGGCCGCATCGAGGAAGGCGGACGGCCATCTGTCCTAGACGGTGGCCGTTCAAACCGGGACATTGTCTTTGCCGGTGAGTGAGAGCTGCTCATTGCAGGCAGAGATCGCTTAAATCTCAACAACTGCGTGCTAGTGGTCGTCGGCTCATTACGCAGCGACGTCGTAGAGGTTCTAGCACCAAGCTCTCGCCTGCGTGGAGTCGACGGGAGCAAAGAGCTCGATGGAGAAGGTGTTGTGGGAGTCGGCATGCTATGAATACTCGTGACGGAAGACTGAGATTGGTGACCCATGCGAGACTGAGATCTTCTCGTACGAGCAAAGATAGGACCACCACTCTCAGACACAGGCTCCAGGGCAGACTGAGTTCGCTCATGACGCTCATGACTAGGCCGAGGGAGCCGTGACGGAGTAGCCTTGTTGGTGAAGGTCAATGAGATTGCAGTCTTGGGTCTCTGGGGGCTCGGTGGGCGGTTTGCATTTACACGAATATTGCGATGGAGTGTAAGCCTGCCCGAGTTGAAGACGTCGCCATCACCCACGTCAAGACCATCAAACATGTCTTCAGGCTCTGGCTCGCGCGGCTGAGGAGTCTTGAGATTTGGGGGCTCTTCTTCGACGGGACGCACGGGGGAGCGACTGAGTTTCCTACGACTCAATCTCTCACCAAAGTTGACCGGGCCGCTAGGGAGTACAAGGCCATCAAACGTCTCATCTTCGCTCTCGGCGGTGAATGAGCTCGAGACGCTGGGGCTCATGGCGGAGACAGACGAGCTCCTATTCGAACGAGCGTCTCTTCGTGTGCCTCCGAACCGAGTACCGAGGCTACCCTCACCCCAGTCCAGATCATCTGCCTGGTTCGACGGCGTCTTTGGGATGTCCTTTCTAGTCGAGAGCCTCAATTTGCCATCTGAGGGCAATTCGAAGTCGTTCTCAAAATCATCGTCCAAAGGCTTGTCAATCTTCTGAGGGGTCGGTGGGGTGATAAGTGAAATGGGTTTAGGCGGGCGAGTCTTTGACACTTTGATAGTCTCCGATCCATCGCCAAAGAAATCGTCGTCGTCGTCATCGTTGTCACGGAACTTCTCCAAGTTGAGAGCCCCTGATAATGTGCTCGTCCTTGATTCCGTCGACTCTCTCCTGTCCAATATGGAAACCGCGGGAGGAGTCTTCATAGCTTTGGTCGGACTAGTCTGGTTGGAACCGCCGCTGACTTGTCGAAGAGCGTCGGGGAACCTAGAGCCGTCCTGAGGTTTGATGCGAAGGGCCTGAGCCGAGTCTGGAAGAACCAGATCATCCTCCCAGTCGTCCTGCATGATTTTCTTGATCTTTCGTCCACCAAGTCGTTTAATAGTACCGCCCATTAGAGCGGAAGAAGGTACATTTTTGGGTATCGGAATGCCGGCCTGTGTGGCAGCGGCGATGGCGTCGAGGGTCGACTTCTCGTCGTCGCCCGGGACATGCACGTGGGTCTCTTCGTCCAGGATAGATTCGAGGTCGGAACGGAGGGAAACATGTGAAGACGCAGAGTCGCGTCGTGAGGGAGGAAGGGTGGTAACGGTAGCGGTAGAGGCGGTGCGGAATGTCAGATCGTCGGTGTCGATTTGGAAATCGTCATCGTCCCAGTCTTCGATATCGGGTTCCGCCGCCGGCTGGCGTGGCTTGAGGCGTAGAGGTTCCATGTTTTCGGTAGGTTTCTTTGTTTGGGGGAGCGCAGAATTGAATTGGGTCCGAGAAGGCCGTAGTCGTATCGCAAAAGACTTCCCGACAGCGCTTTTCTGCTTGTCAATGTTGCAAGATCATATCGTCAACAATAACAGCAGCCCCGGCCCGGCATAACCTTGACAAGGCGGAGATAGTGGTCGCAAGCGATGTTGTTTGGTAGTATTTAGGCGTCGCGGGGGGCGCAAAAAGATTTGTCGTGGTGGTGTTTAGGCGTAGAAATGGCGGCGCGGATTGTTTTTGAATCGAGTAAAGTATCGTCGTTTCCGGGAATGTGTGTGGTAGTGTGGGAAGTAGTGTCTGTCGGCTACTGGTAGGATGAATTGCGAGAGATGCAAACAGGTGCAGAAGCAGAACAAGTGGAGGTGATGCAAAGAAAGTTCGTCGTAAGGGGTGATTGCGCAAGAGGAACAGGAACAGGGTCCAGAGATGTCGAGCGTGACGTTTGTCGAGGGTTGTGCTGGAGTAGAATGAGATCAGGGCAGTCGTGAGTGTCGGGGGGGAGAGACTGGATTTGCCCTTCTTGCTGGATGAGATGTAGCAAAAATGGCTGGGAAGCTGGGGTTGATGGATCGGGCCTGGCAAACAGAGCGAGGTGGTAGGTCGGCCAGATGGTGGGCTGGGTCCAGTACGAGTGGTGCGTGGGCACAGCGTGGTGCAGCACAGCGCAACGTAGTGGATGGTGTGGTGGACAGCTGGGTGGCTGGTATTGCGCGCAGGTGTGGGCAAACCCACTGAGCTACGTATCTTGTGAGGTGTTCCGCAGGCACGAGGGTGACAGAATTGGGGGTAGCAGGGACAGCCGGTGTGCGTGTGTTATACGATTCTCACGTTTCCCCTTTTTCGCTAGGTTCGGTTCTCTCGTCTTTTCTTCTTTTTCCTTAAGCTTGATTGAGAATCCACTATCGTCTTTTCTTAGTCTCTCTGTGTAAGGTACTGGGACAACAGAAGGAGGGAGTAAATAATAAGGCCGGCAGGGACGGTGAGAGAGGGAAGAGAGTGGGTAAAAAAAAGAGAAAGCCGATCTAGACAAGCTGGGTCCGCTCTTTTTCTGCGGGACAGGCAGAGTCATGCTCCGGGTGGACAACAGACGGGGGAAAAGAACAGGTGGGAGGCACGGAGGGCGTGGGAGGGTGCAGACCGGGGGTCCAGGGCTCTCCAGTGAATCATAATTTTTCCCAGGGTGAGCAACGTGATTTAGCGGGGACATCAGATGGTTCATTGATTGGACGACGACCACATGTATGCGGGGACGGTTGCACTTGACTTGCACGATTCTGACGCGTTGGAGGCGCGACAGCCCTTTCCACCCGTCGTCGTTTCAATTGAGCTCAGCCAACGGCGAATGCAGCAGCGAGAGGCTGGCAGCTCAGGGAGAAAATGGAGGCATTAGGCTATAATTAGTGCTGCCTGCCTTTTCTAACGATTCCTTTTATCAAGGGCAGGAAAAGAAGTTATCGAGAGTCTATGGGATCCCAGGGCGAAGGAATATTGGACGGTAATTACTTGGTCTGGCTTTTTCTCTCTTCCGGTTCATCCCACAGGCAATAGGTACCTTACACAGTACCTTAGGTCCAAACACAAAGCCGTCGTCTCCGTAGCTTCCTGTTTATTTGTTGACAGCACCCGACCTCGCCCAAGGTAAGGAAGGTACAAGCACAGAAAGCACCAAAACAATTGCTGACGACCTTACCTTCCTTGCCTTACTTTCCCGCCCTCCGTGCCATCCCACGACCTCCGTACCTCCTTCCCGTCCCGAACCTACGTCTCAATACCAAGGTACAGGGCCAAGGCTGCCTGAGGCGTTGCACAGTCCCCCCCCCCCCTCTGCTGCCTGTCTGAGCGCCATAGTTGCCTAGCGCTCTCGACCCCAGGACCCCTCGAAGACCCTCACGGTTAAGATGAAGCCACACTCACTTCACTGTATTTAATCAACAAACTACCAACTTCGGAAATCCAGTCTCAGTCTCACTCTCCCGGACTGCTCTGTCTCAACCTCCATCCAACCAGGAGTTCCCCTCGAGACACCGTAGTTGCAATTTAGATTCCAACCCTGAGAACAAAATAATTACGCACTTACTAAAACTTTCCGACCACAGTCCCGACCAACCTGAGCTCTCGGACCTTGCACCGGGTTGCAACTGCCACTTACATCGAACCTTCAGCTCATCCCCGTGGCACGCAAGGGGCAAACCAACCGATTCTTTCCTCAAGTTTATGTCGATTTAGTTCACCTAGTCATGGCATCCGGCCACGTTCTCCGATTTCCCCGGTCAGACAGTGAAGGCGCTTTTGTCATCGTCCAGGCCACGCCTACTAGGTCAAAGGCACTAGATGTCAAGTTGGTGGGAACAGATGGCGTGGAGCCATATGCCGTTTCTCGTGAGTTTCCAACTTCCAAGTTCCAAACGCTCGTCATCCCGCCTTCCTGGCCGACGATCACCGCGGCCCGGGCGAGTGGGGTCCTGGCCGACACCTGTTTCATGCGCCGAACTCATCCACCTCATATTATACGGGAAATTTTGAAAAAAGCTAACGGTAGGGTTTCCCTGGTAGTGCGTCATGACAAAGTCGCATCACTACGCGTCAAGAACAGTCCAGTGTCTGAGGAAGAATGGGTCACTATCCTGATTGCGGTCTTGCACCAAGAACCGGCCGAGGGCGTTGAGGCAATCGCCTCTGTGGAAAACGAGTCAGTTCTCACCCTGACAATCCGAAAAAAGGGGAATGAGTTTACAGTAAGTTTTTTCTATGTTCCAGCCTTTTTCCCTACCTTCCGGATGGGTGGCCGGGCTGGGCTGACGGGCTGGGTAAACTAGCAACGGCTCGGCGCCATCGAGTTGAGCCACAGCCCACGCGAGCTCATTGAGCTATTCGACTGGTGTGCGCTCTCGGCGCAGACAGCCAATGAGGCCAAGGAAGCTCTAGCCTCGACGACTGCAAAGGCAAGCAAACTCGAAGAATCTGTGCGGGAGCTCAAAGCTCAACTCGACGAGCTAGTCGCGGCCAAGGAGGCTGACGAGTCGGAACTGCTCGAAAAGTTCCGCGACCTGCTCAACGAGAAGAAGGTCAAGATCCGCCAGCAGCAGAAGCTACTCGCGTCTGCATCCGTCGAGCCGGAGAAGCTAGCGCAGGTACAGCAGAGCTCCCAGGCCGCGGTAAGAGGCCATGCGGCCGCCAAGTCGAGGCCGGGCAAGAGGAAGACCGCTCCCGCGCCTGTCGATGATGCTGATTCGTCAGAGGAAAGCGAAGGCAAAATGGATGTTGATGAGGTGAAGGAGCAAGCTGCGGACCTGTCAGATCAACAGCGTGACACGACTGAGGACGAGGACGAGACGGCTAGCGAAGATGATGACGACGAAGAGCCGGCAGCACCAGCACTCAGTAAGCACACGCGGTCTCAACTATCACCACCGCCCAAGCCAAAGGCCGCTGCCACGCCCGCGAAAAAGGAGGCGCCTCCTGCAAAGAGGGAGTTGCCTTTTGCAAGAAAGAAAGCAGCTCCCAAAGCTCCACCGCCGCCCGCTGGCAGCGAGACGGAATCTGATGATGAGTTATGAGGTGACGAACATGAAAACGAATAAAGCACGATACCTTCACTTCAGGCCTTCTCACATTCATGTCATGCCAATGTGCCCCGTAGGCGTGAGAGATTAGACTTGCACACAGACATCACTATCGGAACGACGTCCATAATTACTAATTACAACTAACAATACTAAATACGCCCTTGACTACAACGAGCGGTGGCGGACCCCGAACTTTGTCATACTCAACGGGTATCATCAGCGTCGAACTTGTTCTTCCAGAACCCGCGAACGTGCTTGGTCTTGCCAGCCTCGGCAATCTCTTTCACCTCGCGGGGTGTAAGCTTGATGGCGGGGATATGGTTCAGGTAGCTCTGCAGTCTCTCCTCCTTGGAAGACGTGGTGATGACAATCAGACCCTGATCGATGCACCAGCGGAGTCCGATGACAGAGTCGCTCACGCCGTACTTCTTGGACAGGTTGGCCCAGATCGTCCTAACGGGCGAATCGACGTCCGAAGTAATCGGCGTTAGAGGCGCATAACAAGACACGGCAATATTATTATCGCGGTGGAATTGCAGCAGGTCGCCGTGCTGCAGGTGAGGGTGGAACTCAATCTGGTTGATAGCAGGCACGACCTTGGCCGTCTTCAAGATGGCCTCGATCTGCGGCTGCAAGAAGTTGGAGAGCCCGATGCTCTTGGCGCGGCCGCTGGCCTGGATGGCCTCGAGATCCGCCCACTTTTGCTGCAGCTCCTCGTCCGAGTCGGCGAAGAAGGGCGCGTGGATGAGGTAGAGGTCCACGTACTCGAGGTCGAGCTTCTTCAGCGAGGTAGCGAAGGCCTCTTCGGTGTCCTGCTTCTTGGTACCGCTGATTTTGGCGGTGACGTAGAGCTTCTCTCTTGGCACGCCGGCCTTTTTGATGGCTGCGCCGAGTTCTTCTTCGTTTCCGTATACTAGAGATCGTGTTAAAAAGTGGTGATCTGTGGGAAGTGTGAGTGAGTGAGTGATATTGCACGCACCTTCGGCGCCATCGAGATGATGGTATCCGGCCTTGATCGCCATGACGGTGTTGTCGACGATCTTCTCGTCAAAGCTGGCCCCGCCAGCCTTGTAGTTGGCAGTACCCAGGCCATATCCGAGCTGCAGATACGTCAGTATGAGACGTTTCTTGGAGCAAGCCGACGGCGATGCAGCAATTTTGTAATTTAAGATTTGAGTTGGAATGCCCTGGGATTTGGCGCTGGATGCTGACATGCATTGCCGAGCGGCAGATCTTCCCGCAGGAACGGGAATCCTTTAACTTGAAGTCTCACTCACCATTGGAATCATCTTGCCATCGTTGAGAGTGAGCCACGGGATATAATCCACCTGCTTGGGAGGGGTTCCCGAAGCATCGGGCGTGAAGGTGGACAGAATCGAGTTCATGGTGCGTTTTTGAAGATGTTGAGAGCTGATGAGGGGCAATACGGGACGAGGACGTAGCGTTGAGCAGAGTCTGGATGAGTTTATCGTCAAGAACATCAAGCGATGTAATATGGAGGGGAAGATAAAGGATAGCTTCGAGCAAACGGGTATTGATGGACCGCGGCCAGGGGTTTGTATTTCTAATACAACGAGACGGCCTTCTACTGGTCTCTTACGAGGGAGGAGCTATGAGGTAGGAGCTATGAGGTGAGGGGTGACGGTTGTGTTATCAGCACGATGGGATGGGACGAGGACGAGACACTCAAAAGGGCACTGGTCTTTCAGCTCTTGCATCGAGGTTTGTTTCGATGACATGCAGTAATAGCAAACTCGCAGGAAAAACATGCTTCCCCCGCCTGCATCGGCCAACAAGAGCCGAGACGTCCAATTGACATCACCGAAAGTCGTGCCTCTACTGGTAAATTGGGGTGAGCTTTCTTGGTGTGTCAAAGGGAGGCGCTTTTTCGGAACTTGCTGCAGTGGGCTGGAACCGCAGCTTTCCTTTTCCTCACCCCCACTTGCCCCAATTGGAGCTGTCTGCTAGGGCGTGCTGGATTCCCGGGACGGCGGCGGGGAGGGGGAGTTTGGGGGCTGCTGCATCCTTTTCGCAGTGACGCCAACGGTGACGACAGTGTGGGAGCTGTTGCGTGATGCATCACCCGGGGGGCTTCGACATGCAGCGTCGGCCGGGACTCGGACCGTGAACTTTGGGTACCTTATCCTGGGGGCTTTGGACCCCTTTCGGATCATGGAGCGGGGACCGAAGGGGGTTTCGAAGTTCGAGATTTTGATAAAAGTATTCGAGTTGTCTGGATGATTAATTGTCTCCGGAATCGGTGGTTGTTGCCATCGGCGACCGTCGAAGTGGACGCCGAGGTTCTTTCTATCCAGGTGCGCATCTTTGGTTTAGTCAGCGTAGATTTTTTTGGGGCATCGCCACTGAAGCTCCGAGAGTCCCTCATCGCCGACTCGGTGCTGACTTACACACTACGGATCATCATTACCGAATGACCCCTCCACCACGTTTTCTGTAATCACTTTTCATGTACACTTGCAAATGATACCCCCATTCTCTTCATGTGAATAGATTTGTTTACCCTCCGTTGTATCTCGCACCAAAAGTGAACCTCAAATCCGCGTATATGCTCTCGAGACTGCTCTCCCGCCGAGCCGTCCCAAGAGCTATCATCAAACCTCCGGCCATCATGGCCGCCCAACTCTCCAACGGCGCAAAGCCGACAGCGACGTCCTACCAAGGCCTCCCGATAGGCGAACTCCCCAAGACATGGACCTACACCTCCTCCCTCCCGCCCGACGCAATCTTCCCGACGCCAGCCGACTCCCACAAGACCCCGCGCGACCAAATCGCCCCGCGCGGCGTCCGCAACGCGGCCTTCACCTGGGTCCGCCCCGAGACCACCGAGAACCCGGAGCTCCTCGCCGTGAGCCCGGCCGCGATGCGCGATATCGGGATCAAACAGGGCGACGAGGAGTCAGAGGACTTTAAGCAGACCGTCGCTGGGAACAGGTTACACGGCTGGGACGAGGAGAAGCTCGAGGGCGGGTACCCCTGGGCGCAGTGCTACGGCGGGTTCCAGTTCGGGCAGTGGGCAGGCCAGCTGGGTGACGGGCGGGCTATTTCGCTGTTCGAGACGACGAACCCGGAGACTAAGACCCGGTACGAGCTGCAGCTCAAGGGCGCGGGTATCACCCCGTACTCTCGCTTCGCGGACGGCAAGGCGGTGCTGCGGTCGAGTATCCGCGAGTTCGTCGTCTCCGAGGCCCTCCACGCCCTCGGGATCCCTAGCACGCGCGCGCTGTCTCTGACGCTGTTGCCCAATGTCAAGGTTAGGAGAGAGACGGTTGAGCCGGGTGCGATTGTGTTGCGCTTTGCGCAGTCTTGGATCCGGTTGGGAAACTTTGATCTTCCCCGTGCCAGAGGCGACCGCGCCATGCTCCGTACGCTGGCAACATATGTAGCCGAAGACGTCCTCGGCGGTTGGGAAAAGCTCCCCGGCCGCCTCGACAATCCCGAGAAACCCGCCGACTCTTCCCTCCACGAGCCCGCACGCGGCGTCCCGGCAACAGAAATCCAGGGCCCAGACGACTCAGCTGAGAATCGCTTCACCCGTCTCTTCCGCGAAGTCGCCCGCCGCAACGCTCTGACCGTCGCCAAGTGGCAGGCCTATGGTTTCATGAACGGCGTGCTGAACACGGATAACACCTCCATCGCGGGCCTGAGCATCGACTTCGGCCCCTTTGCGTTCATGGATAACTTTGACCCAGCCTACACGCCCAACCACGACGACCACATGCTGCGGTACAGCTACCGAAATCAGCCGACCATCATCTGGTGGAACCTCGTTCGCTTCGGCGAGGCACTAGGCGAGCTTATCGGCGCGGGGGCTGGCGTGGACGAGGATAAGTTCGTCAAGGACGGCGTCGAGGAGAGCGAGTCCGAGGTCCTCATTGGACGGGCCGAGAAGCTCATCATGCAGGTCGGCGAGGAGTACAAGGCGCTCTTCATGGCCGAGTACAAGCGTCTCATGACGCTTCGCGTTGGTCTGAAGAACTTCAAGGAAAGTGATTTCGATGAGCTGTTTAGCGGGCTGTTGGACACCATGGAGACCCACGAGCTGGACTTCAACCACTTCTTCCGCCGCCTCAGCTCCGTCAAGCTGTCGGATATTGCTACCGAGGATGCCCGCCGCGAGACAGCTGCCCGCTTCTTCCACGCCGAGGGCGCGACGGCCGGCAGCGAGGCCAAGGGCCGGTCTGATGTCGGGAACTGGCTGGACAAGTGGCGCGCTCGCGTCGTCGAAGACTGGGGTGAAGAAGAGGGCCAGGATGCCGAGCGGGAGAAGGCCATGAAGGCTGTGAACCCCAACTTTGTGCCGCGTGGCTGGGTGCTTGACGAGATTATCAAGCGGGTTGAGAAGGATGGCGAGAGGGATGTGTTGAGGAGGGTTATGCAGATGGCGTTGCATCCCTTTGAGGAGAGCTGGGATGGTCAGGAGGTTGACGGTCAGGAGTACAAGGGTGATAGGGCGGAGGAGGAACGGTGGGTTGGAGATGTGCCCAAGTTGAAGAGGGCTATTCAGTGCAGCTGTAGCTCATAGGGTATCCAGCCCATAGATGCGAGCCTTCAATGAGAATCTCAAGCGCCTAAGATCAAGAAAGGTTGTGTCAAGTGTTGAAATGCTGCCACTGGTTCATATACGTTCATCATTGCCGTCCTCAGACGTCAAAACGACATGTATCTAAATCTTGTCTCGGTAGCCATCATGATTTACAGGTCTAATTGATCAAAGCTACGGAAACCATGAATTGGGAACTCCAGCAGACATTTGCTCTCATAAGGGAATGGGAAATACCAACTCTATCGTTCTGCGCGATCCAAGGTACTTCCTCCATCATACCGGTTCATTTGCTTCCTGAAAACCTTCCAAGGTTTCCAGCAACTTCTCACTGCGAAGACCATCTGTTAGTATCTTCATCACATCTTGGAAAGTTCTTTCTTGTTTCCATTGCTTCGGACACACGTTCGGCCAGTTTGCGATGTGCGGCCAATACATCCAGGATCCTTGATTCGGTTGTCTTCCACCGTCGTAGCGCTGCCGATTAATGAGTACATACTCCTTTAGATCGCTGGTAGTACGAGCCGCGTTGGGGGTAGCACAAGATTGTTTTGTAATTTGCATCATTATGCGTGGTGTTGACAAGTAGCAAATTCGTATACGGTGTGTAGAGGCCAGGTGCGTAACAAGTAGAGTTGAAAGATTCTACGATCACCTTCATCATTACCACTGCCTTTAGATTGCCCTCGCCTGCATCTCTAAGGGTGTATTCTCAGGGTGTAATCCCAGAGAATCGACTGCCTATCTACCTCAAGGGGGAAAAAAGGGTTATGATGGCGGTAGTACGTAAGAATAGCGGTCATGTTAATTGGGCGGCAACACTCACTTGACTACCTAGTAGGCCCATACACCTTCTTTACTAACGGAGGCCACTTGGAGATGACATCGATCAGGCATCACGAGACACAAAAGACATGAAGGTATTTACTTTCTTCAACTACCCACCACTCTCTACCCGCGCGTGCTATTATATACAAGCAATGCATCCATCCCAAACAAAGGAACTCTCTTTTCTTCTTCATCTTCGTCCTCCTCCCTCTACGGTCGTAGTCGTACAGTCTGTCCCTCATGCTCCGTACGCAATCTGGCCCATTGGCCTGTCCTCCTCCATGCCTGGTGCCATGAAGTTGGTCTTGGGGCTGCCACTGGCCTTGGCCGCCGAGCAGCGGGCCATTGTCGGTGAACTGGATGTACATGTTAGCTATGACTGACAAAGATTTCGAAAACGTCTTGACACGGATAACATACCTTCTTGAGATGACGTCTGTGAAATAGAAGTTCTCGATAACCTTCTTCAAAGGTGTACCACTGGCCTTGGAGCCCTTGTTCTGGTCTACCAGTTGAACCTTGCTCAGTTGCTGCAGAGCGACGGGCTCAACCACATCGTAGGCAGCCAGGGCAGGGCTGATCTCGGCCATTCTGTCACGAAGCTGGGCAACGTCGTTGTAAGGCAGAGGAGCACCGAGGAACTCGCTGACGGCACGGGCAATCTTCCAGTCGGTACGGGAAGCACCGGGCAGGGAGGTGGCGGCGCGGGTCATCTGGACACGGCCCTCGGTGTTGATGTAGGTACCAGCCTTCTCGGTGTAGGCAGCACCGGGGAGAACAACGTCGGCGATCTGGGCACCGCGGTCACCGTGGTGACCCTGGTAGACGACGAAAGCGTTCTTGGGAATGTCCTTCTCAGAGATCTCATCGGCACCAAGGAGCCAGACGAACTTGGGGGCAGTCTCAGCAACCTCAGTGGAGGGGGTGGTGAAGCCGACCTCGAAGGCACCGGCGCGGGAAGCGGCTCTCTGGAGAACGTTGTAACCGTTCCACTCAGGGGTGATGAAGTTGGCGGCGTTCTTGTCGACGAAGGCACCTATGGTCTCGTAGAAGGCCTTGGCGTCAACGTGGTCAGTGACACCAGAGCCAACGACGATCATGGGGCGCTTGGCAGCCTGGAGCTTCTTGCCGAAGGGTCCGGCAAGGGCCTGCTTCAGAGCAGCGTGGTCGAGGCCAAGGTGCTCAAACTCAAAGGTTGAGTCCCAGGTCTCGCCAACGACACCAATCTCGAGGTCAGAGCGAAGCCATTGCTTGCGGATACGAGCGTTAAGAACAGCGGCCTCGTGGCGGGGGTTGCTTCCGACGATGAGGATGGCATCAGCCTCCTCAATACCGTAGATCCTGGAGTTGAACAAGTAGTTGGAGCGAACGTCGATACCGTGGGCGACGGGCTTGCTTCCGTTGGGCATGTCGAGGGCCAAGTTCTCGGAGCCGAGCTTGTTGGCCAAGTCCTTCATGGCGACCAGGGACTCAACCTCGGTCAGCTCACCGGCGATAACCTTGAACTCGTTACCCTTGGGCTGGATGTGATGGTAGGCGTTGGCGACCTCCATGAGGGCCTGTTCCCAGTCGGCGGGCTCGAACTTGCCCTCACGGCGGATCAAAGGCATGGTCAATCTCTGGGTCTTCAGTCCATCGCAGGCGAAACGAGTCTTGTCGTTAATCCACTCTTCGTTGACGTCGTCGTTGAGTCTGGGGAGGATACGCATAACCTCGAGGCCACGGGAGTCGACACGGATGTTGGATCCCAAGCCGTCAAGGACATCGATGGACTCGGAGTGCTTCAGTTCCCAAGGTCTCGCGCGGAAAGCGTAAGGCTTCGAGGTGAGGGCACCAACGGGGCACAGGTCGATAACGTTGCCGGAAAGTTCGGAGTCGAGGTTCTTCTCAAGGTAGGTACCGATCTGGATGTCGTTGCCACGGCCGAAAGAGCCCATCTCGGGGGCACCGGCGATATCGTTGGAGAAACGCACACATCTGGTGCAGTGAATACATCTGTTCATGGAGGTCTTGATGAGAGGGCCGATGTTCTTGTCCTCGACGGCACGCTTGCCGCCAATTTCGTGGAAGCGGCCACGGTCGCCACCGTATCGCATCGACTGGTCCTGGAGATCGCACTCACCACCCTGGTCGCAGATAGGGCAGTCCAGAGGATGGTTGGCGAGGAGGAACTCCATGACACCCTCGCGGGCCTTGTGTGTGATGGGGGAGTTGGTCTTGACGACCATACCGGGCTGGACGGGCCATGCGCAGGAGGCTACGGGCTTCGGTGCACGCTCGACTTCGACCAAGCACATACGGCAGTTACCGGCAATCGCAAGCTTTCTGTTGTATTTGTCAGTCGGGGGTCATCCCTCGCAGCGGTCATCGATTCGATCGAAAAGGGTGTCGTACTCATGGTAGCAATATCTGTAGAGAAGTTAGTAAATGCCATACGGATTGTTTATTGACGGCTGGACAAACCTGGGAATTGTGACGCCTGCCTTTTCGCAAGCTTGAATCAGGGCGGAGCCGGCTAGAAGATCGTGAGTAGGAATCCTCGGACACGGCCACATTGCAGCTCACCTTCGACCGACACTTTCTTTCCGTCTATAGATCTCGTCAGCAACCTCGATAGAACCCAATTGAGCCCCTCGCGAGGGCGGGTTCGTCCTTACCAACAGTCAGTTCGACTTCAGCATTCCTGCGAGCTGTTGTAGCAAAAGTTCGCGAGGCATTGGCGGCCTGCTTGCCAGTCCGCCAAGCCGAACGTGCTAATGAATGCCGCAGCATCGTATCGCCTTGACGGATTGAGACTCTGACGAAACGGGGGAGGGCGTTTGGGTGAGAGGCGGATTGATATTCAATCGTTGACGTCGGGAGGGAACTGCTCTTCTGTCCCGGACCATGGGGATTTGGTGGCGCTAGTGCGTAAATCGCGATTAATTTACATCAACCGTGATTGGTCGACCATCCCGGAAGCTTACTTATCGCCTGAGGCATCCAAAATTCTCTCTGAGCACCATTTAGTCTGCGGAAAAATTCGTCGCAGAGCGCCTCTTTCTCTTTTTCCTCTTCACTTTAAATTGTATGGACACTTATCGTAGGTGAGCTTGAGCTTCGCAAGATGCTTGATCGAGCCTTCCTCTATCTAGTGTACCTAGATGAAGCTTTTTGACGCCGTTTATGGAAGCATGGGAGAATTCTTCAATGACCGCTGCCTCTTACCGCCGGTCGTTACATATCATGATGACGACGAGACTTAGATGTAGATAGTACGTGTGTTTTTACCAATATCTCGTGATGCGTATGTACGCTACTTATGTACACGAACCGCGTGGCGGATGCATCGCCGTCATGCGCCGGAAACATCCTTGTGGCAGCGTTTTGGTCGGTCCTCCTCAGACCTCCGGCTGTCTTGCATGCCGCCCTGAGTTCTTGTTGTCCTCCTGAGACACTTTCGTCAACTGCTACTCAAACTATCTTTTGTCGCTTCTAGCTTCGAGCAGGTTCATCCCCCTGCCCTTGGTGGGCAGACGATGCCTTGAGTGCAGCGTTCAACATCTCTTGATAGGGCTCTTTGAGCTCCTGGGCGTGGTTGGTGTATCCGTACAGTTGACCCACGGCTTGGCCAGCATTGTAGAGAGACCATTGAAGTGCTGATGGCCTAGGAGGCATCACTTGCGGAGCCTCGGGAGGCTTGTACGTGGACAGGTGTCGGTCGTTATAATCGGCGCCGGGCGGTATCGGGGCGTGGACCGACTCCATGATGAGAGCTTCCTCGCCTTGCATGAGGCCCGCGGGCGTCTCAATGAAGCCCTTTTCCGCTTCTTCTTGTTTCGCAACCTGTAAGATTCGCTTGTGCTCTCGCTCATAAACAAAGACAAGGTTCTGCTCGACGGCGGCTGTGTGTTTTTCGAGATTCTCTTGGCAGAGCTTGATGCGCTCAAGCTCGCTACGCGGAGCGTCGTAGGGATCGAAGAGGCTCTCTTCTAAAGGAATGAACATCGCCAGAGCCGGCACCGCTTGTGGGATATCCTCCTCCTCCTCCATGGTATAATCAGCAGAGGCTCCTGCCTTTCCAAGTCCCGTCGACTGATCACTTATGGCTTCTTGCATCTTGCCCACAAGTCCGTCGCTATTATCGAAATCTGGGTGCCAATCTGGTTCTTGACCGCATCTCAGGTCGAATTCGCAGTGTCGCGACCCGATTGAATTGAGTAATATGATGGAAGGTGTGTAGGACGAAAGGTTGAGGTTCCGCTTCGTGGGAAGGTGGGACTAAAACTGTAAAGGTAAGCTGAGGTCCCACGCCTGTGATCGCAGTCTCAAGGTGGCATCAAACTTACACCCCGGTCCTACTATTTTGGGATTGACTAAAATCTCAATGGGCACACATGAACAAGATATATTCAAGTTTCGTTGCAGAGGCTCTGTTAGCGTCGCTTGTTTGCTTGTCTCTCACTTTTGAGTGAGGTCGTTGAAGTTTCCCCAACTTCGCTGGTGTACCAAGTGAAAGGTTCAGTGCGAGTCTGAGCAGGTAAGTGCGGCATAGGTACGAGAGTGAAACGCTAAATTTTTGAATTTACAACTATTTGCTATTGGATATCACATTTATATGATCAGTCCGGTCCTAGCTCTGGACATCCCTTGAATATGTAGGTTGTTCAGTACAATCGGTTCCTGCCTCATGACCCCGAAGACTCGGCCAACTGCTGCATTTGGCTCAGCATATGTGGTTGTTTTCTCATATGATGGCTTTCTTTGTGATGTCCTTTGCGGGTACTTCGGGTCGACCGCCCATCTCCAAGAGAGGACTTCTTCATCTTCGCTATCCAGACTGTTCCCTTGATGAGATCATTCCCCGTGTTCAATCAAAGGGGCACAGATGTTCGGGCCGTCATGGGAGCATTCGCCACTACTCCAAGACTGACTTCAAAGCGTCATTGCTGTCGAAGAAGCCTCCCAAGCGGGACGAAGGGTAGAGAACACACTAGACAGACCGGTGTCGCTTCAAGCAGCGAGTAGCGATACTGTCGATCGAGCCGACTGTGTTATCAGCCTGAAAGCCTCGCATTCTCGTACTGCCGGCGAGAGAGTTGTCATCTGGCCGGTAAGACGTTCCTCACGTACTCCCGCATCAACTTCACCCCTGCCCGGACCAAGTCTTCCAGTCGCCGGTCCTTGCGCTTGCGCATCCACAGTAGGATGAAGGCTAGCAGCACCATATCGATGGCTAGATGTTTCATGATAACCCACGTAAACCATCGTAGCCAGGCTGGAAAGCTTCGTGACTTTTTGGACTTCCACTCTCTGCCTGTTGTTATTTGCTCTCGTAACGCCGCGACCTCGGCGGACAGCTTCTCAAGTGCGCGCTCCACGCTGCGGGACCAGTTACTGCTGGGCACGAGCGCGTCCCCTTCGTCATCATCGTCGTAACCTATCCTTCCATCTGAGTTCCTTTCTGCCGCATCGTCCTCGCTCATGGGGCTGAGGACCTTCAGGGGGCCTTCGGATCCGGTCAGGGGTGGCTGGAACTGTCGTAATTCGCCGGTGTAACCTGTGCCTTTCGGTGAAGAGTCGGTCGAGCTGGGGCTATTGTTCTTGATCTGATTCCATACGAACTCGAGTTCCGAGACTAGTTCTTTTGCGTCTCTGTGGTGACGAGTCAGTGGGCTGCGATGCGCAAAGAGCGGTTCCAGTGGCAGGAGGGTAGGTAAGCGGGCTTACGGTGTTGTCGCATATTTGTGCATCGTCTCGATCAATGCCTCGATATATCTCCTCTTCGCCTCCGTCCGGCTCAAACCTTTCTGAAGGTTCCATGCATCCCACTTGTCTTTCTCGCGTTGAAGCTCGTCGGCTGGCATGCCGGAAGCCGAGGTCGGCCGCTCCATGACGCCATCGACATCCCCCTCCATCGCTTGCTTGTAAAGGCCATAGAGTCGAAGTCTGTCGGACGGCGGGGGACGCGATGCCCCCGTTTTGGGGATTTTCTTGACGGTATTTAAGGCATGGACGAACACGCGATCTATAGAGAGAAGGCATAATCGCATAATTAGCCGGGGAATTGCTCTCTCCACAACGGGCGCAGAGTAAGGTTCTGCTTGCACTCACCCACGGAGTCAGCCATCTAGAAAGCCGTTTCTCGAGGCGACCGCACCGACGTGATTAGTTGGCAAAGGGAGGGAAGACGCGTTCGTTTAATGGGGGTATATCCGAGGTGTTCTGAGCGTCGGGGTTGGGTTCGGCTCAACAACACCAGGCGGAGATAGCAACTCAGATAACCTAGTTCCGCAAATCACCTGGATGTGCCGGTAGAGCGAGGTACCTTGGCAGCCGGAACTGAAACGGAATGGGGGATCGACAGGTGCTGGGAAAAGGAGAGACTTAGAGATCCAGCACGCTGACATGCATTATGTGAGAGCTTCGCCATGAGACTCTTTCCCTTCGTCGTCCAAAGAGAAAGAAGGGATCTAGTGGGTAGCAGGAGAGTAGCGGCGGCGATGGCGGGTGCTGGCAATGAGGCAAAGGTATTTCGGTACCGGCAATCAGCTGTCTCTAAATTGGGCCCTGGAGAGGGCCACTGGGGGGGTTCGCGCCGATGTTAGCAGCATCGGAAGGGGTGGGCGATTTCCGGTAAATCGTGTTTGCCTCGGCCGCGGGTCACGCAACGCAACTCAGACGCAGCGAAGCCCGCGCAACCAACTACGACCCCAACCCAGCAGCAGCACCTGGGGGAGTTTAGAGTGGACGTGGGACCTGGGTGCGCGGGCCTGACGCGGGCTTGTCAGGGGTTTGTGCTTCTCCGAGATCCCGACTAGCAATTTACTCCCATCATCCCCGCGTCTTCTGTCCCTTGTGCGTGTGATTGAAGCTAGGTACCGGTAGCCTGCGGCATCTGCTTGTCGGCCGAGAGAGACATGTATGTAAGCACGTGAAATGCGGGCAACCTTGGATGTGCGGGATGTTCCATTGTCTTTTGTTTTGTTTTCGTCCTCGATTTAAAGTTCCGTCAATTGAGACTTCAGTATAAGTTCTGAGCTGATATTGAGCCGAGGCCTATGGGTCCCAGCATAGCGGCTACGGATGTCCATCGTTATTCGGCATTGGGCAGCTAGCTGTTTACTCATCTCGGCTCCTAGGTTGAGCACCCACGCGGTTTGTATGGTTAACACTTCAGCGAACGTCCGAGTCGAGCTCATCTGGTGTTTCTGGTGTGCTTCATCAACCTCCTTAACAGCTATACACAGCTATGTACTATCTAGCGATAGCTTTTCGGGCAATTTCGTCACTTGGAGGCTCTTGTTTCTTCTTAGATGGTTGTTGCTTCAATTGAAACTGGTATCATGGGTATAGTGCAACCGCCTCACTCTGACCTCGCCTATTTCTCCCCAAGAGCTGCCAGGAAAGCCTTCTTCTTATCCTGATACACCTTCAACAATTTCTTGTTGTTTAGCGCCATTTGCGCTGCCTTTTGGCCCGCCTCCTTCTTATTCAAGTCGCTACCGGTTCCGAGGAGCTTATTTTTCTCGCCCCATCCGTCAAGGTACACTCCGACGCTGAAGAGGGCCAGCTTCTTGTTGTACTTGTCTTTCTTGTTCGCATTGGGTAAGTCTTCGTAGCGGATGGTGATGCCGTTCGCACCAATAGCTTGACTAAGGAGGACCTTTGGAGGCAGACTAGACTCTTCTGTCACCGTCGCGCCAAGCTCCTTGACTGTCTGCAACCCGGGCGTCTTGGCAACCGACCTGATCTGGTCCTTGATAGTCGATGCCCATAGTGTCCTGAGCCACTCTGCAACTCGAGTGAGACCGTTGATGGGATCGGAAAGAACCACAGCAGCGACGTATGCTTCAAACAAATCACCGCGAACCTTTTTGATTTCATGTGGTTTTGCCACGGCCGGCTGAGTGCCTCTGGGCTTGAACTCGGACGGCAGATTCGCTCTTTCGAACAGCCCGTAGTGTGTTGAGTACTCTCCCAGGTTGGCATTGCGAATCAGAAGCTCTCGGATCTGCGAGCACTGGCCCGTTGACATCCCTCCAAAAGTCTGGAAGATGAGGGAGGACGAGATCAACTCGACATAGGCGTCTCCAAGCCACTCAAGGCGGTCGTAAATCAAATCCGATTTGTGCTTGGCCACGCCTACATGAGTAAAGGCCGCCAACTCTAGGACAGGATTCGTGATTTTTGGCAGAGGCGGCATTGTCGTCGGAATATCGGCTGGCGTCCATGGCTTGACCAGGATGAAAGACGGTATTGGCGGTCCTGAGACCACTGGGCTTTGCTTTGGTGTCAATGGGGATTGGCCCTTCTCATGTGATACATCCTTTCCCTATTAAGTCAGCAAAAAGTTGACAACGCATGAAACGTAGCTAATGTCTTTACCTCATTCTCGTCAATCTCACCGCTTTCGAGGGCTTGTGTCTTTCCTTCACTAGCCAACTGCTCAAAAGATGGCAATAACACCTTGCTGAGCTGCCGTATCTTTTGCAAGTCTTCGCGATGGATAGAAGATCTTGTCTTGGCCTTGATAAGTGCCTGGAGACATTCTATGAGGTCATCGCCGTGATCGAGAAGCAAGTCTATTGCCTCGCTTTCGGTATGCCTTCGCTTGCTCGGTGGTAGCGTCCCTGAACTCGAGCGCTTGCTCATTTTGATTCTCCCTCGAGACAAACAGATTTCAAATAACGGTGGAAGGATACAACAAGATGTTGTGATTGATGTTGTGAAAAAGAAAAAGAAGAATGAAATGTGGTCGATAGGACTGAGAGTATTTCGTCGCAATGTCGAAACTTACGTCTTATTCACCAGTGGGCATCTCAAGAAGCAACAAAAATTAAGCAGTCCAGGCTTGGGTGGAGCTCACTGTGCTTCCGCTGCAGGGATCAAGTCCCTGAGCCTGGGATGCGACAAGGACGTGGATACGTACCGAGTGTTGCCGGCCAATCGATGATCCCAGGACCGCAACCAATTGGAGTGCGCAGCTCTCATCTTGCGGGTCCAATTCAGGACTCAGGTTCGCCCAAGCTTGTTCGACTTCGCGACAAATTTCTGGCTGGTCTGATAGAGCTCTATCAAGACCTGCAAAATGAGTGTCCCACGCGCGAGGTTGTTGGACCTCATGAAGGTGACTTCGCGATTCTCTGACCTGTCTGGTCGTTTGCTAACCTCTATAGGCCCAATGCGAAGTCTTTGCGACAGTATTTAACCCCGAGGGAGTGAGGACGGGCAACAAGATCCTGCGCCAGCGAATGAAGGGACCTGCTATCGCCGACTACTACCCACGCAAGGTTGTGACCGTCAAGGATGTGCAGAGGGAGTTTGGTCCTCATGTCACAACCCTCGACTTGGAAGAGATGGACCGCTTGGAACACATTGCTGGGTACGTCATGGGCTGAAGGGGGCGAAGGAGCTACCGCTAACGCCTAGACAGACTGAAGGCCAGAGGAAAGAGCGCGCCGAAAAAGAAGAAGACGAAGAGTGAGTCATCCCGTTTGTTGCCTCCAATTAGATATCTATGCTGACCGTTCTACAGCCGAGCCCAAGAAGCGATAAACGTCGACCAAGAGATCGATTGTACGATACGATGTGCATTCATAGAGCGATCCCCCGGAATCTTGCGCGCCAGGACACTCTCCATATATAGAGAGCGGCGAGACTTTGGTCAGTCCAGCTGCCGACCGAGGCAGCCCCGGCGGCTCTGTCATAGTATGCGAGTGTCTAGGGACCCTCAGGCACAGGCATGGTATAAAAATACCGTAGATTACGGCTTCAGCCGGCCATGGGGAGGATATCCATCAACATGGAGGGCAGCCAGTGTACAAATACAATGGAGGATATCAGAGTCAAAAATCATAAGTCTCTCCGAGAGACAGCCTTGTTTCATGTTTCAAACGACAACTACCATTTTGTTGATTCCCAGCTGAATGATTGCCTTGGTCGGTAGGTGCCGAACGCCACTGCGTGCTGCGTGGAGCTATTCGCAAGTAAAGACACTTAGTACTTCCTAATTTCCTCAGTGCTAGGAACAATACCGTCTGGTGTCTGCCCTGGATCTGCGAATCTTCGTCCTACTGCTCGTGGCATATCTGGCGAAGCATACAAGTGCCATCGCAAAAGCTGAGTCTTTTCAAAGGGCTGATGAAAGGATTCGGGTAAGGCAGCAGGAGCGGTATGCTTTCCCTTCAAGTTGAATGTCATCTGATGGTTAGGCAACGCTATGGTAGGCAGTGGTGAATAATCAGAGGCCGGCTAGCCAGGCCCTTCTCCTTCAGCTGGAATATGGAGCGGCTCGACAGGTCTTCTCATGTAGAAAGACTTGCACGGTACCTGCGTAAACAAGTTGAACGTCCTCGCCCAAATCAGGAAGACCGTGCTAAATCTCGGCCGAGTCGCGAACTCCTTCCGACTTCAACGCCCTCAACAACAGCCCTTCCTTCGCCAGGCCAAGCAACAGCTCATCATTCCTCCTTCAACTCGGAACCGACTTCACGATCTAAACGCTTTCAGATCATTCTGTCCTGACCCGCAGCAGCTTCGATTAGGACCTTCGTACGCCTTACCTTGAAAAAGGTGCCTGTGCTGCTCGGAACTGCCTCCTTCCCGACACCAACTCGAGCTCCTTCCTCGTTCCTACCTCACCTTCCCATCCCCCATTCTCTCCCCATTCCCACCACAAAAAGCTTTCCTCACCTTTCCCCTCCACAATTCCTCCACAAACAAACCTCTCCCTCCACCGCAAAGAAGATCTCCATCAGCACTCTTCTTTGCGTCTCCCTCCCAAGGAATCTTTCTCAACTTGTCTGCCACCTTACGGCATTACCTTGTTTTCTATCTTCTGCAAAGTATTGACCCTCCAAGAAGAGATTGTCCGACGTCAAGATGTCTACACCTCCCTCCGCGGGTCTCACCCCCAAGACCCCCAAGCGAAGCTCTCCTACGGCTTTGAAGCCTCATCACGAAGAGGAGAACATCCAGCCTTCCATCGAGTCACCTGCCTCGGTAAGTACAATTCTTTTCTCACCGCTGTCTTGAAGGTCTATCATTGTTTTCTACCCTTGGCCACTACCATGCAGCACGAGTTCTTCGATCAAGATAGAAGTCCGGGCTAACAAAAATCAAAGGGTCTCCCTGCCTTCAAGCAGAAGCAAACTATTGCAACTCTTGCTACATCCAAGCTTGCCAATCAGAATGTTCTCAAGGTTGGTTCTTCCTCTCGTAATCTGCCGCTTCGCTCACAGCGACGACAGAAGAAGACCAATCAGGACACTATTGCTGGCACGAACCCTATGGATATGCTCCTTGCCAAGCTATCTGAGCAGCAAGCTGCCCTCGATCAACAGAACGAGGCTTTGAAGAACTCTGACGAGAACAGCTTGTACGCCCGTCACTTCGACAAGGCTTCTTCGACGACGAACTCGGTCCCTATCACTCCTGCCACGGACTCGTTCCCTACGACTGCACCCACGAGTCGCCCAACCAGTGCCACTCTTAAGGAGACTAACGGCAACGTGGACGAGCTCCTTCGACTGAAGATGGAGCTTGTTCGAGCACAGAACAAGATCTCTCGCCTCGATCACGAGCTGGCTCAGTCGCGCTCGGTCAAGCAAGAAGAGGACATCGCTCCGGCTCCGCCCGCGGCTCGTCTGGGAGCATTCGGAGCTGAGAATGTCTGGCCTACCGACGACAACTCCTCGGATATCGGCGCTCCTTCCATCAACAACTACAGTCGTCCCCGCCATTGGGGCAACAACAGAGCTCCTCTCTCCTTTGGTGCGGCTGCTCCCATTTCCGACTCTGGCGGTGACTGGTATGGTGGCGGACGTGGCGGCTTCAACCAGGGCTATATGGACCCCGCTGGACCGTACTCTATGGCAGATGGTTATCGCAATGATCGCATGAGCCATGAACCCGAGATGTACTCTCGGCCCCCTAGCAGTCGCCGGAACAATCGGTTTGACAACAGCCGCTGGCCGTCTCCTCAGCCATACGGAGGAACCAACTTTGGACATAACTATGGCGGTTTCACTCCCTCTCCTGCTCCGTTTGACCCCATGGGTGGTCCACCTGGTAGCGCTTCAGGCAACATGGGCTATCAAGGCTTCAATCAGCAGGGTCCAGGAAGTTCATTGTCGCCTCATGCCACTGAGTTCACCACTGGCGATGGATGGAAGAGCGAGGTACGTGACAATGACAGACGGGGATCTTGATGCAAAATGCTAATGTTTATCTCAAACAGGCCATTGCCACCGAGGGCCAGACGTACCTGCCAACTACTGAGCCTCTCAACTACCGCCGCTTGTTGGACCGGAACGTCAATTGCAACTGGAAGTACATTGTGGATAAGATTGTCTGCAACAATGACCAGCAGGCCTCCATCTTCCTGCAGCAGAAGCTCAAGGTTGGCACTCCGGACCAGAAGTACGAGATCGTGGAGGCAATCGTTGCTCAAGCGTATCCTCTCATGGTCAACCGTTTTGGCAACTTCCTTGTACAGCGTTGCTTCGAGCACGGCACTCCGGAGCAGGTTGTTAAGATCGCGGAAGCCATTCGCGGCAATACTCTCAATTTGTCCATGGATCCCTTTGGTTGCCATGTCGTTCAGAAGGCGTTCGACTCCGTCCCCGAGGACTACAAGGCTATCATGGTCCATGAACTCCTTCGCAGAATTCCCGAGACCGTCATTCATCGTTACGCCTGTCATGTCTGGCAGAAGCTCTTTGAGCTTCGATGGTCCGAATCACCGCCCCAGATCATGAAGTTCGTCAACGAGGCTTTGCGAGGCATGTGGCACGAAGTCGCTCTGGGCGAAACTGGCAGCCTGGTTGTCCAGAACATCTTCGAGAACTGTCTCGAGGAAGATAAGGTATGCTGATATTTTGCTACCCTCTTTTCTACATATGTGTCTAACTATGGATTTGTAGCGGCCCTGTATTGAGGAAGTTCTTGCCAACATTGACATTGTGGCTCACGGACAGTTCGGAAATTGGTGCATCCAGCACATTTGTGAGCATGGCGCTCCAGCGGACAGAAGCCGTGCTATCGACCATGTCATTCGCTACGCTGCCGAATATAGCACTGATCAGTACGCCTCCAAGGTTGTCGAGAAGTGCCTGAAGATTGGAGGGGGAGAGTTCCTAAGCCGCTATCTTGATCGGGTCTGTGAGGGTCGTGTTGATCGCCCTCGCATCCCCCTCGTCGATATTGCAAGCGACCAGTACGGCAACTATCTCATTCAGTACATCCTCACTCATGCGGGTCTGCAACACCGCGAGGTTGTCGCCGCCCACATTCGCAAGCACATGGTTTCTCTTCGTGGCTCCAAGTTTGGATCTCGCGTGGGCATGCTTTGCACCAACCCGGCTGTCGCTACTCGCCCCGGCCCCGGAGTTGGTCCTGCCATGAACCGAATGGGTGCTGGTCCTCGCTACAGCGGCGGTGGCGGCGGCTACCGCTAGACTTCGTCACCATCTTTTCATACTGTCACCATCAACTTCTCAACTGTTCTCACTCTGCGTCACTATAGGACCTCCTTCCCCTAATTCCTTGTCACCCCACTCGATTTCCCTCAACTTTGACAAAGTCATTGCACCACCTCATTTGTCCGTGCTTACGAAACATCTTCCTCGGCCATTAATTTACAAATCAGCTGTCATCCTACGCTCGGCAGGTTATCACTTGTCTGAGTGCATTGGACACTTCATGGTTACGGATTTTGCGATATGGAGGTGCGTCAGTGTGACCTCGAAACCCCAAGTGGGCGTTGGAGTTGCCTCACGAAGCCCAGCCAGAATGCTCGCATCTATACATGGCGGTTCATCGACACATCCACATACCCCTTTGATGCTCCTTTAGTCTCATCAAAATTCGAACTGGACAACCCGGAGGATGGCGAGGATGGACAACTAGGCAAGCATGGCATATCGGACCAAAAGTCAAAGACAATGATTGTATGTAGTTATGTATCACATTCCGGAGACTTTGGAGTGCGGCCTTGGTCCAGCTTGGACAGCATCTGTGGCAGTCCTCAACTGAGCATTAGGTAGCTCCCTAGAAATGATTCTTCTACAAGTAGCTTGATCCCCTCGATTATTTCATGCGAACTCGTAGGTGGGATCTTCCCGTGTCGGACTTGTAATGTTTTGCTTGACATTGTTAACTCTGTGGCAATCCACAAGCATCATAGCCCTATGCCCCTCTCCCGAACGCCATTCGTATTGCCTCCTGAATCCTACATGATTCTCAACATGCATCGTTTTACGCTTCTTTGCTTACAGACTCGGCCTCTGCTGCAGGTAATACATCGTCATCTAACGGTGGGAATTCGGAGTCGACTACAGATGGCTTCTCCACCGCCTCTGCAGTCACGATGTCTTTTTCCCACGGCTTCTTGGGTACCGCACGTTTTCCGAATGGTTTTACAGACTGTAAGTTCAGTAATGGTCTTGAATTCTTGAGAAGAGAAGAGAGGGGCAAATGCAAGAGGGGATACTCACTGCGTCTCTAACAACGGTGTCTGGGATCTGTCTGATGCCGGGGATGGGAATCCCCTTTTGAATCATCTCCAGCATCTGCGCGAAACCCATCGGGTACGCTGGTTCGTCGCCTCCTTGGCCTGGTGCGCCCTCCTGCGGCTGTGCTTTGCGTTCGACGTAGAGGTCTGCTTTGGGGGCTGCTGCTTGCCATGAGGGTGTTGCTTCGTCTGCGGGGTTTTTGGATGAGTCTGTTGATGCTGGGACTGCGGGGGTGATCTCGTTGGTGTTGAGGTTGTCGAGCTTCGATGTTAGTGTTGGGACGTCGTCTGTTGATGATTCTGCTGCTTCGCTGGCTACGGGAGCTGTAGAGGAGGAGGCTGCTGCTCCTTGTGTGCTGGCTGTGCTGCTGGTCTTGTATTCTTCGGGCAGGACGTCGGGGGGTGTGTGGTCCGGGTGCTTCGCGAGCCAGTCCTTGTACTTTGCAAAGTCAATGGTCACGCCGATGCGCTGAGCGTAGTAGAATATCCGGGCGTGGATCGCGAGGTCGGTCGGCGTGCCTTGCGGGTTTTCCGTGTTGGGGTCGCCGAGGATCGCGTAGAGGCCGGACTGGAGCACGCATCGTTAGCTCGAGATGATTGACGGGCTATATTTCGTCTATGATTCCTAAGGTGAGACGTACTGTGAACATCTTGTCTCTTTTCCAGGGGTACGTGTCAAAGGCCTTGAACATGCCGTCCTCATCTGTGATTGCGCGGATGCGCTCTGCGCCAGAGAGGGTCGCCATTGCGAATGACCCGGTTGTGTGATTACGCTACTAGAGTCACCCCAGAAATGATTGTCTACAAGGCGCGGGAGGAAGGCGTGAGAACGTCACTCGAGTTGTGTTCTCGAAAATGCTGCTCGTCCTCGTTGGTCTGACGTCGTTGCCGAGGCTCAAAAGTCACGGCAAACATGTCGTTCGGTTTAAGCATCCCTCCCCCGGAGAGGGAAGCTCGGCGGGTTGGCGGGGCAAGAGCTTGGCTTTCCATGGCCCCGATAAGATAAGCAAACGAATGTACCCCGCGAAACCGCGGCTCGGTGGGGCCCGGGCGGGAAGTTGGGGTCGGGAGACGTTTGGGGAAGGAAACTTCTTGGCTTGTAGGAGTTTGTTCCGACACCCTTGCTTTTTCTTTAGGAACTCGATCAGCCTAGTTTGGATTTACTCTTGTTTTCTTGAGTCTGGTTTGGTGTACTGTCTGTGAGCCAGGGGATAACAGATTGAAACCTTTTTACGGGTACATCTGAGATGTGAAAAGCATTTTACAAGTACAAGCCTTCGTCAGCACAAAAAGACATCAACACAACGACGGCATAGAGCATTCGCCTTCAACCTGACAGAGGTTTTGTACATCTCGATTGCTAGATTTCATTTCTATCTCAAATATGTGTCACGGTTTGTCTACGGGCACGCTGACGATCATCAAGCGGCTGAACCTTCTACGGATATGTTTATGTTATGTGGACGGGATGAAGACTATTGCGCAGCACTGTACTGGCCCCCGTTTCGCACAAGTCCCAAAAATCATGAAAGAAACGTTCAAAGTCGCCAACAGTAAAACGGACAAGTGTAACCCATCAGACATGAAAAGTTTGTGTGTATAGCAAAGCTCCCCCTTCGGGTCCGCTGTTCCGCTGTACAGAGAGCCTCCATCTTACGAACGAGGTTCTAAGTATCTTGTTTTTGTGTAGCAATGTGGCTAGCCAAACGGGGCTGCCACTGGTTTGCATCATTTCCAATGGGAAACGAGCTGGTATGTTGTTGATAAGTCCGGGTAAAAGAGGAAAACGTCTAGAATGTCCATGGCGTAAGAAAAGATGCCACACTCAACCCACCACCTGTGCTGAACGCCAGTAAAACAACACCAATGGTTGCTGGGATTCCCTAGAAGCAGTTGTTGGAATCCAATAAACCCTCCGATGCAAAAAGCCGATGTTTCTTTTCGAACGCCGCGTGATGATGCTTTTAGTTGTGCTGGAAAAGGACGCTGATCGACTCGCCGTGGTGGACACGACGGATAGCCTCCGCAAAGACCGGAGAGACTGCTAGATTTTAGCTTTGCTCCAGGACACAGTAGTATTCCAGAGCACTCACCGTCCAAAAACTCGAGTTTGGAGCAGGCGCGCATGTGGTCCTTTTGAGGAACGGTGTTGGTCACGACCATCTTGTCGATGGCGGAAGCGTTGATACGCGGGATAGCGTCACCACTGAGAATGCCGTGCGTCAAGAGGGCATAGATGTGAGTAGCGCCCTCCTTCTTGAGCAACTTGGCAGCTCTCGTAATGGTGTTGCCGGTATCGATGAGGTCGTCAACGAGAATGCAGACCTTGTCCTTGACATCACCCACCAGCATCATGCTGGCATTGCGCTGCTCGGTGTACTTGGTCGGGCGTCGCTCCTGTAAAAGAAAAACATGAATCCTGTGTCTCCTCCCGCGGGGAGGAATGGCCTACCTTGTGGATCAGGGCAAAAGCCATGTCCAGCTCATCAGCGATGGCAGTGGCGCGCTTGGCTCCACCAGCATCGGGACTGATAACCACAGCATCCTTGTAGTTAGGGATGTTCTGGCGGATGTATCTCATGAGGAGAGGCTTGCCGTACAAGTTATCGACCGGCACATCGAAGAAGCCCTGGTACTGAGGATCGTGGAGATCCATCCTGCAATCATTAGCATGTGCTTCAGAAAGAAGCAATGAAGCGATGCAGGTACAAAGAGCATTTGAAAAGCTCCAGAGAGGGTTGTAGCAATGGCCTTTGAGTCACATAAAGCACCACGTAGAGGATCATCGGGAAGAAAACCTACGTAATCTACGTTCTGTTAGTTTGACTTTGCGAATCTTTTGGGCCCCCTTGAACGCTCTCTCGAGCTATTCTCAGTAGTTCTTTTCGGGGGTACATACCACATGGTCCGCACCAGCGCAAGCCAGGAGGTCAGCAACCAGGGTGCCAGCTTGGGCAACCCACTGCTTGTATCCAGGCTTGGACTGGAAGCCATCGATTCGGTTTTGTTGCTCGTTGTCATGGTTGGTGTAGCTGACCTGAGAGGATACAGAGTCATGGTGGTTACGACCGTTGCCATTGGTCTTGGAATGATCGACACCGTTCATTCCATTAGATCGCTCCTCGTTGAGCTTGCTCTTAGCCAGCTTTGAGGCAATGCCATCAATGCCGTTGGGGAGGCCCATGCTGCGCGCAATGCCAGGACCCGGGGTCGCAGGCACACTCTCAAAGGTGTAGTTCTTGGATGTCCCTGCTGCTGACTTTGAGAGAGGTGCGCCGGCCTTCTTGTAGGGGACATCGGGTTGTCTTGAGTAGGGGAACAGAGGCATGACAGCCGTGACTCTCTTGGCAGAGCCCGTCTTGCAGGCAGAGATCATGATGCACAAGTCCATGAAGTTGTCATTGACATTGCCAGATGCAGTCTGGACGATAAAGACGTCCTTGCCGCGCACAGAGTCCTTGATCTCACAGCGGCTCTCTCCAACAGAGAACTTTGACAGAATGCGCTCGCATGGGTTCAGCCCGAGGTTGTTGCAAACACTGTTGAGCAGCTCTGGGTGGGAGTTGCCTCCGAGAACAATGATATTGCGGACCATTGTGAAGATTTGCTGGTTGCTTGAGAAGCAATGGTTGAATAAAGAAGAGAAGAATAGTGGTCGGGCGAAACCGGCGATATTGGAGGCTGAACCTAGAACCGCTCGAGGGTATGACTAGGACCTGAGGAAGAGAAGAGGGCGTCGAGGCCGGGGCTGCAATGTGTATTTCGCAGCTAGGGTATTCGAGAATGGTTGTGGAGAAAGATACCCCGGGGATTTTGAGGGTTCGAAGAGGTCGTGTGCGGGTTGGAGGATCGCGAGCGAGAGAGCCGGTGTCGGGTTTGCTGGAGGCGTCAAAAATCTGCTAGTGGGGTGCAGGGCGACGTCACAGGGACTGGAATGTGCCGAAGCCGAGGGTATGCGTAGAAGGGAATTGTATGGTAAAGATGCCAGAGAGCTGGAGAGCAATCAGCGAGGATGAGGGGGAAGGCCTCTAGAGATGCGATCACAACGGGAGCATGACGAACAAGCTCAAGAAAAGAGGGAGGAGGGAAAAGCTGGTAGCGGGGGGGAATTCTGTCTGAAGCTGGGGTTGTCGAGAAGTTGTAAAGGAAAATCTCTGAGTGGATAAGTTTGTTTGGGATTGGCAGGAATCGGGGTCGGGTGCAGTCGCCGCCATGTGGACTTGGGGGTGGCAGGTGGAAATGTGTGGTGGTGGGGTAGAAAGAGAGATTGCACAGGGCTCCCTCACAGGGTGAATGGGTGTCGAAGCGGCCATTTTAGGTTAGTACGGGTACCTTGCTGCGCTTGTGTGTATGTTCATGACTCCGATCTCTGGCAGTCTCGCAGAGATTTTGCGCCCCGACGACGTTCTAACCATGCACTGTATTCTTCCGGTCGTTGCCAGGCTGCCCAGACATGCCGAGCCTCACGCAGAGTGCCGTAGACCGGTGACGGAGATGCCTGAAGCGATGCGAAGGCGGTGACGGCGGCGGGAGACACAGGCGACCAGGTACGGAAGTACAGTGTCGACGACTGACTTTGTACAGGGAGGATTGAATTGCATTGGATTCGTGGAACGCTGCCCGGAATGCAGCAGTGACTCTTGTTCTAATTCTGACTGCGATATGCCGAATGAGGTGGACATTCTGCAATCCATCCCCTTGTCAAAAAGTCTAGCTGCCTCGTGATTGTACGGATAATGCAGACAGAGTATATGCCTCTTGAATGTACATCCAGAAAATAGCGCTCCTTGACCATGACAGTGAGGCGGGAAGGAGTACCTGGGGAATCTCACACCTCCCCTTACCTTATTAGTGTAGTACTGTACTGCGTAGGTAGTTGTTCTACGTAGTAGTGTAATAGGTAAGGTAAGGAGTGAAATAACGCGAGTAACCGACCGGCTTTTATTAACGACGAGAGGTGCAGGTGGCAGGGCCGCAGGCAGGAGGAAGCGGCCACCGGCCAGCGGAGGCGCCTACTTCGAATCTGAAGCCGCCAACGCCAACGCTCTTTCCCCCTCTCATTGCGCAATTCCAGATCCGGTACGTACTCTGCGACAATTTAGCACATGGCAGAGTGGGGGACTGGGCATTGTGATTGGTGCCTTGGGCCGTGTTAATGCACCTGCTTTTCTGCTTGCCTTTTTATCTCCCTGCAGCTCGTTGCCAACCGTACCGGCCATCGACCGTGGGACACTTGGGCTGTCAAGAAGAATTTGCGGCAGCACCTTGCCTCCCATTGCTCGCTCAGATTCCGTACAGTCACAAGTGCAATTCTTTTTACGAGATTACACAGTGACTTTACCTCATCTGACTCTTCTAAGTTCTCACAAGTCACAACTGTATTCAAGGCGACCCGATATTTCCTTGATAGACCCCAAGGCAGAGTCACCAGTCACTCACCCTTGTCAAATCAAACGTCAGCTTGTCCAAGGTTGTACCACTTGAACAGCCTATTCCTGGCCCTCTCAAAGAGCATCTGCGAGGTTCCGTTTTGAGTGACAGGTACATTGGCCTAGCCTCTTCACCTTGTACACCGACACGTCGATTTTCCGCAAACACCAAGCGCCTGCGCAGCTTGCATTTTCCGCACTCTTTTTGGCCGATACGCAATTGCCGCCGTTGCCACCTGGTATCAAACGGTTTGCATCACACCTTCTCCTCTACCCGGAAATCGCAACCCAGTCGTCCCCCGCGCCAAGCACGCAATCAAGATGAAGATCCTTGAGGCTCAGTCGGCAGTTTTGACCAACTACGAGGTCTATCAACATCTGAATGAGCGCAAGCTTGGTCAGAAGAAGCGTGAGCGTGGAGAGCGCCGGGGCCCCGGCAACCTCGAAGCACTGGCAAGAGAGGTGAGTCTGACTTCATGGCAGTTATACATGCAATGAAAATTGGGTATCTGCTTCTGTGCAGTAAGTTCATGACTGACACATACGTAGCTCCTCCAATACCTGCGGACGGCACCAAACCCGCTCAGCCAAGACCCCATTACATATCACCCAGACTGTATCACCCAGCTCCTAGGAAAGCTTCAGCCCTATGACTTGGCCAAGGGTGAGGTCATCATGATCCTGAACCTCCGCCCAGCATCCGTCGCCGCTCTGAACACTGTCATCGAGGAGATGCCTGAGCGCTTCGATGAGAATCAGCAGGAGGAGATGGTCAACATCATTGCTGAAGTGCTTGGCTCATTCCCCCAGGAGGCAGGAGAGGAGGAAGGTGATGAGGAGGCTGCGAACGGCGCTGCTTAGAAAGCCTTGCCGCACCACACTTCACAACTCACTTTGGACGGCGCCGATTCCTCTGATATGTCCTCTCCTTGGAGTGGATTATCAGGGTCGCCTTAGCAAGGCAACGAATCTCACATGGCGACACAACCGCCTTCGCTCTGTCCTCCCTCGGCCTTCCGCGTCATGATTGCGGTCTTACTAATCTCCTCAAACGCCAGCTTGAGCAGTTCGCCCGTCACCGCAGAGCACTCCATGTACTTGTCTATGCGGATCTCCTGCGCCTGCTGGTATGCTTCTTGGGGATAGATGATCCCATTGGGGTCGTCTTCGGATCGTAGATCTCTCTTGAGACCCAGCATGAGGATAGGCAAGCGGTCTGGCCTGCGAAAGGACATTTTGACCTCTGGAAGCCACTGTATCGGATGTCAGACGGGATACAGAAAAAGGAGAGAGAGTCATTCAGGAGAACATACATGTCTCCTCATGTTGATGAGACTCAGCCGCTGGCTTATGTCGTAGCATAGTATAACAATGTCCGGCTCGAGCAGCTTCCAGTTCTCGGGGCTATTTGTATCATAAAACTCTAGACGGTACGGTTTCCCAGAAAACTTGATCTCGAAAATAAAGGGTTGGTCAATATCTCTAAGCAATCTGATGGGGCCGGTGCCTTCGCCGGCGCTCAGTCGTCTATCTCAAGGGCACATCTCATTAGCATTGTGAGACCCCCATGGCATGATCTCGATAAAGGGCATACGGACGAGAGAAACGATGTCTTTCCACATTTTTCATCACCAACTAATAATATCTTGACCGATTCTTCTTCCATGACTGTAGAACGGAACGGCTGCTTCGGACGAGTTCCGATGAGACGTCTAGATACGGGATGTCTGGGGAACAAATGGCGCATGGCCAGGCCTGGTGCGGACTCAGCCAAGACTCCAGCACCAGAAACACAGTGCCCATTCCGCGCCCACTGGTCCCGTCGCAACGGTTCGGCTTTCTCCATGAGGGGAGGATGAGAGTGTGGAGTCGAGCTACAGCCACAGCACAAGCCACACTTTGTTTTCTACAGGGCGACTAAAAAAATAAGTCAATGGTAAGAGATAAAAAAAAATAAAAATTGGTTGTCACTCAACTTGCATGCGCCGGCCCCTCCAAAAGTAACTCTTCCAGGCCCAAAGGTACCCGCATGATGCCGGTCCGCGTCTAAACCACCACCACTACCCTCCAAAAATTCCCATAAACTCACATGAGAGGAGAGAGAGAGGGCATATGAAGCCCTTACATGAATTGTTTTGGGGTCTCTGTCTGCATTGCCCGCCAAGCCCGAGTCTGAACCTATCGAGGCACGGTGGAGGTCTATTACACGGCTGCTCACAAGTTTTGGTCAAAGGGCAATATCAACGTCACCACCACACTCTGCGTAGTTTCATTACTACTCACCAGCATCTCACTCATCCTTACCGAACATCCTCTACATTCGCGGCCAGGAGCTTCAGCACCGCTCCCGTCGCAAACATGGCCGATGCGAGCGGTCGGTACGAGTCATGGGACCAGGCGCGTCTCATCTCCCGCATAAGGCAGCTCGAGCATGAACTCGACAAGCGGGATGCGGCATCAAAGGCCTCCGGAGCCGGGTCCGGGACCCCCAACAACAGCAACAAGAACAGCGCCGGTGCCGGTGCCGTAGCAGTAGCAACGGACGGGGCCCCGCCGGTGAAGAAGAGGAAGAAGGAGGCCAAGCGGATCGACTCGTCGCGGTACTCTACCCGCTTCATCGCGCTGAAGCTGGCGTACCTGGGCAAGCGGTACGGGGGATTCGAGTACGCCACCTCGGCGAGCCTGCCGACGATCGAGGGCGAGCTGTGGAACGCCCTGACAAAGTCGTGTCTCATCTTCCCCGAGGATCAGGATGTCGTCAACTTTGACTGCTGCGAGTACTCCAAGTGCGGGAGGACGGATCGCGGCGTGAGCGCGTTTGGACAGGTTATCGGGTTGAGGGTGCGGAGTAACAGACCGGTGCCCAAGAAGCAAGAGGATCCTGCACCGGCTGCTGAGACGGAAGGGGACGACACTCCCATGGAGGGCACGGAAAAGATCGAAGAAGAACAGAAAGAAAAGAAGCCCGAAAAGGTTTGGGACGAGATCAACGACGAGATCCAGTACGTCAAGGTCCTCAACCGCCTCCTCCCCGACGACATCCGCATCATCGCATGGTGCCCTTCCCCGCCGCCAGACTTCTCCGCCCGCTTCTCGTGCGAGGAGCGCCAGTACCGCTACTTCTTCACCCAGCCCGCCTTCACACCCACGGCCACGACCGTCGACGGCACGCCGAACGGTATGAAGGAGGGTTACCTCGACATCGACGCCATGAACCAGGCGGCGCAGAATTTTATTGGGTCCCACGACTTCCGCAACTTTTGCAAGGTGGACGGGAGCAAGCAGATTACAAACTTTGAGCGGCGCATGTTCGAGGCCGGCGTCGAGGAGGTGAAAGACGTGGGCACGGCGCTGCCATATCTGGGCGCCAGCGCTGTTGATGGGAGCCAGCTTCCCAAGGTGTATTCGTTCAATATCCGCGGAACGGCGTTCTTGTGGCATCAGATCCGGCATATGGTTACGATTCTCTTCCTCATTGGCCAGCGCCTTGAGACGCCCGACCTCGTGACGCGGTTACTCGACGTGGAGAACATGCCGCGGAAGCCGAATTACGATCTGGCGCACGAGACGCCGCTGGTGTTGTGGAACTGCGTCTTCCCAGGCGACGACGAAAGCCGGACGTCGAACGACGCGGAGAATGCGCTGCGCTGGGTGTATGGCGAGGCCGACGTCGTCGAGAACCTGTGGTCGCACTACCGCGAGAAGAAGATGGACGAGCTGCTCGCAAACCGCCTGCTGGATCTCGTCTCAAGACAGGTGCAGGGAACGGAGTCGAAAGCGAAAGGGAAGAGGGTGTTCCAAGGCGGGCACGAGGGGAAGCTGTCGGGTGGATACGTGCCGATTGCGAAGAAGCAACTGACGCCGTCGCCGGCGGTAATCAACGACCGGTGGGCGCAGCGGAAGGGGTTCAAGAACTCTGATGAGATGAGGGAGTCGAAGAATTGGAGGAAGGTCATAAAGGATGCCAAGCAGGCCGCTGCAGCGGGCGATGGGGATGAGTAGGTTATGGGCACATGCCCCCTATCATAAACAATAAAGTAAAGCAGAAAGCTCTGATCAGATCATGAATTCGTCAAGGCTACGAGGTACTTGTTATACCCCGTTCTGCCATCTATCGTCCATTTTCCTATTACTGCTCCCGCCATCCGCTTCCCAAAGACACCCCCTCACGCCCCTCCATACCGTCTCGACGATCTTCTTCTTGGGTAGTATCCTCGGAAACACCACCACAATATCCTCCTCCCCTTCAACAATGACAATCAAATAGTACCGCACCTCGAAGCCCCTGAAAGCCTCATTCACCAACACATCCTGAATCTTCTCCGTAGGTATGAACCGCGTCGCGGCAGCCGACAGATAACTCCCGCTCGTCGAACTCGTCTGTATCCCCAGCCCGCGCAACACGAGAAGACTCTCAGTGGTATGCGTGCGCTTCAGCGTCGCGTACGCCGCGAGCAGACACCCCGGAACCAGGACGGGTAGCGGTATCGCGTGCGATGCTGCCGCGGCGTGCGCTAGGCGGCCTGGCGCTGAGGTGCGTATGAAAAGGAGGACCTTCCAGAGCGTTGCGCTCGAGAAAAGGGCGTCTGGGCCGTCGGTTGCAGTTGCGGCTGCAGTGGGTTTTGTTCTTGTCGATGCGGAGAGAAGGGAGGTGACGTATCGTGATTCTGCCAGGGCTGCTTGGAGGAGGAGAATCGAGGAGAAGAAGAGTACTATGCGGAGGGTGAAGAGGAGGCCTGAGAGGACGCGGACTGCGAGAGTTGGTGGCGGGCGGGTTGTTACTGTGAATTCGGCTGTTGTTGGCGAGGGGCGCCGGACGTGGAGGCGGGGGGTTGTTGCGAGCATTGTGAAGTTTGGTTGATGCTGCAAAGAAGCAGAAGCAACTAGGAAATTCAGAACGGGAAAAGACAGTTATGGTGCCATTGATATTGCGCGGGTTCGAGTCGGCTTGATGCTTTGGTTCGGGGGAGTTGGCGAGAGCTTCGGAGAGCCAGAACCCCTGGGCGCAATCGCGAAGTCAACTCCGACCAGGATTGCAAGCTGGGGTGGATGATGGAATTTGGAAGCTTAGATCAGTGCTCGGTGGAGATGTTCGCCGGCGCGTTGATTGCTTGGAGCTCCCACCCATACACGCGCAAATACCCTGCTTACCTCATCACCCCCACCCATCAACCGCCACACGTCCCCCCGCCAGCCCCCGACCCTACTTGTATCACAATTTTACTCGCAATTACCGGCTGTAATGGTCAAATGGTTGAAGGCTTTCATTACTCTTCTTCCGCTACCCCATCCACATTGGAACCCCTCAGCGGCGCCCAGTGCGAATGCTGCGGTGGCCACCCACTCGCACGGGTAACCTGCGATCGCTGCGTGTGGCCCTAAGCAATGAAGATGACACTTGAGGGAGGTTTCACTCTGCAGAGGCATCTTCACCGTCGCATGGCGTGCTGGATTACGATCGCTGAGGGCTTGGGGTAGTGGAGGCGGATAGAGATATCGACTCCAATTTTTTGGCTTTTTTGATCAGGTATTGTAGATGCAAATGCATGTGCATCACGGTTGCGACCGTCTGATTGTTTTCGCTGGCAATTGAGACGAACGCCTACTGTGTGCAGTTGGCGATGCATTTCGTGGTGTTAAGAAGTACCTTTTTGGGCACAGTTCTTCTCGCACATGGTTCAATCCCAGTCGACGACGAAACCTTTTTCGTTTTTTCCGCCTTTCCCTCTGGACCAAACTCAATTCAATTGCCGGAGTCACTGTATGGATGCTGTTGTACCACATAAATCATGTATCAATAGTCTCGGAATCAGATTGCATTCTTCTCAATATTCAGCCTGTATATGGCCATCTCGACGAGCAAGCTACGTAGCTATCACCACCCGCTAGAAAAGGGAATAAAAGACCAACATCAGTTGCAATCCAGTCAACGACTTGGAAAAGCAGACCTGAAAAGAAAATAAAAAGTTGAAGAAATGAAAAGAGGCGGGGGAAGGAAGAATCCCCTACCCTTCAACTAGATGAACAAAGATGCCGTGAGGCAACATTGTAAGACACGCGTTTCCAGCACTTTTCGGTCCCTTTTCACCTATCCCGTTCCAACCCCTCCGTCCCCCTCCTCCTTCTCTCGCTCTCATCGTACTCATTGGCGCAAGACGGTGTCATCTTGAAAACCATCCAGCTTTTTCTCTGTTTTCGTTTCCATTTGGTCCCCTTCGACCTTCCCCCACGGCGTCTGTCCATTCCGTCACGTACATGGCCGCTCTTCCCACTACAGGTATCGTGTGTTCATGTGTATTGCCTCGCGGCTCTGCCCCGAAATCCCAAGATCCAGCCATCATCAGTCATCATTTGAGAAGTTAAGAATGCAAAACAAGAAGTGTAACGAAAAAAGAGGTTGAAAGATGAAAAGAAATTGGAGAAGAAATGGCATTTCACTCCGCATTCCAATGTTCGTCGTCAAGGATAGACTCGAAGTATACAAAAGGCGGCTTCTAACTGCTGTTGTTGTGGTTCTGGCGGCCCCAGAGCTGCCACACTGCAAAGTAGTGTTGTTCGTGTTCGTCGTTCGTGGGAAAAAAAGTAATGGTATCGAGATTCATCGAGAAACGCCTGTCGCCATGCAACGAATCGAAATGTGGTGTGTAAAGCTAATTAAGGGGTTGGGGAGTGTTGGAACTTTTTCAGCAAGAAGACGAAATTAAATCATCTCGCTGTGGTGCAGGCCAGTAGGCAAGCTCTTCTGCGCCATGGCGGGGGGAGATCGCATCGACTCGCGGCTATAGTTCATTGGCATGGGTACGCTCTCATAAGGGGCGTATTCGTAGTCCTCCTGACCTCGGGGCCGCGCTGAGGGCTCCTTGCGGTTGCGGCTGCCGGACCTGAAGCGGTCGGTCGCCTTGGAGAATCGGCCAGCGATGCTGTTGTCGCGTTCAGAGAAGCTGCGTCCTCGGCTGTGACCACCCTTGGACACGGGCGGGGCGGGTGGTGGAAGTACTGGGACTGTTGTGTCCATGGGAGCAGCAATAGTCGTTTGGATAACGTCATCATCGTCCATGACAATCTCAATCATACCGGAACCCATGGTCACGGGTTGGATGTGGGCGGTGTACGGGAGAGGCGCCGGGGGCGGGGGAGGAGGCATCGCAAGGTGCTGAAGCTCCTTCAGCATTGGCGGAGCGGGAGGAGGAGGCGGCGGCGGTGGGATGCTTCCGTAGTTGTTGCTCTCTTGGGAGGCACGTCTGACCCGGATCATGTCGTCGACAGTGCGAATCTCACCAGAGTGACCTCTTCTCATGGAGGGACCGCGAGAAAGACCTTTGCTGCTGGCGCTAGGACCTCTAGGGGAGGGCGCATCAGGAGGGATGGGCGGGGCCGACATGCTGCGAGGAATCATTCCGCGGTTGGGAGGTTGATAGACCGTGGAAGGAAGCTGGTAAGTTGTCTGAGGGAGCAAAGTGAGGGTCTCGGCAGACTGCTCTTTCTCGGGGGACTGCTGCTGGGGAGAAGTCACCGGGGAATGTCTCTGGGCAAACGTAGCCGGGATCGGGGGCACCGGAATGCTGTTCTTGTCTTTGTCCGACTCGATGATGAGACGCATGGCCTTGGGCGTTGCGGGCAGACCAATGTGCACATTCGAGCTGCTGCGTGCGTACATGCTTCTGTTGGTAGTAGGGTCGGCAGTGTGGCTGCGAGGCGGAAGCTCAATGGCACTTGGAGATGGCTCAATGCCGATTCGGATATGGTTGGGGTGGGGAATCGGTGGCGCCGAGGGACGCTGTGCGAGGGACTTGCGACGTTCCTCGAGCTCGCGAGCAGCTTCCTCCTTCTTACGCTGCCTCTCATCCTTCATGGCCTTCAAGTCTCCGGCGTGCTCTGTAGAGGCGGCACGAGACTTGGATTGAGGAGGCGCGATATCGCGGGATTGATCCAGGTTCTCACCAGCGTGGCGGCGGCGACTCTCAGATCGGTCTCGTCGAGGGAATTCTCTGGTAAGCTCAGGTGAGAGCGCCTTGCGGGACCCATGCTGGCTGGTGCTTCTGTTGTGTCTGTTTCTGAAGTTCTCTTGGGCAACAACAGCCTTGACATAGTCCTCCTCGTCTTCAGACCCCTGGTAGTGGACAAGATTGGCTGACAGAGGTAGAGGAGACGAAGGTGACCTGGCGTGAGAGCCAGTCCGGTCCGCACTTCGGCCGCGGAGTTCAAGCGCAGGAGGGCGATGTCTGCCTTCGGGGCTTCTGTTGCGGCCTTGGCTACCCCGGCTGGATGCACGACTAGTACCCTTCCGGCTCTTGCTAGACTTCCTCACTGTGGCGGGCTCTCCGACGTCCGGCAAGAACTTGGGTGTGCTCAAGTTGATGAGATCCTCGGGCGACATGGGGATGGGCGAGGTTGGGGAGCGCTTTGCCTTGGGCCAGTTGCGGCTAGAGGCACGGCCACGCTCAGCGGAAGCTTCGCGAGAAGATGTCTTGCGAGTGCGGCTGTGGTCACGGTCGCGGCCACGGGAGCCATCGCGCTTGCCCTCTCGACTGGCATGTCGGCTTCGCTGCTTGCGTTGTTGCAAGCGCTGGGCAGTGTCGAGGCTGTGGATGTAGTCCTGTCGTCCACCTGTAGTGTTGCTGCGGATGCTTTTGCCGGTGGTGGATTGAGACGTAACAGAGCCTGTAACGGAGCCAGGTCCCCTACGTCGGGAAGGCCAGTGGAAACGGGTGGAAGATGCCACCGACTGCTCGGGGGAGGTAATCTCATTGGCCATGTTGTTCAGACCTGCAAGCTCAAGATGAAGTCCCTTTGGCTTGCGGTCTCGGGAACCGTTGCGCTGGGCCATGCTGCCTTCCATCTTGATGATCATTCTAGCATCAGGAGATGGGGGAGGCGCTTCCCTTGTCCGTGTGGTGATCTTTTTGTACTGGTCACGCATCATCATCGGGCTTGCTGTGGCGGCCCTCTGCAGAGACAGGCCAGCAGCAAGATTTTCCTGCTCGGCAGAAGACATGCGCAGTTGCATGGCACGTCGAGATTCCTCAACGTCAACCTGAAGCTGTTCGCGCGACAAGTCTCCCGGAATCTCACCGATGGAAGGGAGGCGCTTGCGACTGAAGGCAGATGCTCCGGATCTCGCGGAGTTCGGGGTGTTGAACTGGCTGCGGTTTGGTGGGCGGATGAAGGCAGTTGTGACATCGTATCCACCTGGGGAGACTGCAGAGTCGGCGATGGGTGTTGGGCCGGCGGCGATAGGAGTCTGTCCGCCGTCTCCTTGAGAGAAGAACTTTGACTTTCCTTGCTGCTCGCCGAATGACGTGATAAGCTTCAGGGCGGACGTCTTGGCGATGCTTCTTTGGGGTCCACGGTTGATGCCGGGAGGCGAGAGAGGAGGTGACAGGACCTCCGGGATATTCTCATGGACGTTCTGGTTGATGCTCTGGAAGGTCACTTGGGCAGCAGATGGTGATGTCCATGGCTCGTCAGACTCGGCACCAGTGCAGGCGAAGCTGAAAATCTGTTAGCGCATCGTACCATTATGTTCACTTAATAGAGAAAACATACCATCTCACGGCAAGCTGCTGTTGCCCGTGCATGACAGCCCATTCACCCCATTTCTTGATGATAGCTGCTTGTCGTTCCCAGACGGCGGGATAAAAGAGACAAGTCAGGATAAGCGCCTCCATGTACTTCTTGTGGGACACATAAATCTCAATGGCATCATTGTGATCACCCATGCCAATCAGAATGGTAACAGCGGCATGAAGATCACCGTGCTCAAGGAGTCTTTGAACGTAGGCGCGCCCCAGCTTGTGCTGCGAAGCTTGGCCTCCAATACCGCTGAGGGCTAGCAACATCCAGTCAGAAGAAGTCATTGAGGCTGAGCTCGCTGCCATGACATCTGCGTCAATGTCGCCCAGCCATCTCATCAGAAGAATGCGCGCCGGTGAAGCCGCATTGTGTCGGCTCAATTCCTCTCTGACCAAGTCGTCAATCTCCTTGTTCCATCCAAAGATGGTGCTCAGCATCTGCTTGCGAAGATCGTCATTTGTGAGTCGGCTATGGTCACTTCCGATCGGGTGCTTGTAAGGAATGTCGCTGAGCCGGCTCCTGGTGTACTTGAAGAGATCCTGAACCTTGCTGTCGACAGGGCTCGGCAAGACCTCATTTCGCAGACGGGATGGCCTAGAACGGCGAGAGCGGTATGAGGACATGGAAGTGCCGCTCATCATTGACGTTCCGCTCATGGAATACATGTCTCGTTCTTGGTAAGGTGCAGCAGAAGATCTGAGAGACGATCCAGCAGAGATGTAGGTGTTATCAGTCATGCCTCGAGAGACGGCCGACGACGGGTACCGGCCGGGCGTCCGAGATCCTCCGGAGGATCGCGAGATGGAAGACAGTCCGCTGCGGCTAGAAGCCGCGCTTGCGGTATCGGCATCGTAAGGGTCGAGCGCCTTGGGTGTGCCCGTGTCCTTCCGGCTAACTATACGGTCAAAGGGAGACAAGTGATCTTCGTCACTCTCCGAAATGCCGAGCTCAATTGAACCAGATGTGGCATCCGAGTCGGTAACGATGGTTGTTGACGTCTTCTGTCCCTGCTGTTCCTCTATCGAGACAGGCGGTGATGGTGGCAACAAGTTGGCCGGGTGCTGTACATTAGCAACTATGATGGAAGGGGTGTTGAGGTCGAATTGCTGTACGGTATTGTTGGCTCCCAGGGTGAAGAGGCTGGCGCCAGGGCCGTACACGGCCAGGCCTCTGACATGCTCGAGCGTCGGGATACTATCCCAAGTAACGTGCTTAGTACGGACATCCCACGATAGTGTTTCCCTAGTGTGGTAAAAGTCAGTGCAAGTTCTAAGCGCGCGCGTAAGCCTCAAGTGGCAAAGAATGACGTACGAGTCAGAATGTTGGATAATGCGGCCGTTCTTTGACCAGCCCATCCAGTTGGGACCGGTCTGGTAGTTATCGGTGCGCTTGAGAATCCTCACAACCTTGGCGGGGTCATCGCTGCTGTACGACTTGGACACACTCCAAACTCGGAGGTCACCATCATGGGTCTGTGATGCCAGCATGTCCGATTTTTGACGAGACGACGAGGCATGCCAGTTGAGCGTGACGATAGGCGAAGGTGCTCTTGATGTGCCTAGGTTGTGGAGGATAGTAAATCGCGGCTGAAGAGTTGCGACCAACAACGAGCCATTTTGGTATCTACAAAGAGTTAGCAACTTTGTTTTGCAATGCCCGTTGGAGTTCTTTAAGCATACCCAATCGCAAATGTCCTACAGTCTGCGGCTGGTGCGAGCGCTGTCACGGCAATCTGGTCAATCGTTCTCGAAGAGATATGCTCTGATGTCGTGGGCTCGAATAGAATAATGTTGCCCTGTGTATTACCTAAAGCCATATGTTAGTGAATACCATGTGAGATTTTTCGGACATCAACATACCAAATGCAACATTGCCATTGCGCATCCACGCGGCAGTTGTCAAGTGCTCGTATGAAGCGAATCGGGCTACTTCGTCGCCCGTCATAATATCCCAGACAATGGCTGTCTGCCCGGCATCGTAACTAACCACCAGCCTTCCGGCTCCAATCTCGCTTTGCGTATCAACTGCGAGCAACTGCACCTCGTCCGAGTGTCTTGAAAATCTTCTTTCTATTGTGAGAGTGTCGTGGTGGCAGCATACGATGGAAGAACCCTGGGCATACAAGAACATGGACGCCGTGGCGGCGCATGGCTCGAAGTACCGCATGATGTTGGGCTGCGACATGTTGAAATCCTGCATCTCATTGCTCCGACCTCTTTGTGACGACTGCCCGGAGCTGACGGTAGCGGTTCGGTTTCTCGCGGAGGCGGACATGATGGCACTATATCCTTTTTCGGATTTCGATCTGGGACCCGGTGCGATGTTAGTCGGCAAGCTGCATTTGGGGAGGACGACTTCAAGGCAGGGCAACGGCTGCAAGGTCCGTGTCTGCCAGACCAGGACCTTTGAGCCCTCTCAAGCCGAGAAACAGGTGGGTGACTCCTGTGAGACAGGCCTACTCACCAATCCGAGACGATCACAGCACCGTCCGGCTGCTTCGTGGCGAACCAAAGGCAGTCGGGAAGCTACACTTCTTCCAATCCAACCATCACATGAAGCACTGTTCAATGTCCGTTCCCGGGCCGGCTGTCCTTCCACGTTTCCAGGTTGCAGAGACTTTTCGCAAAGCTCTTCGTAGGCGTCCTAGAGTAGCGGTATCGTCTGCCTGCTGTCGTGTTACGGTTGCTGGTTGTGCCGTTGCACTCTAATGTCTCTCTTTTTACGGCGCGGGGCTGCTGGTCTTTTTTTTTTCTTCGTTGCCAGTGAGTTACCGGATAAAGGTAGGACAGGAGAAGAAAGAGAAGAAAGTCTGGGAGCCGGCGTGTTAAAGACGGTTACAGTCTGTCGGGACGTGTTGAGGAGGGGGGGCAAGACGCTATAGACGCAGGTGGAAGGGTGTGAAGCGATGAGGTTGTCTCTGTTGAAGTTGGCGTTGTTGGACGTAGAGAGAGAAAGCTCACTGGATAGGCCTTCGTCGAGGGGGTGTGCCGGCGCTTGTCTTGCAGGAAGATTCTGTCAAGTGTGCAACTCGAAATTTTACAGAGACACACAAGCAGGAGAGAGAGGGTTTTCTTGCTTACAGACTGACGACGGAAAGGGAAAAGAAAAGAAAAGGAATCGAAAAGACGATGGAAAATAAGAGAGGCTGCTGCTCGAAGGGGGTGTGTGCCAGTGTGGACGGGGTGTGATGGAGCCAAATGGGAAGAAAGTCAAGCAACATGGAGCATGGCGCCTAAGTTTTGGAGCTGACTTGTCACTGGACGATCAATCTTGACCATAAAATTAGAGCTGTTCAGTGAACGGTCGAGGTATCTGGGAGCGGATACGGTCCGGCTCATCTGGACGAGCCAAGACGCTGCATAGACCGGGGTGCTTGTCGTCGAGGGACCCTGTCAAGCCAGTGGAAGGGGATCAGTCAAGGTGTGCAAGGTGCAAGCCACCGCGTGCCGAGGGGGACACAATTGGGGAATATGCAGCAGGACGACGGGGGGGTCATGGCATGGTGGAGATGGTCGAATGCCATGAGCGGCGTGGTTGGGCGACTTGACGAAGTATCGAGGCAAGCAGAGTGTGTCTGAACAGGGCAGTACATCAATATTTTGCCATAATTAGGTCTCCGGTCCTCTTCTCGCGCGGTGCTAGCCAGTGCCAGTCTCTTCTTTTTTCGCGAGATCCTGCTTGCTGCTGCTGGCACGCTGCCGCTACTTGCTGCTTGCGATGCTTGCTTAACCTGCGTGCGTATGTGCGCGCGGGCGGGCGACAGGAATATCAACCTATCAAGTTGGGCTGAGGCGGCACTGGCTTTCCCTCAGCCTAGCTTGAATTTCTCGTCTGGTGGTTGTGACGGCCGGGCCATCTCATCATTAGGTTCTTGTCTCCAAGATAATGCCCAGTCCACCACGCATAGCGAGACAAAGAAAGAACAATGAAGGAGCAGATGAGGAATCGAACCGAATCGTCTGGTCTTTGACTCGCAGTGACGTCCCATCGGCGGCTGTTCTCCAACAAGCGTGTCTCGCTTTGGATATCCAGCTCCGCTTTCCCCCTGATGATTTGACTTTGCATTGCTGTATCGAGTAATGGTTGACAGTGAGGCAGTGAAGACAGCGTATGTCTCTTTGGGGGCGCCAAAGGTACCTTACAGGACTGCTGTGGAATGGCAGATGCGCGGTATGTACGCAGAAGGAGATGTAGTGCGCAGGTATCCAAATCTGAAGACGGGGACCAGTGGCATGACTCCCCTCTTCTCGGCGGTGGTCACGGTCGTGAATCCTGGTACAAACAGGCTTGATTCGCCTCGGTGGCCATGGATGACTAGTTGCTAGGACGGACTCTTGAACAGGCTTGAGAGCCTATCGAAGGGTCGAAAGGCAGTGCAGCATAGAGAGACGGGCACGGCCAGAGCGGCGGGAAGTGAGGAAAAGAGCATGGTTGGGGGAGAAGAGAGAGGCTTGGTTTGAAGGACGTTTGCGTGGACTGGGAGAGAGAATCGAGAGAGGACGGGACGAGAGTGAGGATAGGTCGAGGGGAGGGGAAAGAGGAGGACAGGGAGCCGGGGTTGAACAGTCTACGCGCCGAGGAAAGGGTGATGGCGCCTAAGGAACTTGCATGGGGCCAATCCGGAGCCGCATGTGCCTGCTGTTCAGCAGATGCATTGCAGGGATGCCCATGGACGTGCGTCTGACTGGTTCGTTGCTTTTAACCTCCCGTTGGACTGATCCACTCGGCCCCACCCAGAAGTAGCCACTACTTACTTTTGGTGCCTCTGTCCCGCCTCGAGCGGCGGCAATGTTGGAGGTAGCCGCTACCTCTCGCCGGTTTCCCCGTCTGTGCCACCTTTCCAACCTCACCTCATGGACCTCCACCTTCCTCTGCTATTACTTTGTTACTTCCTTCCTTCCTCTCGTCAACTAATACCTTAGGTAGGTATCTACGGAATAACTCAGTGCACCGCTCCTTCCATCCGTACTCCGTCAGGTACCTTACCTTACTGATGCACAATTCGGAATTCCTCAGTTATCCATCTGATTCCCGTCATTCTGTTTGTCCTTCTGGGAGTACGTACCTGACTTCCCTCTCCCCGTTTGACCTCAATCCACCCTCCACCAACTCCATCAACTCCATCAATGATATCCCAATCTGGCTGTGTGCCTGTTTGGCCAGTGACACACCATCCGACCTCTTCCCTCCAGTTTCAGGAACACGACCATTTTTCATCGACAACGTCAAACCCGTCACTCCCGTTACAATACCTACCATTGCAACGTACGAACTCGATCGGCCCCTTAGTTCCAGGGGCTGGACTCGAACGAACGCCACTATTCTGCATCCATCGCGAATTCGCCATCGCCTCTGCCGGTACGGGTCTGGAATCACATCCCGCTGGCCGGCACACAAGCGGCCACCATCCATCACTAATCCCCACTACTTGTGCTTGAAGCTCGGAACTTTGTGTTCCCTCTCGCCCTCTCGCGGCCTCGCCCTGTCTGCACTCTGCACACTGATGGAGCAATTCAACGGCCTGGCAACGTGCAATGCTTCACTCCGAACCCTCCACCTTCTCATCCGCAGCTCTAGTCTCTACCGAGTACTGCCTAAGACTCCCGGTCCGTCCACACAGGCCAGCCCTCTCAAGGATTGAGGCTGCACCATTGCTGCATCTGCCCGCCTTTGGTTCTTTGTCCTTGCGAGACGATCACTGTTACCTGCATACTTCGAAAACCATGCACAACACAGACCCCCAGTCGACCTGATCCGTATCAGATAGAGCTTCCGAATCCCAGCACCCAACTCAAATCACTTCAATTGGCGTCGCCTGCTAAATCCCTAATCAATACTCGCCTTTCTCTGTTCAACGTCTCTACCGTTGTGGGGAATTGGCCAACAATAAGGTCCATCGCAATGTCCCGCCGCTACGATGAGACGCACTCTATTACATCACCAAGCTTCACTGCCAGTCGGGGCATTCGTTACATGTCTCACTCAGGGCCGAAGGAACGAACGTTGCTGCACATATCGACTTATTCGTCCACCTGCCACATCAATCCGCTCCTTGGCCACACCCATTGAAGTTACCCATCCCGGTCTGGCCTACCTTTTGGACCCCGGATATCAGTTCCTCGTCAATGCCCCTGGGGAAAAAAACCATCCGATGGCAGCCCAATGACATGGGCAGACGGAGCAGCCTTGCTATTGCACCTTCATCGGCCGCTAATCAGCTTCACACTCGTCCAGCATGCAACCTCACCGGCCGCTTCCCCGTGCATGACTGAAGTACGGATTAAGGTATGGCTGCATGTTGAGAGCATGGTTCAACCCACGGCCGCCTCATTCATTGACCGTCGCTTAGACCAGTTTTTTCAAGCTGATGCACAAGCTTCAGGTACGTAACGTGCCCTCCACTCTTCTCCTCGCCATCACGATGCTACCCCGGAACGGGTGGTCAATTCCCCCGCCGCAACCACCATCTTGACCGTGCCTCAACTATCTTGCCGGCTAGCTGCTTGTTGGGTAAGCTCGTTTTTCGGGTCGTCAGGCACCTACGTGACAGTTTTTCGACGATTTTGGCATGCGTGCTGTCTGACATCTTGTTTGCCCTCGTGTTACCTTCAAGGTATCAAACGAAAGGCCGATTGGTCTCGAAAGTCCCTGAGAAGACGCAATGGAGCAGCCATGTTGCTCTTGGAGTCGGGGACACCATATGCAGCCGGTGAAAGCGTGAAATAGGGCGGCCGATCCGACTTGTCAAATCAGCTTCTTGTGGCGCCAGCAAACCTTGCAAGATATTCGACATTGAGGGGGCTGAGAGACATCAATATCAAACGGCGACGTTTTTCCACCGAGAGGTCAGGATCCCTGGAATCTGTATATTACGCAGTACGCCACTCCGGAAATATTCCTATGTACCGTGGCGACCTTGTCGAGCTGCTCGAGCAGTACTAAGTAGTCGAGCCCGACTTACAACCTGACTGTACTTCGCTGAGGCCATAGCTCGAGCCGCGGATTGAGTTGAATGAGCTTTGATGAAATTTTTCCTCCTCTTCGGAGTTGTGGGTTGATGGGCAGAGCCCGCCCACCCCTGCCATGTCGTACATCGTCTTGGCTTCACTGCAGGGGTCGTGTGTTTGCCTTGCCGTCGAACTAGCCTCTATAGCCGTCTAGATCGTTATCGTTCCCGGTTGAGTTTCCGCTTTGATCCCGGGTGTATTAGCCATCTTACATCCGGCTGAGGATGAACAATCCTTCCGGTAGTCGTCAAGCAACGAATCGAGAGCGGGCTAGGGATTATTTGCTGAACGAGAATCGTTCTCCCAGACGTTATCTGGCCAACCCTGACAGAACCAACTAACAATCAATGATCGACATCCATCACACGAGACCGAGCCTCACGGCACAGTGGCAGAGTGGCTCCTGGCCCTGTTAATAGGATTCAGTCACTTAATTGTGCTGAGGCTAGGATTATGCGGCTGGATTACTTCACAGTCTCAATGCAACTGTGATATTCATGCTTGTAGAGCCACGAAAGGCCTAATCAGCCTGGCCAGCGTGCTAATATTTGTGTTTACATAGTTTTACAGCCGATGAAGGATGTCTATATCAAATACCGCAATAGCTTCCCATATTGTCAGACGGAGTCGACTGACTCGAAGCTCTCATCACATATCATTTCGTGACGGATCACGTTCACCATCCACATTACAATGATTTCGAGGTTGTTGCTGGGGGCCCTGGATGCTTGGCGACTGTCGCCCCACGCATTGCTGCTCCATCTTACATTCGATCGCTCAGATCAACGTCAGGATCTCACACGCCAGGAAGCGGCCGAGTGGCATCGAGGGCGAGCCGAGCTGGCCGGCCTGTCTATGCCGTATGACATTTCAATACTATTGCGATCGACCTCCACTACTCCTTCAATAGTGTCGTGGTAGAATCACGGCGTTTGCATCTCATGCGGTCGCCGGCGCAAGATGTGCAAATGCATGACCGACTTGAGCGGCCTGAAGCGAGCAGCCGTCACCCTAGCGGCAGCGGCAACGGCAACGGCAACCATGAGAAAACGTCATTCTCAGATGCTTTTGAATCTCACGACATTAAACACTTGGACACCGCGCTTCTCGGGATCACAACAGGATCCATAGCGATGGAAGTTTTAGCCACGCCGCGCAAACCGCAATCTATCCTCAGCTTTCCGTACAGGCCGGGGGGACCACAAAGTGCTGTGCAACGAATGAGAGGCTGCTGTGCCACTTTGACGTCCTTATTGGCAGTCAGCTGTCCCTCGCGTACGGCATGACGGGTACAGAATCGTCGATAAGTGGCTCCTGGAACGCCATTTTTGACATGCGAATCCTCCATTCATATATCTCCCCACTGAGGGGAGGCCATGCGGGATTAAACCTCACAAAATCGCAGGCCAACGACACCTTCCCGACTTGTATCTTACGCAGGTCGCCAATTCGAATCTTTCGGGAATTCCGCGTCCCGTGACGATGAGTGGATGCGGCCGAGGATTGGATCTTTGCTCTCAAAAATGATGAGGGTTGCCTGCTCGACCATCACCAAGAGAAGTTGAGAAGCTCATATTCGAGTTTCCATTGGAGAATCTGACATGTCTCAGCAGATGAGTAACACACCACCTCGTGGCATCACGGAACCTGAGCCGTGAAAGAGCTCGCTTACCCCTGTCCTGTCATCCCTCTGGGCGGGCGGGGAAACCAGGTGAACTGACTCTTTCAACCGCCCAAAAACGCGAAAAGAGGCAGATTCACAGCATCTTATCAAGCACGAACAACACTCTTTGGGTAATGGGCAGGGGGGGGCCATAAACAGTAGACATGAATGAAATCCCGGCATCTCCCCAGTCAACCATCCGATCACGTCTGTACTGCAGCACTTACATCTGCAGAGATCATCACCGCCGAGAGTATCCTTGTCCCATCACATCTATTCGCACCCACGCTTTACTCACCTCGTCCAACACGCCGCCACGGCGACCGACAATAGTCTAAGATCTGATGGCGTGCGCTCCATCTTGACATCTGGAAGTCAATTGCAGCACGTCAAAGAAGATGAAGGGTAACGCGGCATGACCGGCCGTGCGCTGTGACTGTCAGTCTGCTAGAAATCCCATTTTCTCCAAAGAGAAGAGACAAAAAAGCTGTTGGACCCCTGGGCCCAACCGCCGTGCCGCCCTACAACCCGCATGCGGCCTAGGCGCGTGTGATTCGGACGGCGCTATCTGTGATTCGACATGGTGACCCCGTTGGTCCACCCCCGTCCGTCCACCCAAGCTCCCCCATCCGCCATCGTCCTCCCGCCGTTTACGGCCGGCACGAGCCATGAGCAAACGTCCGCAGATGACGGGCACGCTAGGCTAGCTAGCACTCGCACGCGCGGGGCGACGCGGAAGGGATGCACGGGTTGGTTGAAGAGGTGTAACAATGGAGAGGTGTGGCGGGATGCGGACCGGGGGGACAGATGGGGGACGGGGTGCCCGCGGTCTACTATCGATGTGATGGAGACCCGACGTAAGCATTTGGCTGGCGGCTGTTGGTGGCGTTGAAACTCGAGAGAGCTTTCTTCGACTTACACAAGTGTGAGAGTCCGGTTCACTCGATTTCCTTGCTGCTCGTATTTGCTGAGGTATGTATGCTTGTCTCGGCGGAATCCTTCTAGGGCTTTCCCTGAAGCGGCTGCGGTTACGTGCCTTGTTTGTTGAGTTTGTTACCGGCGGTAAGGGAAGGTACCAAACGAAAAAGTGAGGTGGCTGGGGGAAAATAGGGCTGGTTAATGGAGGCGAGAAGATATCTCGTGGACGGTGGACCTGGAGATCTACGATGGAGGCAAAAACAAGCCCGGAGAACACATGGGGTGGAAGGTGAGAGGACCGCCTCGCTGGGCGAGCAAGCGCTGAGCAGCAGCGAACGGCGGCGGTGAGCGTTGTAAGCGAAGCTGGTGCATGGTGCGCGGTCATGTGCCCTCGTGCAACATACGACGAGGGGAGGGACCTTTTGTTCGCCGGGCGGTTGGGGGGGAGGCAAAATAGCGTGGACAGACAGAGAGAGGGAGAGAGAGAGAGGCTTCTCCGCGTCCGATGGTTCGTGCCACGACGATAGGAGATCTTTAATTGCTTATTTGCTTTTTCCTCGTGGTCTTTCGTGCTCGTAGGATGCCGTCGTCGAGCACGTGGTTTTGTATGTGCCTTGGTTGATGCAGGAGTAGGTAAGTATTTCGTGGGGGGCTGGGCTAGGCAAGTTGGCAAGGGGCAGAATTTCCCATGTCTTGGAAGTGGTTGTGAAGTTTTTTTGCTTAGCTGGCTAGCTGGCTGGGGAGACTCTTTTCCGAGAGCGGCGGACCTAGTGTACGTTGACGTGGTATAGCAATGTCTCACTCTGCGTTTTTTCTGGAAGCATTTTCAATGAGAGGGGAACGTTCCCTTTGAGGAAGACGGGAGAGTTGGGGGTGGGATTGAGAGGGATGGTCTGCGATGTCGGTGAGGTTGTAGTCGGCACCTTGGGTGCAGCGCGCGTATGCAGAGCCAGCGAAGCAGGAGAGTGTATTCGATATTGCTGTGCTGCGCTGTGCTGCACTGCGCTGTTCTTTGCTGTGCGTTTTCGTTTCTCGTATTCACAGTCGGTCAACTAGCTTGCTAAAGAAGGCCAGTTAGTTGATCGATTGACACCTTGCCATGTGTTGCGACGTGTTTTCTCTCCCTTGGATCTAAACCCACTCAACTAAATTCAACCGGGGTTCATATTAGTAAAGTTCCTAATACTGATGTTATCGGTGAACTAGTTCCTATCCTTGGCAGTACCAAACTTCTTGAGATTGTCCTTCGATTGAGCTAGATCTTCTCATGCATGTAGATAGGTGCATATACCAACCGCTCTCATGTCAATGCCGGTACGGTACGCAGGCCTTGGTCCCGGCCCGTTGCGCCCGACTGCCGTAGTCTCCACAGTGATCTCCGTTCGGGGGTATGCGGGGCCCGGGGCGGGTCTTAGACAGCCCCCTCCCCCCGCTCACTACCGTTTCAAACGGCTTTGGGCTTAATTTGACGACAAGCGGGGAATGGGACGGGGGACTTGTGTGCTCTTGATCGGATAGACAGTGTTAGACGTGCTGGACGTGTTATTGGGGGAACTGCTTTTCTGTCCTGCGATAAGTCGTGTTTTGCAGCCCTTTCGGAGCTCTAAGGTGGTTCAGAGGTAGCTGTCTTCTGCACATTCGGGGGGTGAGATAGCTGTGAGATGTTGGGGAAGATCAACAAAAAGCTCAGTTGACAATCTAGTTGTGACTATGTTTCTTCCTCAGACTTCTTGGCTTCGCTTGCGTCTGGAGACACCTGAGCGTCAATTTGGTAAAAACCGATTTGAAATGCAGAGAATACGAACTTCAACAGATTGCATAGACTTTTGGATCTATCTACTATATTGGGATAGCATATCACCTCTTGGTCCCATCGCCCAGAAGCGTCATACTATCTTCGTTGTCAAAATCTGAGTACTGGACGAAGTCTCATCTTCTTTCTCTCGCACAGGTCAGCGAAGCAGTAGCTTCGGATCTCAGACTTTGACCCTTCCCGTCCCAGAAAAATACCAGCTGCGGCTACTGATGCTCGATTTATTGCAGCTTCGAGAGACTCAGCATAGTACTCGTGCAAGGAATAGGCAGATGTGGTCCTCGGACCCTTCGGATATGTGCACGACAGCTGGTCGAAGAACCTCACCAAGCTCTTGAGCCCGATTTCTTCCTTCGGCGCACGTAGTGTTGGCATCATCGTCGATGAGAACGTGACGAGTCCTCCCGTTCTCAACCTATTTTGCACTGCTTCAGCCAAAAGCTCAACATTCTTGGGTTGTGGTTCCGAGATAGCCAGATAGCCACTTGTCATAGTCTTTCTCATTTTCTGCATCGCTGCCTCTAGTTCCCAGGTTGCCATCAGAATCATTCTAATATGACCACCCGACTAGATGAAGCTGTTTTTGGAGGCACTCGATACCCCGGTGATTGCCAACCTCCGGGTAAGCTTGAGAAAAGATCTCCGGCTTCCGTGAGGAGAAGGCTACATGAGTCGTCAAACGATTACAACTAAGGCGAGCAGGAGGTGACAATGGGCACGCGGAATTTATGGAAGGTCCTCAGGAAGTCGAGTGAACGACAGCCAAGGATTCAAGGAAAAGCAGTTTGAGAAAGCAAATGGTCTTCTCAATTTTTCAGTGTAACTTTTCCGTATCCGCAGGTATCTCATGACCTGTCTCGAAATGCGTTGCGCGATGAGGTGATAACCCCCCAGTGATGTGCGAATTCCAATGATCTTCAAGTCAAGATCCAATGCTGCCAACCCCCCAAGCATCATTCATCCAAGCCTCCCATATCATACTCCAGAAGAGCCAGTGGACCGCCCTAGAAATGCCATGTGGATTTGGTTGAATCGATAGTGTTGAGGGTCGAATAATGCATTTAGATCTCCGCGTTGACGGGGACGAACTTGGCGCCGGTGGTCTTGATGTCCTTAGTGTCCTCGTGGACTTCGTCTTTCATGCTGTTTCGTAGATATGATTGGTGAGATGGACCTGGTCCCAATGGATTCCGATTTGGCTTACCTGGGGCGGGAAGGGGTGCACGGCTTCTTGGGGGGAGGAGCCTCCTTCTCGTCATCCTCGTCCTCCTCATCGGCCTCCTCGACCTTGGCCTTGGACTTGGCGGGAGTCTTGCGCTTTCTGGGAGTAGCCGGGGTACCGGCCTTCTTGGGGGTAGCAGCCTTTTTGCCAGCCTTCTTGGGAGTGGCGGAGGCAGATGCCTCACCGTCGCCGCCGTCGCCGGCGGTAAGCTCCTTGCGCTGAAGCTTCTGGATGTGCTGCCTGAAGAGACTTGTTAGCATCCAGAGCAAACCAAAATATCTCGAGAAAGCGAACGCGTAATAAAACGGAAAGAAAGAACGGAGAGACGAGAGAAAGTGAACGTGGCAAGGCAGGCAAGAAATACATGACAGCATTGGCGTTGTAGACATAGCCCTTGGCATGAACTAGAGGAAGAACGTGGTCCCAGTCCTCCTTAGAGGGCTTGATGACCGACAGAAGGGCAACCAAAAGGTCAGATCGGGCCTCATCGTTCCAAACGGTGACTGGAGCCATCTTGGTTGGCAGAGGGAGGTGTGAAAATGGCAATGTAAGGCAGGTGGTCATGAAATAGGCGAGTGGTGGTGATTGGAGTGAAGATGAGAGTGGAAGAAAGGAAAAACTGAGAGATCGCTTGATCTGGGGAAATATGTGGGAAGTGGCGGGAAGGAGGCCGCTGGAGAGGCAGAAGTGGGAAAGGACGAAGGGAAAAGGTGGAAGGCGCACTTCAAGGCAGAAACGGTCATTGTATGACCGAGGGCATGAAGCTCGTCAATGATGACTGAGTACTGATCAGTGGATGGAGCCATCGTCTTGACCATAGAGACCAAGATCTGCTGGTCGATCTCAGCCGTCCAACGGATCATTGAGCGAGACATGTTTCAAAGTGCTGTAGGAGAAATGAATGGAAACGATGTGATGATGATATGTAAGAAGGTGAACAGTTGATAGAGTTTGATGTGAAATGTGTTGAGTATGAGAGATGAAAGAAAGAGAAAGGAAGAAACGCATGAGGCCAGAGTGAGAAACAAATAGAGGAAGCGCAAGGCGAGGGAAGAGGCAACCGCCAGGGTGAAACAGAAGGCAGGAGGGAGATACACACCGGACAGCTTCCCAGGTGATATCCGTGAAGCCATATGCATGCATCTTCAGGATGACGGCGTCTTTGGCTTCCTTCGTAAGGCCTTCGCCCTTGGCAACGGTATGGAATCCCATAGCCAGAGCCTCGAGAAGGGCCGGATTAGCCCACTTGCCACCGGGAGCAGACTTCTCTGACATGGTGATTGTGTTCGTGTAGTATTGGGTTGGCTGATGGGAAACGATTGATGGAATGTGGAAAAAAAAAAGGGTTGTGTCAGGGAAAGATATTGGGGCTGACAGGATGGGTGTGTAGTGTGTGGAGAAGGGGATGAGAATCATATCTTGAGCCACCTATTTCAGGCAGCGGAAGTGACAGACGGAGTCCCAGGTTGACAGCAAAAACAAAGAAAAAAAAAATTGGACAGGAAGCGCAGGCAGCAAAAACGTGCCACGGGAGGAACCAGACAGACAGAAAGAAAAAGTCGTACCGGACACTGTCCCAGGTGGTGTCCTCGAAGCCATCGCGATGGAGCTTCGCCTCGACACGGTCCTTTGCCTCCTGCGGGAGACTGCCGTTCTTCAGCTCGTCGTAGAAGCCAACAACCAGGCTAAGGAGAAAGGCCGGGTTAGACCACTTTCCGCCCTGCTTATTGTCAGACATGTTTGCGATGTTGATCTTAATGGTTGTTGATGGTGATGAAGTTTTATGTTGATGTTGAAGATAGCAAGACTGAATAGCCCTTGGAGATGATGTTCTGAAATTGTGTTTTGGTAAAGAGACCACGATAATCGTATGATGGTTGAGGAGGAGAATTGTCGAAGGTGTAGAGAAGAAAAGAAAGATTGCTCTCGAGATCGAATCTGAAGGGGATTTTATAGAGACCCAATGAGGCCGGGTCCTCTCGCCGGCTGGCACACGAGCCAGTACTAGAAACCCAAAGGGCGAGAGCACCCTCAGTAAATAGAACTTAAAGGGCGAGAGCCATCTGACTACACGGCATAGAGCAGTATAAAGTCTCACTCGTCTGAACGCATTTACGTCTTAAGGTATGAATCGTCTCAAAGAACTTAATCGTCTGAACGTGAGACGAGAGATCCAAAGAAGAGGAGCATTATTGCTTGTTGCTTAGGAAACTCAAGTGCAGGAACATCCCCAGTAAACAGGACTAAAAGGGCAAGAGCCTTCCAACTACTTCCTACATAGCCGAGACTAGTATCAAATATCATTCGTCTGAATGGATCCTCGTCTGAATGTCTAAATTGTCTCAAAGCAACCAGTCGTCTGAATGCAAGACGAGAAAGTCAAAAGGCAATAGCATCCTACATCAACAGAACTAGAAGGAAGAGAGCGTTCTGACTACCTGCCCAAAGGCCCAAAGCAGTGCAAATTCTCACTTTTATCGTCTAATGAGAACCTCGTCTGAATCTATGAGCTGTCTTAAAGCCTTCGTCTGAATGTCAGACGAACAAACCCCAAGAGAAGGAGCATCTTTCCTGCCTGGTAAACATCCCTTGAGAGGCAAGAACCTTCTTGCTGCTCAAGGAAGCCCATAGGGCGAGAGCACCCTTTCTCAGTGCCAAATGGAACGAAAAGGGCAAACGTCTTCTTACTATTCAGTTTCATTCAGAGAGTGAGAACATCTGCTTGCTTGGTGAACAGAACCTCAAGAGCAAGAGTCATTGTACTGATAGGCAAACAATTTGGTATGAAGAGCTAATGGGAACAGGGGTCTCTTGGTGGACAACCTGGCACGGGAAACTCAGAAGGCGGGAGCATTCTAGATATCTCGACTCTGTAGCAAGTCTCTACCTTGATTGTAGCTTAGCTCATACGGAGGGTGACAGACATGGAGTGTCTCAGTGCATCACCGAACCCTGAGTTGGTCTAAAAGGTAGTGGACGATTGTCAAAAAGAATGACAAAAAAGCTTTTGCTCTCGAGTCCGAGGTAGAACCATCTCGATGGGATGTATGACAGTGAGAAAGAGCTGGCAAGTTCTGTGAAGTTTATTGTTCTCGAGACCTAGTAATCTCAATTGTAAAACTCGGCCAATGCCAGTTAAGCATGTATCCTTATAAGTCGAAGGATCATAGACAATGGAAAAACCCAATCAGTCCAAACTCCAAGCACCTCGTCGTGTTCATAACCTCGCTCCGGATGCCGCTACCGCTTTGATGCATAACGCCTTGATCTAACAAAACTGATGGGAAGGAGGAATATCGACTGGCTCGGGTTTATAGATTTGACGCCTAGTCTAAATCATCAAATTCGCCAAATTCGAATGTATTCGCTGCGTCCGACGCCGCCTTGGCCTCATGAGCTTTCAAGCGGGTTGATCGCTACTCTCATGTCTCAGGACCAAAGAAGGAAGTGTGCGGGTCTGAACCGGTCAAGCCGGCTGTGGGATACTCGGAGTTGTAGCCATCAGAAGGGGGTTCGCTGTGCGCGGCCAAAGCTAACACAGCTTCGTCATCGACGAGAGAATGGTCATGGTCATGAGCAGGGTTGTCGAGCTTGATTCTCTTGGCATCGGGGCCGTCTTGTTCGTCATCGTTGTCGTCTTTGAGAGACAAGTCGAGAGCGTCGTCTTTAAGGGGAAGGTCCAGAGACTCCGACATGAGACTGTCAGGCAGGATGGATGCTTCCAAGTGGGTGTGGTCATCCTGGATAGACTCCTCATGAGTGGGCTGGTGCTCGGGCTGGGGGTCGTGCTGAAGGTCATGCGGAAGGTCATGCGGAAGGTCGGGTTGGTGAGTGTGCTGAAGGTCGGACTGGTGATTGTGTTGGAGGTCGGGCTGGTGGTTGTGCTGAAGATCGGGCTGAGGACTGGGCTGGAAATCGGACTGATGAAGACTTGACTGAAGATCGGTTATATCGGTTTGAAGGTCGGGCTGAATAACAGGTTGAGGTTGACCAGCTTGAACTTCTTGATCGGGGCCAATTTGACTAAGTTGGCTAGGCTGGCTGGCTTCACCGTTTTGCTCAGACAAGACGGCGATGGCCATCTGCGCGGCTTGCTGAGGCTGCTTCTTGGGCCTCCCACGACCCGGGCCCGGACGACGAGTGATTGGATTTGTTGTTGGGTCGACCTTGCGAGGGTTGTCAGGGCTCCCTCCATTTGTCTCACTCTTGTGCTGGGCACGACGAAGGCCCTGAAAGTGTTGTCTGTATTTCGTTAGTTTCTGTATGGAAATGGAGCAAAGGAGACGGATCCAGAATGAGAAGATGAGAAAGCTATGGTGAAGCAACATCGATGGTCAGCCGTCCCAGCTACAGAACATCTAGTTGCTTGCAGTGAAACTTTACGAAACAAGATGACGTGATAGTTTTGAGGCCCGACGAAAAGTGCGAGAAAAGGCGTCGAAGGCAATCCTTGACTTCATCTCTGGTCTTTCACAATAGATTTCAAGGTCCATTCTGGAGGGACCAGGAGGGAAACAGAGAAGAATGAGCACTAAGAAGACTAGGAGAGAATACAGAGCGGGGAAATGCAGATGGTAAGAGAAGGGTCGGCGCAAAAGTGAAGGCGCGTAAGTACGCGCAATTGTCTAGAAATAACGAATCGCAATGACGACGTCTTTGTGCGCTGCGAAGAAAGTTGCGCGTAGGTCGGAAGGATAAACATGAGAGAGAGGCGCGCCAACTCACCTACAGCCTTCATTGGTGAAGCCGTAACCCAGTGTGCGCATGTGGTTGCCGATGGTCGTCCATTCCGAACCGCTGATGACGCCAATGTTCTTCACAGACAGGATGGTAAAGAACAGATCCTTGTCGGCTCTGTCATTCCAATTTTTATTCATGACGAATGCGACGGATGATGTCGGCGATTCGCGTGGATGATATCCTGATACTCGTGACTTATACGATTGAAAGTGGATGTGAGATGGTGGCTATCCTTTGCGGTCGAGGATGAGAAATTGGTAGTGTGCTAAGCTCGAGAGAACGATGGGTCGAAAGGTGGTTGGGGGGCGCGAGACGGGAAAGTCAAGGCGCTGGGTTTTGAGTGGCTCCCTGGCCCGGTTTAACGTTTCGCCGGGTAAGAGCTCGACTTGCATGCACATCTGCAAAGCCTCAAACCTCGACAGAAAACTCCAAAAGACTGCAAATAGCTCCTGTAACACTTCCTGAGTGATTGAGTTTCTTTTCAAGTAGTTGTAAACAGATTTGGGGAGGCCATAGATCAAGAGATATCGTGGCCAAAGACGCCTACAGGACAGCGGGCGGATCTTCCGAAAGACTCCAATGTGCATAATACCCGGCGTTTAGCCGTTCATCAAGCGAGCTGTGACACCCTGCACTGGCTGCAGGTAGGTTAGCGGCAATTGACGGCGCCCTCCTCAGTGTCGTAATTAGTGCTCTGTTGCATTTGGGCAGACTACTTAGAGCTTCCAAATTCCCAATTCCCTCGCTGGCCTGCGTCTGCTGTTTCAACCAAGTGCATGACGAATATCACACGTTCCACACCAGAGAAGAACTGGGCGAGTGCACCTTGCTGATTACGATTCAACATGTTTTTTTCTGCACAGGAATCGTGTTCATGAGCTGCCTGGTCAGTCGTGCCGTGACGGCTGTGCGTTCAGTACCTATTACATGGATTCGTGAGACACGTCGAATCTGGCCCGCTGCCCGCCTGCAGCCGACTCGATTGGCAACGATAGCGTATCTGTCAAATGCCTGATTGCGAGACATGGCCGGACGGTGTAAGGTAGCCTTCCGAATACTCGTAGTTTAAGGGAGATCAACCTTGGGAACCAATGGCGTGCAATTTGTCTCGCATGCATCTTAAGACTTAAGCCGCACACTGGGGACGGCGCGACCCTGACAGACTGACAGATGACTGAAGAGGCAACTTCAATTGTGACTACAGAGCTGTGTGAGGCGGTCATCTTCTATGGTCTCTCTGTGAAAAAAGGCGCCATTTACTCCAATGAGAACAAGAAGCAAGGCAGCTTACCTCTGTGAAGCTTCTCCCAAACAGCCGCGGGAGGCCCCTTCACCCAGGTTCCCTGTCGCAATCGCCGCTTTACTCCTCCCCTCACCACCTCAGGCCGGGTTTGGTAGGTGTGGAGAACGGACGCTGTCAGACCTCAGGCAGCAACTGCAGGTCGATCCGTGGGCGATGTGCAAAGTGGGTCTAGATGACACATCACGTGGTTTCGTGGGAATATTGCGAGGACACAGTGCCCCCTCGGAATCGCGAGGCGCGTCTCCAAACCACTTCACCCGATCCCACCAACTTCACCGCGTGTCGCCTACGACACCAAATAGGCCTTTGGACAACATATTTACACGTTTTATCGCTTCAATATGTATTCCGACATTTATTCGCAATTTTTTCTGGTCTCCTAAGTGCTTTTGCTCGTTGAACAATCAATTCGCTGTTCAATTGCCAAACTAGACGGCCATCTCGATTGACCCCTCCCCTCGCCGGCTCGCATCACCAGCAGCCGACGGATGTCCCAGCCAGACACGAGATTGAGATTACGACAGTATGATTGACTGGAGCACGAATCCAGGGGGCACTAAATCGGGCCAAGAGGCTCAAACTCTGTTTGCCATTATTCGCCGTATTCCGCATCACAGAAGCTCCGTTGCTGCAAGCTTCGCCAACCTTGTGGCTACTAGCAGGTTTACCCCTACCTTAGATGCGTAAACCCGGGTGTTCGCAAGCGACTTAGTATACCATGTACGTATCAGAAGGCATCATGCTGCGTCGTCACAAGTGTCTGTCGACCGCCTGCTGCGTAAGTTTGTTTGACGACTCGGTGTGGGAAGGCCGCCAATGAATAGTGCGCGAACTGGGAGCTGCAACATGGACATAGCCAATCGCCCCAACCCCCTCCATTTCCGAAGCTACCTTGGACTAAAGTACTCGAAAAGTGAGTCACACATCCATACCGCATACCTGTCTCATGCCATTTAGATCCCTGTTCCGTTTCCAAGTGGTCCGTTGGGCGTTCCTGGATCTTGCATTGGGGTGGGATGGGGCCCGTTCGACCGCAAAAAAAAAGTCCCCCCAGAGAAAAAAAAATGACCCAAAAACTGCGTGTCAATTGACGAGTCAATTCTGCCTGCGAGTGCAGACATGGTTGATATCAATTAGTGCTCGCATATCGGCGGACACGCTAGTCGAATTACCTTGCAATTCCTGGCCTTTCGCTCAAACCTTCATTCGTCGGAGAGAGTCCAGTCGACTCCATCACGTCGGATGGGTGCAGGGGAGGGATCTGCGGACGCCGGAAGGCAAAAAAAAAAGTGAGCGCAAAAAGCTAGGGAATTCAAACCACTTTACGCGCAAATGACACGGCCCCACGCCGCGACACACCTCGGCCCTCTTAGCTCCCCTCCACCATTTTCATCAGCGCTCGAGTGAGCGTGAGCAGGGCAGCCATCAAAACCTCCAAGCCATTGGATCCAAACCATCCCATCCCATCCATGGATGCTATGCACTTGCGTCTGCACCTCACCACACCTCACCTACCACACCACATCCTCTCTCCACACCCTCCACAAACGTCACACACCCCCCTCTTCCCCCCTCTCTTCCTCTTCTTCTCACACTCTCTCAAGGACATGCGTCCCCGTCAAAGCCTGCCGCCGTAACTCCAGGCAACAAGGGACTATTTTGATTCCTTGTGTCTCAACCAAGGGGTTTGCCACTTTTACACCTCAATAAAATGTCGGCCCAAGCGCCGCGGCGTCTTCCCTGAAAGCATCTTCGTTCGACTTTCTTTTTCTTCATACTGTATAGATGCCAGCGGCCAACTCCAGCTCCTAATCCACAACTACTTGGCCCCATCGAGGCTCGGTACCAGCATCAAGCCGACTTGCATGCTCATTCCCTTTAGTTCCATGGTCCATGGGCCCTCTCCAAGCACCTATAACTACCGTTGATGTCCCGGGGTGTTGTCAGGCTGCCTTCTGACGAATCCTCCTTGTCTGCCTCTTTTGTCCGCCTCACCCTCATTGACCACCCACACCAACCGGTGACCGGCCTCGCCCTCAGTGGTTGCACCATTTCCAGATCACAACCTGCTGACTTGGATGCCATATATCTGGGCTTCGCCTTGCCTCACCAATCTTCACAGTGACTCATTTCCTTCATTTCAACTCCACACTTGCCTGTCGTGTGCTGGTTGACTGGGTTGAGCCAAAGCTTCAGCTTCTGTTGCTGTGCACTTCAAATTACTCCCCTTTCCTCCAGCTCACTGGCTTCAATATCGACCTCACCTCCATTCCCATAGCCTGGTCAGCTCGAGGCGAGACAACTCTCCAACACTCTCAACATGTCCTCCAATACAGACAACCAGATGACGAGGTTTCTCTTCGCCATCTTGAAACAGAAGAACCTCAAGGATGTAAGTCTCTACTACTACTACTACCACATCATATCACCTTGACTGGAGACTTATTCAACCTCCAGATTGACTGGAATGCCGTCGCTCATGATCCAATACTATCACAACCCATCACCAACGGCCATGCTGCTCGCATGAGATACTCCCGTTTCCGTTCGGCAATGCTGGGCCTCGAGCCTCAAAAACGCAACAGAGCCACCGCAAACAAGAACAGGGTTACGAAGAACAAAAAGGAGCAAAAGCCACCGAAAAAGGAAGAAGAGGAAGAAGACGAGAAGAGGGTCAAGCCGGAACCAGGGACTCTGGAGGCTCTCCAACAAGCCGAGGCTCGTGCCAGGTCTCCTGTCAAGGTCAAGCATGAGCATAGCCAGCCTGCCTACCGACAGCAGTTCACACCGACATCCATGGCGTCTCCCACCGCCACGGAATGCCAGCAGACCTTCCAGCCGAGGATGCTCACACCGTGTAGCGACGACATGTTCTCGGCGCCTCACAACCTGCAGTTTAGCCCGTCAGCAAGCCTCGTGGGCGCTCACCCAACCTTCGACCTCTCATCAGCCATGGCCTGCGCACACGAGCCGGAACAGCACCACCACGAGCACGACCACAACTCATGGGCACCGAGTCCAATCTACTCGGCCTTTGACGCAGCCTACGATATCGACGGCTTCGGCGTCGGCTCCTTGTGCGATCACCAGGCCGGTCAGGGGCATACCGACGACATGCACGGATCTCCCGCGCTGGGGTCTCTCATGCCTGAGCACATGAACATCAAGAACGAGCACTGGGACACCCATTTCCACCCATAATATTTCCGAACCCGAAAAACAGTTCGAGCGAATACTGGTGTGTGTTGGAATGGTATTGAGGGAGAGGTCATCTTATACGTTTTGGGTCCGGGTTTGGAAAAAAGAAAATACCTCGGGCTTTTTTCTTCACTGTCGTTGGCCTTTTTCTGTTCTCCCTCTCTTGTCTCATGTCTCTTGTCTCTTTTGTGCTGGTCACTCCTCTACTCACATCGATTTGGACTACCAGATGTACTAATGAATTTACGCAACACCCTGCAATGGCGTACTGGTCTGGCCTAGAATGTATGCTTCCCGGAAGAAAGCAGGGGGGCCTTTAGAATTTTAAACACATACAATGACGATTTCTATGACGAGTTTCTGCTTCTTGATTTTCGCATGCTCTTGTTTCAATAAGGCGGCTTCGAGAGTGTCCCATCCATCACCTTCTTACTCACCCCAGGACTTAATTCCCGACAATACCTTCTCCCTTAAAGGATAGCAAACCGTGGCACTTCGACATCAGTATTGATTCTCTACCACCATTTCATACCTGGTTCCCATGTTCTCACATGTCCTCCTCCGCCTTAGCCTTATTCCATCCAGCCCTTTCACCATCAGCCCTAGGCCATCCAGCACCCTAAGCCTTCATTCTACTTGATTTCTTACGTACCTCTTCAAGCAGTGTTTACTAACGGTATGATATCTATATGCACCCATCACCACTACCGAGTCTGGCGTGTATGCATCCCAAGTCATGGATGCTCTAGGGTTGATCTGCCTCTTTCTCCCATCTTCCCTTTGCCAGTAGCTGAATGGATCTAGCGTATTATTGCCCACATCTCACGAGCTATCCATTACGGAGATGAAGCGAGATCAGGCAGCGACAAAGCAGATAGTGATGGCAATTCACAACCGGCAAGTTGCCCAAGATGAAAGGGTCTTACGGCATAAGAATTTGCTCAAGATGAGTACTATTTCATCCGTTCGCGATCCCTATTCCTTTTATCAAGATGCCTTTTGCCTAGATTTTTTAGCGGTTCTATCCACAGGGATTCATCTCAACTGTGTAGGGCTGATTGATAAAGCCAAGACTGGACGAAGAGAATATAGAGATGGTTTGAGGGGACCTCTTGAGACGAGACATGAGACGGCACAGCGGTCAAATGACCGCCAGCGAGAAGCAATACATTATGAAGTCATGAGCTACACTGGCATTGAATAGTTCTCTTCGACAGAGGGAAATTTACAAACCCCCATTTCTCTTCTGTCCTCATCGGAACTTTGCTTCATCGCAACAAGTGAGATATGTCCGTCCCGCTCCCGCTCCCGCTCATCTGGGTTGAGGTTACTTATCTTATGTGCCAGGCTTTATGGTTTCTATTAGTTTTCAAGGAAGCTGAAGACTGCTACGTCTTCTCATTGCTTCAAGTCTACTTGTTCTTTATCCTTTCTTAGTAAAGTTGTAACCCCCTTTCTTATAATCTTTGTCGAAGTCTTTACTTCTCAGTCTTCTATTTGAGTCTTTTACTCTCTTGCATCACAACGTGAGCACAACTCCTTGCCTCCCGCTCGTTCCAAAAAAGTCTCCTACTACCTCATCACACTCATCAAGAGGTTATAGGACTGAGATCACACCTCTCATCTTTCTCCTCTAAAATCCTTCAGGCGGGGAACAAAGCTCTGCTCATCGAGGCGGGTGCCACCTTTAAGCAACTTCTCGAGGCGAGTGCCATCGACTCATCCTTGAGGTGGATATTATCTCACAGGGAGGACGAGTTCTGTGTATTCACCTTTTGAGGCGAGCGCCATCCCTCAGCATCCTGAGACGAGTGCCTTCTTTAGACGAATGCTATCCCATAGAACTTTGAGTCGGGGGGCATATGTTCACCTTCCATGATGAGTGCCATCTCCAACTTCTCGAGAAGAACATCATTTCACTTACCTTTGAGACGAGTGTCATCCTACACTTCAGGCGAGTGCTACCTACCTATTCACCTCTTATGGCGGGCACCATCTCTCACATTATTGAGGCGAGCGCCACCCACTTATCCCTCGAGGCGAGTGCCATCGTATGCTTGGGGCGAGTGCCGTCTAATACTTGAGCCTAGGTACCGTCGCAACTTGAGACGAATGCCGCCCATCAAGCCTCGAGTTGAGGGTCGTCCCAACTCGAGGCGAGTGCTATCCCGTTGCCCCTTGGGGCGGGTGCCGTCCCATAGTTGAGGCGAGTACTAGCTCTCAGATTATGACAGCTCTTTCCTGCTTGACCTCTCCGGCTTCTCGAGGTTTTGACTCTCACCCAGGATATATAATCCCCCTTTCCACCCCCTCCACAGACCTCTTCCTCTTCAACCCACCTCACCTCTCACAACTCCTCGACCAGAGAGCGAGATCTTCGCCCATAGAAGATCAACATCATTACACTTCGCTATATACAGCATACTAGGTACGTGGTTTCTTACTCATGCTATGTATCTCACTTTTCGCGTCTCAACTCGTCGCGAAACTCTTTTCACTACGACTAAAGTTGAATATTCCACCCTCTATACCTTTTTCTATCACATCATCGCAATCTTACGCGTTTCTGTGTTTGTTTCTTCCTCTCAAGCACATCGCGCCTCCCAACTTTCATACAACCCAGTGGTCAACACAATCTCTCTCCAACCATCCTCTTCTCTACTCCCTTTACTTGACGACTCTCTTCCACCTTGACTCATCGCACACTCTCTCACTCATCTCTCTTGTCTCCATCGCTGGCTGGTCATCCTGTCTCGGAATCTCATTATCTTCGCTCAGTTCTCATACAGAGACCTGACGTCTTGAAACTGACCCTCTTAGCACTCCGCATCGCAACATCAGCAACGCAACAATGGCTGGCAACTCTTGGAACGCCGAGACCGAGAAGGCCCTCTTGCTCTGCGTCATCACTACTGCCAACAACGGTACTGGCATAAAGCCTGACTGGGCTAACGTCACTCGCCGCATGAACCGCCTCGGCTACAGCTTCACCGTTGCGGCCCTCAGGTGAGTGACTATTTCTCTATATAGTGTCCGGCAGAACTAATCACAATTTCTCTCACAGTCAGCACCTCTCGAAGTATCTGACCAAGCCTTTCAATGAGCTGCTGGACGCGACCGCCGACATGCCTGCCACCCCGGCTCCGGTTCCTTCTTCCCGCAAGCGTGCTGCCCCCGGCTCCGGCACTAGAGCGGCTAGAATCTCCATTGCCGGTGGTTCTGGCGCGGCCCAGGCTGCCAACGAGATGGCCTCTCTTGCCCTTTCGGCTGACGATGGCGTTGATGATGATGAGTCCGACATGGAGGAGTCCAAGAAGCGTGTCAAGATCTTTCACGAAGGTCTTGTTGCTGCTCTTAATGGCCAGCATATCGATCTCACCGGCAACGATACTGATGCCAATATGGAGAACGCCGCTCCTGTCTCTGGTCTCGAACGTCAGCCGATTGACCTCACCGGCGACCTCACCGGTGCCCCCAAGAGAGAGTGGACGTGGGAGGGCGATGGCACCATGCCCTCCTTCATTCGTGCTGCCCGCTCGCGCAGGTATGTTCCTACGGATTCTTGTTCTATTTTCTATATTTTCACCTAGAAATGTTCTGGTCACCCCAGCACTTGAGACCCTGAGCTTGTATTGGTCTTTTTTTGTGGCTCTTCCAGCTTCAACAGCAAGGAATCGCTTCTCTTACCTGTTCTGCATCCGTCTGTTGTTTACCTTTACCTCTTACCTTCGAATTTGACCCCACTACCTACCTCCTACCTTACATCACTACCTTCCGTCTTTCCATACTTCAATCTTCCATACCTCACACCTCCACTTTTACAATCGAAGTTCCAACTACACTTCTACTTTCTATTCCCACATTCCAACTTCCACAAGATACACAACTTTCTCTTCAAAAGCCCTCACCACTCTCCGAAATGGACCTCACTAAGGAATTTCGCAGCTTGACCATCAACGATGCCGCTCCCGCCGCTCCCGCCGCTCCTGCCGCTCCTGCCGTGTCCCGCTTCAAACATAAAGCCGACTTCAACGGCGTCAGAACCGACCTCAACCTCGACCCGTCCGTCAAGACCTATACTTCCGTCATGGATCCCGCCTAGTGGGAACTCGAGAAGCGTGTCTGGATCGCCTGCGTGAAGAGTCGCAAGCAGCTCATGGAGATCAACGCGCGCAAGGCAGCCGAGAAGGAGGAGGCTGACGCTAAGGCTGCCGCTGAGGCTGCCGAGGCTGCGGCTCAGGCTGCGAACGCGATGGTCTTGGATTAAATGATGATGAGGGGGAGATTGGTTTACGACGAAACTCATTTTCTTTGGATTCACCCTGCTCTCATGACTTTAATGATGGGCGGGGAGATTTGGGAAAGAAGGGTTTTCGTTTGCCCGTCTTTTTTTTCTAATCCTCTCTTCATTTCTTGCTACTGGGTTTGACGGCAAGGTGGTTCGACAGAAACTGGCATTGTTTTCGGCATCAGGAACGGTTTTCTTTTCGCGCTTTTCTCTCTTCTCTCATCAGCTTTTCGTTCGCTTCTCGGCTTCTTCATCCCCTTTTTCTCGACCATGGACACCTTTTTTTCTTCGCAACACCAAACCAAAACGACCGCCGCCATTGAGTTGGATTGATCTGGAGTGGCATTGGAGGGGAGTAGGAGACCACGGGAGGGATACTGGGACAACGGAGGCTGGGATTTGACGGAAACTGGAAAGGGGGCAAAGGGCTTTTGGGTTTGATTTCTCTTTTCGCCGGATTGGCCAGGTGGCTTTTCGTTTACAAGGAATCTCTGGCACAGAGGAAGGGTTTCAACGGACTGATTTGACGGGGTATGGCTGAGATTACCGCCCCTTTTGATACTGATTGCGGAGGATTTCACATCTGGCTCGTACAGAAGCAGGCTTGCTCTTTTGCTAGCTTTTCTTTCTAGTCGGAAATGGAAGTCATCATCTGCTATCCTTGAGTACACTGATTGCTTTGTGAGTGAAGACCTGATGTTGCATAACTTCGATTCTTACGACAACGCGATTATAAACGGTGGTGAGGAGATGAGTGTCAGGGCACTGCTCACATTGATGTCGTGTGCCCTCGGCCTCTTTGCCTTTGGGCATCATTTCGTATGACCAAGATCGTCTCAAGCACGGCACTCGTACGTAAATTCAATCACTTCATTTTCGGGAATCTAATCACCGTTTGACTGTCCCAGACGATGCTGCCCTGGTAATTAGAACCATGCTCCCAGAATAATTACCCATCATACCCCTGAACGCCATTTGATCCATCCCAAATCACAGATATGTTCGCACCCGCACATTGCCATCTCACTCGATGCCGCGAGGCTTCGGGCCACGGCTATCCACTCTCCGTCCCTCCGCAGGGCCCTTCTTCTCAGGAGCCTTCTCCTTCTCCTCGGCCTCACCCTTGCGCTTGGCGCGAAGTGTCTGGCCCTGGCCCGCAAAGTGCGGACGCTTCTGCTCCTCCAACTCGCGCTTCTTATCGTCGTCAGTCTTGACCGGTTTGATCTCGTAGCCGAAGAAGAGCTTATTGGGCGGAAGGCGAAGCGGCATGGGACCGTTGTTGTTCCGGCGCGGGATTGGCAGAGCGGGCGGGTTGGCTGAGGCACCCGCCACGGGAGTCGCAGGCTTGGGCGTCGACGCCTTGCTGCCCTTCTTGCTTAGCTTCTGGCCCTCGCCGTAGAATTTGGAGTTGGTCGTCGCCGCGCCGGGGGCGATGGCGCCGTAGTTGATGGACTGGGCCATGGACCCTTGGCTGTGGAGCAGGCCGCCGGCCGGGAGGCCACCACGGCCGCTTCTGGGTGTGCTGGTTCCGCTGCCTTTCTGTTGCCTCTCTGGCTCGACATAACCGACTGGTGGCGCAAAGTCGACCTCGACGTCGGTCTCGATCAGGCACACTCCCATCTTATCCGTCTCCGGCTTGACCTCGAGAACCGCCACGTGGTAGATCTCGTCATTGTACTCAAAGTTGAAAACGTCACCCTTGGTGAGTGCGGCGAAGTTCCTAAATGCCTTCTCCAGCACGGCCTTGGGATCGCTGATATCGAGGAAGTTGGTCGATTGGGGCTGCAGCTTGACTAGCTTGGCGAGCTCGAGGGAAGTCGTCTTGATCTGGATCATATCGCCGACGTCCAGCGAGAGGGTTTGCATCATCTGATCTCACATGTTAGCAACGCCACCTCCGCTACGGCCAGCGCGGGCCAACGAGAGGATACGAGCACGAACCCAGTGGGGAAGGTATGCTCTGCCCTCCTCCGCGACGAATTCCAACACACCAGCGTGCGAGTGCTTTCCCTTCTCGCCGTTTATAATCTCCATGAGCAACGGCCATTGCACGTGGAGCTTCGAGACCTTGTCGAGGGCGGAGGGTGGCAGGAAGATCTTGGAACCGTAGTTGAGGTCGGGTCGCTCGGGACCAGGTGCCATGACCATGGGGTAGCATCGGTAGTATTCGTCAAATCGCTGGACGATCGGCCGGCGGCCACCGCGTGCGAAGTTATACATGTCTGCTTCGTTCTGGTCGAAGCGATACTGGGAGCTTAGAATTAGCTGGGGCGGAGAGGTGAATTGGACAGCTAGCTTACCATCGAGTGGGGGATATTTTGAGTAAAGTATCTTTTTCGCAGCAGAGAGAGGAGAATTAAAAGCAGTGAAATCAGTCCCGATGTGTTGTCAAGCTACCTTGGGCAGCTTTCTTTGAATCAGAGCAGTTGTGGCTGCTGCAGGTGGTGAAAGAAGGTAGCTTTGGCCTTTGGGTGTGATGAAGGAGGACCCGCGGTTTACGTGGGGCCGCAAAGGCAACTGATGAATGACGAAACCCGCTGGAAGTTCGACTGGGCTCCACCAAAAAATGACATGCCCGATACCCCAGTCGGTACCTTAATGCCCATGCAACTTTGTAGGGAATTCGAGGTATCCGCTCTCAGCTCTCAGATACATTCCAGGAAACTTAGAACGGGACGTTTGGAATTAGAGCTGCTGCATCCAGCCTACCTAGAAAGAAGCTCTTTGAGGACAACAGCCTCGCCACACCTCAACTCCTCATCTGTCACAACCCACCCCATATCTACAGGCATAGCCGCCCGAGCCATGGCCTCTAGACACTCAGCAGCGCGCCCGAAAAGGGCAGGCGAAACCTTTGCGCGAACGCACCACCACGACGCCGAAGCGGACGACGGCCACGACTCTAAGAAGCTAAAGTTTGACGTCCGCAACCCCTCCGCCCTGGCCCCCGATGCGCCAGAAGAGGACGCCATCCTCGACGCCGACGTCATTGGCGGCGGCGGGGGAGCGACGAAGCGCGGCGCCGTGAACCTGGACGGTTACGACAGCGACTCGGACAACGAGCGCAACTTCAAGTCGCGCGCCAACGAGAAGCATAAGGGCAGGAAGGATGGCGATGCGGACTTCTTTGGCCAGTTGGATAATTATGATGCCAAGGACAGCGGCGCGAACGGCAAGGGGGGCAAGATCAACGAGGATGACGACGAGGACGACGATATGTTTGCCACGGACGACGATGACGAAGAGAAGGAGGGTAAGGCGGCACAGGAAGGGACCAAGGCGGCAGGGAAGGACAAGGCTGTGCGCTTCCTCGATGACGCACAGATTCAGGGCCAAGAGCTGCAAAGTAAAAGCGGAGGACAGATCCGTCTAGACGACGAGGAGAGCAGCGACGACGAAGAAGACAAAGAGCTGGCGATGCAGGAGGAAGGCATCGACGAGGAGGTCGGGCTCGGCGGCTTGAAGCGTAACGCGCCCAAGGTCGAGGCGTTCAACATGAAGGACGAGCAAGAGGAAGGTCGCTTCGACGAGGACGGCAACTTTATCAGGAAAGCGGTGGACCCGAACGCCGTGCACGATAAGTGGCTCGACGGGCTGAGTAAAAAGGATCTGAAGAAGGCGGCGGATGCACACGAGAAGCGCGAGGCCGAGGCGCGGAGGTTACGGATGGAGAACGACGACATCTTGACGACGGACCTGCTCAAGGCGCTCATCGTGAGGTTAGAAAGGGGCGAGACATCCCTAGAGGCCCTGGCGAGGTTGGGCAAGGGGCAGCCCAAAACCAAAAAGATACCCAAATGGAAGCTCAAGAAGCAGAATAAGGGCGGCGGCGATGAGGCCATGGACGTCGACAAGGAAAAGGACCAGCTTAGCCCCGAGCAGCAGAAGAGGAAAGAGGCCATTGAGGCCATCACCGACGCGGCGGATAAGCTGCTGAGTCGAGATCACGCCGAGATCTACGACGAGGAGAGGGAGATGCTCGTGCGCGAGTGGCAGCGAGAGACGGGCGAGCAGTGGGTTGAGCCGGCCAAGGATGACGCTGATGACGATTTGTCCTCGAGGATGTGGGAGTTCCGTTGGACGGATGGGCGGGATAATGCTGAGAAACAAGGGCCGTACGATGGGCCCACGATGAGGGCATGGCAGGATGCCGGATACTTTGGTGAAGGCGTTGAGTTCCGACCAGTTGGTGACGATTCCTGGACGAGGGTCGCGACGTTTGAATGATCGTTCCGCGACCTGGAACCCATTCAGAAAAAAGAGTATACCATGTAACAAAGACGGATGAATGAATAAAAAAGCCTTGCATTCCTGGCATCGTCACGATGCTACCATTCAAACATTTATGGTACATAATCTATCATACGTCCTAGGGGGTAGCCACCTATTTTACTGCCCAAAAAACGCCCAACATGGAAGACCCTTTAACACGCTTAACTCAACTCCATCGCATCGCCATGGCCATTAGTGATGGTAAAGTCGACGGCACCGTCGTTGCCAATCAAGCGCTTCTCCGACTCGGACACGAACTTGACGCTGCGAGACGGGTCGTAGAAGAGAGAGAAGCTCCTCTGAACATCGGCAATCTCGACCTGCTTCGCCCTGCGCTTGGCGCAAATCAACTGCGAGGTGGTGATGAGGTTGCTGGCGTAACGCAGGCCCGCCTCCTGGCCAATCTTCGTGAGCAGCGCCAGAGCGTCGGCTGAGACGTCCACCTCCTCTTCTTGAGCTCTGATGGTGATGATCTGCTTGATCTCCTCAGGGCTGTAGGTGTTTGTGTGGATAATGACGACACGGTCCAGGAAGTCGAGGGGCAGGCCATGGGGGCTGCGGTAGTCGGTTCCACGGATGCGGGAGTTGCCCCTGTTGCTGGCCATGATGACAATAGGTGCGAGATCGTCTTCCAGGGCGCGGTTGATGTATGAGAAGCACTCAATATCGAGCATGTGAACCTCATCGATGAACAACACACCGGGAACAATCTCGGCCTTGCCTTCCTCCTTCCACTCGCCGACCTTGGTGTTGATTTGGTCTCTAATCTCGCTGCGGATCTCACCAGTGTCTCCAGAGAACAGGGCCAAGAAGCCCTGTGTTCTTGAGTTGATAACATCAATCTCGTGGAGGGTGACTGTGTGGACGACCTCCTTGCGCTTCTGCAGCTCACCGTCTGGGCACTGCAGGAACTTGGTGTCGACGCCCATGGCATCGTAGTCGCGCGAGCGAGCATATGACCGGCCAAGCTTCGTGATCTTGCCCGAAGACTTGTCGATGGAAATAATGTCACCGGCCATGACGCGCTCCTTGGTCATGGCATCAATCATCTTGGCGCCCATATCGTAGACAGCTTCCATGTCGGTCGTCTTGATCGTCAGCTTTCCCTGTTTGGCGCCGCCTGTAACGCTTCGGTCGATCTGGATTTCGACGACCTCGCCCTCCATAATCTCGCTCTCCTCCTTGATTCGAACACCAATCGACTTGCGGAATGCTTGTGTGAGAGCTTCGGTCTTTGACATTTCGAGGGAGAAGATTTCGGATGAGGCAAGGGAAGTGAAGGGGACATCGGGGCCGAGAGACTGAGCCATTCCCATGGCGATGGCGGTCTTACCAGTGCTGAGGAGATGGAAAGTCAGTCACAGTCTTTAAAGGACGCATGTGGAAGGAAAGGCTTACCTTGGGGGGCCGGCGATCAGCACAGCTCTTCCGGCAATCTTGCTCTCCTTGATCATCTGCAGGATCACGGCAGCAGCTTTCCTGGCCTTCTCCTGTCCAACCAGACCTTGAGATGCCGCTCTGGGCTCCAGTGTTGTGCCATCAACGCCCAAGCCGCGGATGTGGGAGTGAGCCGCGATGAGATTGAGGCCCTTGAGCTCCTTGCTCTCGGAGACGGTCATGACGGGCTATAGACCCTGTTAGCTTCTAGTGCTTAGGCGCAGACGAAGAGGAGCGCATACCGCAGCCATCTTGGACTTGGGTTACCAATGACTTCAAGAAGCTTGTCGCAGGGTTAGATTTTCGGCAATTGAGGGATGTCAGTGGGAAGAGACGGGCTTGAGGTGATGTTCGTGGATGAGGCGCAAAAAGCAGTTCGTCAATTGTCGTTCAAGGCTGAAGGAGCTCGGCCTTGCGCGTTCAGAAATTTAGGAACGCGCTTACCTCAGTTTGACGGGCTGAGCGTGGCGCGGCTAGCGCTTGGGCGCCACAGGAACAGACCTGTGTAGGTAAGCCAGGACGCCAGAAAGTCTGCCTTAGTTGGTACAAAGCAGGCACAGGATCCGTACCACCTCGGTTTAAGCTTGACACTAGCACTTAAGCACTCCATGTCAGGGTCAGAGGAAATCCCACGTAACTTAACTCTATTGCATACGACAAAGAAGTCATTATGTTGATTTCCAACACACTTCTACAATAATTGTCTTAAGCAAGTTCCTGGGCAGGACAGCTCCAGCTTATCCCGTTGCGACCAGTTGCAAGGCAAGGGTGCGATTACTGCTTATTATCATGAGCCATGTGTCGAGTAGAACTTCGACAAGCTATGCAGTCTGGATGTAGCATCTAGATTATTGTTGTGAACAATCAAGTCTTTGTTGGTGCCAAGACAATGCAGCCACACAATCTTGTCTTATAAGTTGAATTGCTTGCTTCCAAAAGCAGCCAGGACGCTTTGTTCTTTGTCATCTATAAACGACCGATCGACTACGGGAGGTGTTGATCTTCACTTGGAACAGTGACATCTCGAACGGATCTCCGTTGCATTTCCCTTCCTTGCGCCTTTGGCAATATTCGCTCAGAATGCTCCTTGGTCGTTGTCTTCTGATTGTGCTCGAGAGGGGTAAGTATCGGTGCTATCGTTGCCCAAGTGCAGGATCGATAGAAAGGTCCATCGGCGATGGTGGGAAAATGGCAAGGGACATACGAGATCAAGTTCAACTTGAACTCTGAAATGGCGCTAATGCCTATTATAGCATCAATGTTTGCTTATTGGGATGCGCCCTCCCCCACCCAATGTTGACCCCTTCTTGGGCATTTGCCAATGGATCAATCAGTTTTTGCCTGGCCCCCGGAAAAGCAAGCGTGGGTGCCATCCTAGCTCGGAGTCCTGCCGGCAAACGACCACACCCCACCCACCACACCTTGGTAATCGTTCCTTCCATCTGAGCAATCTCTAGTGTAAGGTTTTGCGGGCAGGCCAGGGTACTTCCAGCTTGATTATCACAACCCGCGAAAGCCGACCGAGAATAGGCAAGGTATCGTCTGTGTAAGTCTACCTTATGTTCGAATGGAGTATTCCGATAAGCAGACGTATTGATGACATACTTAGCTGGGAAGAAAGTACTCATAGCTCTGCTTGAGGGCATCCGCAGCACTGTACATAGGTGTATTCGTGGTATCTTACCCAAGCCATCGGATATGACAGCGGCCATGATTCATTCCTCGCTAATGGTCAGTCTAACAGATGAACCCCAGG